AAAGGAACTCGCTAAGCTCAAGACTCTTGTGTGTGAGGTACCTTGCCGAAGAGACCCAGCATTCCAATGGGGATTATGCCAGCGGCTGGGACAGCTTGCAACTGACACAAAGTGGACTATGGATGTTCGTCAAGGCGCCGTTGCTTTCCTTGGTGAGATTTACAGGAATGACAATGACTGGGGTCATCATGTACATATCAAACAATGGATCCTCACTATACTGAAGAGACTGGTATCCTCATCAGAGAATGGCCCGCAAAGTAAGTAAACATGGTGTCTGATCCTTTACATCTATATTAAGAGAAAGCAAGGATCCTTACACATTTGCCATGCGTTGTCTCTAGTCGCAGCGCCACTTCTAAGGGAACTTGCTGGTGATGGAGATACCAACAAACAGTGGTTCTACAGTAATTGTTTACAGTCACCTGAGCATCAGTATCCTCTCATTATCTCTCTCCCTTCGCCCGCATCCCCGTCATTGCTAGACCGTGTACAGAATAAGCCTGATGTTGAGAACAGTTTACGACAACTCAGGAGACAGCGGATGAAGGACAGGGATGACCGAAGCTTCTATATCCCACAGTACGCCAAAGCAAGCCCTCAGGCGCAAAATGAAGATCTATTCTTGTTGATGGACAAGGCTAAAGAGTTCTTGGACAGTGATCAAAAGGTGTTGCTAGTCCAAGGTGATTCAGGAATAGGTAAATCGACATTCAATCGTGCACTGGAGCGCAGTTTGTGGGAGGTCTATAGGAAGAAACACGGCCGGATCCCACTGTATATCAATCTGGCAGCTATCGACAGTCCAGAAGGAGACTTAGTGGCAAAGCAACTTCGAAAATATGACTTCTCCGAGCCACAGATAAAGGAGCTGAAGACAGCCCGATCACTCATCTTGATTTGCGATGGATACGATGAGAGCAAGCAGACCAGCAACTTGTATGTGACCAACCGGTTGAACCAGCCCGGTGAATGGAAATCCCAGATGGTGATCAACTGTCGTAGTGAGTACCTTGGATCTGACTACCGAGATCGTTTCCAACCTGTAGACCGTAACTACCAGACAGATACTGCTTTATTCGCAGAGGCTATGATCGTACCCTTCAATGAATCCCAGATCGATGACTATGTTGAGCAGTATGTTGCAGCTATGGATCCGCTTTGGCCTGTAGAAAATTACAAGCGCGCATTAAAGATGGTGCCTAGTCTACATGAACTTGTGAAGAATCCATTCCTGTTAACTCTATCATTGGAGGTATTACCTCGGATGGTTGACCCAAGCCAAGATGCCACCAACACACAAATCAAGCGCATCTCATTATATGACCAATTTGTGGAGCAGTGGCTGGAGCGAGGCAAGAAACGGCTAGGTGAGACATTGGAGCCGGGAGACAGAAAAATGTTTCTGACACTATCAGATGAAGGGTTCGCAGAGAATGGGATCAGGTATCTGGCAGACCTGGCTACTGCAATATATAAACATCAAGATGGCAATCCAGTGGTGAACTACTCTCCATTCAAACACAGGGGAACATGGAAAGAGGAGTATTTTAGTAGAGAGAGTGGAAGATACCTTCTCCGTGAGGCTTCTCCGCTGAGTCGCACGGGCATCCAGCATCGCTTTATCCACCGCTCTCTTCTGGAGTACAGTCTGGCACGAGCGATCTTTGAGCCACGGCGGGTGATGAATGCTCTCACGAAGGGCGAAGAGGCAACGGCAACACCCAGTTCTCGTCGACAGAGTGTCAGTTCAGAGTTTAGCTTTGAGGTCAAAGAGAGCGAGATGATTGAAGAAGGAGTGGACTCCGCCATACCAGATGAAGCCTCACCCTTAGTATGGAGAAGCCTCGTGGGAGAGCCATCTATCCTGCAGTTTTTGGAGGACCGAGTACGACTGGAGCCGGTATTTAAACAGCAACTGTATGACTATGTAGAGCTCTCGAAGAATGATAGCAAATGGCGGATAGCAGCAAGCAATGCGATGACAATCTTGATTAAAGCGGGAGAGACATTTATTGAAGCGGACCTGCGGGGCATCCAAATCCCAGGTGCAGACCTCAGCCACGGTATATTCGAATGTGCTCAATTACAAGGAGCGGATTTAAGGAAGACCAACCTTCGGAACTGTTGGCTTCGCGAAGCAGACTTAAGCGACGCCAAGATGGATGGCGTACAATTTGGTGAATGGCCACTCCTCTGTGAAAGTGACCTGGTATGGAACGGATCATATTCTCCTGACGGCAGGACACTCGCAGCAGCTATCGACGACGGTTCAATCAATGTCTATAACACATCGACATGGGAGAAGGTTCTAACATTAAAGGGCTATGAAGTGGCCTATCAACTTGTATACTCGCCGGACAGTCGACACATTGCTTCTCGAAATGATAAGCATTCAGTTGGGATCTGGGATACCACATCAGGCACATTGATCCATAACCTGGAAAGCCACACACAAATTGTTTCTCATATGGTATACTCGCCAAACGGCTATCAGTTTGCCTCTGCTGGCGAAGAACTAGTGCAAGTTTGGGACCTGCAAACTGGTGAGCTCCAGTACACATTAGAAGGCCATAGTGGCGGTGTGTGGAGTTTGACGTATTCGCCCGATGGCAAGCAGATTGCCACAAGCGCGAACGACAAGATGATACGATTATGGGATGCCATATCAGGACAGCAGACCCTCGTTCTGCATGTCGATCAGGAACGAGTTACACAAGCTATATATTCGCCTAGTGGCCAAGAAATCATCTTCCGTTGTGACAGAAGCCCCTTATTGTATGCGTGGGATGTAGTATCGGGTCAAAAGAAATGGACTTTAAAGCATGACGGTGATATAAAGGGTATTCAATGCTCACCACGTGGGAAACTTGCTGCTTCGTTCACGAGGAAGAAGGCATATCAGTGGAACATCCAAACAGGGAAAGTTATCAATACTTTAAAGGGAAACTCTAATATAATCAACGACTTGAAATATTCTCCGAATGGGGAGCAGATTGCTACCTGCAGCCTCGACTATACCGTTCGGCTTTGGGACGCGCTATCAGGACAGCACACCAATACCTTATATGGTCATTCAAAAGAAGTATATCGTGTGTCATATTCTCCAATCAACCATCAGCTAGCGTCGTTCAGTAGAGATAAGACGATACGACTGTGGGATACTCAGTCACGACAGTCTAGCCATGATTCGCATGGTCATACAAAGTCGATTACTAGTGTCAGGTGTTCACCGGATGGACAGCACATAGCCTCATCCAGCTTGGACGGTACAGTGCGCGTGTGGGATATCCAGACAGGTCGGCCTATCCATGTTTTACAAAGCCACGCAGAAGCAGCACACGATGTCAAGTACTCATATGATGGGCTGTTGCTTGCTTCTTGCCACAACACTCCACGTGTGCACCTTTGGGACACTCAGTCCGGCCAAGTCTTCTATACTTTAGAATGGCAAAGAAAGCAAGACGATGTAATCCTCACCATAGATTTTTCACCTATTGGCCACCTAATCGTCTGTGGCCATTACCATGGCGACGTGAGCGTGTGGAACACTCAAACAAGGCAGCTCATAGGTATTCTACAAGGTCATAGTACTATAGTGCGACGTGTGGTGTTCTCCCCTAATGGTCGCCAGATTGCATCGAGTGATAATGTGGGTAGAACTAAAGTCTGGGCAGCACACTCGGGAGAGCTCATGTATGAGCTGGAGGATGTGTTCGAATCCTCCATGATATACTCGCCCGACAGCCAAAAAAATGCGTTCCTCAACCACCGCACTGGTTTACGGGTGCAGAACACAGAAAAGGGCGAGCTATGCTTTGAAACAAAGTTTGATGATTATCAACATTGGATAGCATTTTCACCATCCGATCCACAAATGATTGTTGGAAGCCAACAAGGATCAATAAACGTGGTGGACACTGAATCAGGAGCTGTGCTGCATACACTTGAGGGACACACCGAGGGGATCTCTGCCGCAGCTTATACACCCGATGGCCGGTACATTGCCACAAGCAGTGATGACATGACAGTGAGATTGTGGGATCCACGCTCATTCAGGTGTCTGGCTGTGGCTCCACATCCGGGAGGATATCCCCAGACTCTTGCATGGAACGTCTCTGAAGAAGGCTACTTCCTAGTAGCAGGATCCCAAGACGCATCTGTTCGAATGTGGCAAGTCATCAAAGAGGGCGATCGATGTCATTACCGCTTGAAGTGGAACACAAGACAAACAGTGCTTTATGCTGGTAGTGCACGTATCCAAAGTGTAGCTGGACTGAGCGAGGTGGAGAGAAAGCTCCTGGTGGAGCGTGGGGCTGTAGATGGACCAGCTCAATGTCCAACTAGTCAAGAAGCAAGCAACGAGATCATGACAATGGCATCAGTGATATCCAAGTCTGAAGTGCTCCCCAACAGAGCGAACCTCGAGTCCTTAACTATAGGATCAGAAGCTAAGGCTTGCAGCTGTAGGGAGCCAACAAGGTTGAGCGAATTGATCAGTCAATATCGTCTCACCAACATCACATGCAAGGATTGCGATGTAGTACCTATGATCGTATGTGGCTGTACTTCACCCAAAATGAAACTGGAAAATAAATAGATGAATAAAGTTCTAGAAAACCAGAAGAGAATGTGTAACCGAGCCTTGACAACAGTATATTTGGAGATGGAGATGTTTTTACTAGTTTTTCGAAAAAAAATACAGAGAAGTCGGAGCACCAGTATTGCTTCTGTACGGCCTCGTATTGGGCGACAAGTAGTCCAATGGGGGGTTATTTTTCTGCTAGTAAAAAGCACAGAGAACTGGATCTAGCCTACCCATGTAGTTGATGAAAGATACATGGGCAAATTTGCCCGTTTTATTTGGTCAAAAGATCATCCTTGGCAACGAACAAGTCCTCATGAATTTGTCCTCGTGGTTGGAGTAGTCTCGGGGACTAACATTAGTATTTATATTTTACATTTTTTTTATTGTTATTACTGTTATTACTAAAAGTACAGCAAGAAATTGTGAATAAATTTGTATACGGAGTTGTTTTTATCTCTGTAAGGTATAAAGAAGAGGGGAAGAGGAAGAGAAGAAGTACAAAGCATTGTCTATATCACAGACTTAGCCCTTGAATTGTTGCAAGACCACCTAAAATGAGGGGGAAAAATAAATTAGTGCACAGAGTTAACATTTACTCACAATTGACTCTCTTTCTTTCTTTCTTTTTTTTTTTTTTTTTTTTTTTTCTTACCTTGAGTGCTCGACTAACATGTCTGGATTGAATGATGCTATCATGAGTGAGTTGAGCCTGACGACTGGCTTCTGTGATAAGTCTGTGTAAAAACAGCTGATAGAGGACGTAAAGCTTAATCATTTTAAAGAAAGAAAGAAATGTCAGGAACTATATACGGTCTTATTTTTTTTTAACCAACATTCTTTTTTTTTTTTTTTTTTTTTACCTCAATGTCCACATTCTTGGACAAACTCATTGTCGGTTCATGTGCTAGGATGATTCTCCTGAGCGTGCTTCGTGGATAAAGACGTGTCATGGAGGGTTTAATCGGTTGGAATGACAGAAGCTCTTTGTTTCAATGTCAGGAACACAAAAAACGAACTTTTTTTCTTTTATTCTTAAATGACAATGTTCCACGTGACTTTTTTTTTTTTTTTTTTTTTTTTATATTATAACTTTCTACGGCTACATTTACCTACTACTTACCGACAACCAACAGAAAAAAAAAAAAAAGTAGACAGCAAAAAAGGAGTAACAATGGAGAATTATCACCGACGTCCCAAAACAACACGATCCAAATTCGAAAATGATGATGACTCAACCTCTACCTCTACGACAAAAGGCGAAGGGATCAGTACTCAACAACATAACCGACCCCAGCAACATGGCGTCATGGTCATCTCACCCAACGGCAAGATTCGAGTCTATGTTAGTCGTGGACTCGAAATCTTGAATGAAGTTGATCATGACGATCAAGATAATAAAGATATCAAAGACAATATAGATCAAACAAATCCAACAAGAACTTCAATAGACGAAAAACGGAAATCAAAGGTTTGTTCTTATTTATTCCTTTATTCTTTTTCCCTCAACTGTTAGAATATAATAATCTCTAATGTCTTTTCTTCTTTTTCTATTTTTATTTTAGAGTACATCAGCACAAAATACTAAAGCATCATCAGGATCAGGATCAGGATCAGGGTCGTCAACTTTAACCTCATCTTCGACCTCAATATCAACGTCGACATCAAACCCAGTTTCAAACCAATCTTCCAAAAAACCTGTAACGACAACAGTAACGACACCGACGACCACTCGTGGCGTCCTTACCATTAAAGCCCAAGGTCGTTCCATCCCTAAAGCCGTCACTGTTGCAGAAATTTTAAAACGTCGGATGGAGGGATCTCTTCATCAATTCACAGAAATCGGTCAGATCACAGAGCAAGAGATCTGGGATCCAAACCCTGATCAACCTAATCTGGATCCACTTACAGTCTCCAGGCATCGTCCTACTATTCGTATCCGTCTTTCAAAAGAATTACCTCCTGCCACAATGACGACGACAGCTACATCTACATCTACATCTGCATCTACATTGACATCTATTACGACTACAACTTCTTCTGCATCTGGATCGGCTTTGATAGGAATAGATCCGAGTATTCCTGGTGCCACCATCCCACGGGATGAACATGCAGATGAATCTGATAATGATGATAATGATAATGTCGATAATGAGAATCATGAGACGTGGCCTGGTGCTATTTTAGATAAAGATGCTGCCGTCAGAAGGTTTATAGGGTATCAGGCTCCTACAGGAAATGACATTTATTTGTAAATAGTAAAAAAAGGAAAAGAAAAAAAAAAACGAATAGACTAAATTTGAAGGAAAGGAAAAATATGTATTATGGGTGAATAGAGCAATTTCTATCCAGACGATTTTGATTGAAACCATAAACCGAATGAACAGAAAGGCATCAGCAATATGAAAGTGAAAAGAAAATAGAAATGGAGCAATGCCTAGAAATACAAGGGGCGGAGGATATTAAAAAAAAAAGAAAAAAAGAAAAAAAAAAAAAAAAAAAAAAAAAGAGACAACTTTAAACATGAGAATGCCGATGATAAAAAATAATAATAATAATAAACTACTTGTTACGCTGACTATCACCACCATTGCCATCACTGCCGCCACCACTATTACCACTACTGTTGCTACCATTTTTACCATTGCCGTTACCAGGGTGCTGCAGTCTATTGAGTCTCTGGTATTCACTCAATGCTGACCCCACAAATCCCATCAACTCATGCAGATGTAAGTGCAGTCCAAGAGGCCAATGAATCTTTTGGAAAGTGGTTCCAGGCACATATGGATCAAAATCTGGTCCTGCCTGTCCAATTTGGTCTGGATGAATACACCATTTGCCGAATGTCTCGGGAAACTGTTCCCGCGCAATATCGGGTGTCAACCACTTCTGACAATCATCCATTCGCTTCTGAATATGAGCCCAGTCTTCCACGTTCTGAAGCATCCGACTGGCCATCTCCTGTGGAATTGCAACTGTTGTAGGCGTACCATTCTCATCTTTGCTTGTTGCTGTCTTTGCTGTCTTGAATTGACCACTCTTTAACATTTCTTTCCGCAGTTGCATAATTTGGTAACTATAGACTTTGTAATAAACAAGAACCTCCATCAACGCACTACATTTTTTTTTTTTTAAAAAAATAATAAAAAATAATAATAATAATAAAAAAAAAAAAAAAAGGTTAAACAATCATAATAAAAAAATGAAATTTACTTATTATCAAAAGAAACAATCAATTGATTTATGTTTTACCTGACACCATCTAATCCAGTAAGATGGTTCGAGCGACATTGGTTGGTCAACGCATAGATAAACTGTCGCATAGTCTCCCAAGAGTTGATAGATTCTTTCACAGCAACATCTGGCCTTCCAGGATTAGAATACGAGTGGTACTTGTCATTAGCATGGAACGCAGCTATAAACTCAATTGCGCTCAAAAAGTACTGAATAGCACCCAAACGAGGATTATCCAGGTTCTTCAGTGCGTTATCCGCACTGTGTTTGAAAGTGATGCCCTCAGCATGACGCCTATAGATCCATGATTCATTATAAAATAAAAATAAAAAATAAAAAAAAATAAAAAATAAAAAAAAGTCAATTTTTACAAAGTACACAATCACACAGCCATAGGTATTTGCTTCCCTAAAGAGCGTAATCTAGTTTTTATACTTACATTCGGAAGGTATTGTAATACTCTGTAATTTTCCTTGCTGTTTCCGAGGATGGCTTGGATGAGGATGAAGACGATGAGTTGCCTGCACCAGATGGCTTTTGACCTGTGGGGGAAGTAGTCTTCTGAGTTGATTCCTTGGACCCCAAAATTGATTTTCCTGGCATCGTGGCAGTTGCAGAGGCAAGAGCAGGCGAATCTGAAATCGCCTTGGGCGTCTCTACTTTGTCTGAACTGATGCTACCCTTTTTCCGTTGGTAGTCCTCAATCGACATTCGTTTAACAGTCGTAGTACTTGAGTTACTAGTTGGTGCTGGTCGCTTAAGGTCATCCTGCTGTCCCCGTAAATCAGTTGACGAGTTATTTGAAGATATTGCAGCGGGCGGTGAGGGTAATTCCTCCTTAATTGCTTGGGATGGCCGCCGTATAGAGCTGGGATCGGATTTGGAGATAACATTGGTGTTGACATTGGTTGATGAAGACGAAGTGCTGAGTCTGCTCTCAGACTCACGACGATTTGAGCCTGCTTTGTTTGAATCTTGCTGCTGCGGCTGCTGTTGTTGCTGCTGTTGTAATGTCTTGCTCTCAAGTCTTGCTTCATTCCGACTAGCAGAGCTAGAGAGAAGTGGCGTTGCTGAAGCTTCCCTTCGACGATCACTGTCCTTCCTTCCATCGCGGTCACGCGAACGATCTCGTGGTGAGCGTGACCTTGCTCGTTTTCGGTCACGGCTCCTTTCGCGACTTCCTCCTCGGTCTCGGTCAACACTACGATCTCGACTATCACGGTCACGACTTCTGTCCCGAGATCTATCTCGGCTCCTATCACGCCCAAAGCGGTCTCGACTACGATCTCGGCTACGATCTCTGCTGCGTCCTCTTCCAGACCGATCATTCCGCTCTCGACTGCCATCCCTTTGACGACCGTCCTGCTTGCGTCTTGAAGAGCCTCGATCGTCGTCATAGTCGCGACGATCGCGGTTTGATTTACTATCTCGGTTGTCATTGCGAGAAGGGCTCCTATTGCGATCATAGCGACTTCTAGGCGACCTGGATCGTGAGCGGGTCCTTGAAGGTGTGCGAGATCGACCTCGTGAACGGTCCTTTGTAGAGCGGTCCTTGTTCCCTGTACTGCTTCGCTGTGTAGAAGATGTGGTCTCTTCTCTTGCATCCTTTTCACTTCTTGCTTTAGTATCCTTCTGGCCATCTCTGCTAGAGCGCCGACTAGGCGAAGAAGATGTAGCTGATGTCGAAGAGCTATTACGGTCCACCTTTGAGCCTGTGTCATTCTTGCTTCCACTCCGACTTGTAGCTGAAAAATCTTCATCCCTATGCTTCTTTTCCTTACTCAGAGTTGTAGAAGTCGGTTTTTCGATATAGGCTGCTTTATCTTTTGTCTCTTTCGCGCTATCATCCTCCTTCGTCCTACGACGGAGGTCAGATGATCCACTGCTGCGCTCTTTAGAGTTATCACGCTTTCGAACAGGAATCAAATCCGCTCGTGCTTTGCTATCCTTTGAATCTGTTCGAGTGGTCAAGGCGTCCTGCTGGCTCTTAGAGGACTTCAAATCCTTAGATGTTCGTTCGCGCTTCACAGGCTCATCCAATTCACCTTCATCAGCACTGTGGTATGACGGACGCATCTTTGAACGTTTATTACGATCCAAAGTTGGTGAGAGCGAATGTGACTCTTTGGATCGCCCAGAAGACTTTTCAACAGTGCTGCTAATAGAACGTCTTTCATCCCCACGATAGCCTTTGTCGTCGTAATACTCTGCTTTGGTTTTAGAAGTCGTATTAGACGCCGATGAGTCTCGTCTTCCACTCGGACTCGCAATCGATGCCAGACTACTCTCGGACATTCTCTTCTTTGCATCTGAACGCATATCATCTTTTGAGTACTTTTCCTTGAGGCCTCTTGATGATGTCGATGCCGACAGCTTTGATTTCTTATTCCCCTCAGAGTCAGATTCATCTGAAGAGTACGAACGTCCACGCTTTGTCAAGCTTTTCGTATTAGATGGGCTCGGATATCTTTCACTATGCTTTGGCTGAATCCTCCTACTTTCACTATCCTTATGTCGGCTCGAATCAAGACCCATCTCCTTGTCACGACGGGAACGCCTGCTGTCCATATCAATATCCCGATCATCACTCGAGGAATCTGTCCTGAACGGCTTTGCTTTTGATTTTGATGGCATACTGGGTGAAGTTTTGGGTTTTTCAGGTGCGGGTAAGGGTTTGATAGGGAGCAAGTAGGAGGGTATACTGATTCTAACTACTACAGGTGACTTTGACAAGGACATGCCATTGTGCTGCCGCGGAAGATCATTCACCTGTGCCGAAGAGAGTTCACAGCAGTACTGTCCCATAGATGTCTTTCTGGCATGGGAGTCATATTTGAATCGAGCAGAGTTTGGTGGCATCTTTCCTGAAGTGGCTCCTGCAGGTCGCTTTCCTGCCATGGGCTCTGATTTAGAATTCCTTCGCTTTGCAGTCTTCCGACTTTTTTTTTTTTTTTTTTTTTTTTTGAGTGACGAAAGCAAAGATGATAATAGCAAAGTTGATGATAATGATTTTTAAAATGATGGGTTGGAAAGTAGGAAAGGGAAGATGTAATATAGGTTGAATAAAAGGAGAAGGTCAATGTTTATGGTCGCTTCAAAATGATGGACAATGATGAAACAAAAACATGAATGGTAGAACAACTGTACCCGATATGTTTCCTTGACCGAGTGTGCACGTCTGCATCGCTCATGGTAACGTTCTCAGAATCGGCATCCGATGATGAACTTTCAGAGTCGCTCCCTGATTCTGAACTGTCATCACTGCTAGCATGATGTGCTGATGCCGCTTTGGGCAATTTACCCGGCAGCTTCCCTCCAGTGACACTGCGAGCTGGCGCAGGCCAGGAAGGGATTGTGGGACTCATAATAACAGGGAGACTTTGAATCATCTACAATAGAGACAGTAGATATCCACGACACATAGGTGCTTAAAATGAGCATCTTTCCATGTGTGGATAAACTTTAAAAAAAAAGTTGTGGGGATGTTAGACTTTACCTCAATGCTCTTACGAATTTCCTCGAGAGGAGGAGTCGGAGGGGCCTGTGGAAATACAAAAAGATGCAATTCAAAGAACAAATCAGTGTCAGCAGAGACATGTGGGCTCAACATGTCCGATTAAGAGGAAAAAAAAATTAATCGAGCAAATGGACCATTACCTGACTGAAATTTGTCTCGCCGGTGTGCAACACATGCACTCCTGCATTGGGATATCTGCCGCTTGGTGTGTTGTTGCTTATATGATGACTGGATTGTCTATTGTCAGGCTTTTGGCTGTCCGAAATAGAATGTTGAAGAATCGGCATTAATTCACACAATCCAAACAACGTGGTAGTTATTATCCTCAGAGCAAATAAATGAGATACACTGCAGCAATGCATAATCGTCTCAGCACAAGAAAGGGAGAATTTGAATTGCGGAAAATGATGATGCACATGTTTTGCTTTTGGATGTCACACACGACCCCCTCGCTGCTGTCGTACCACCATTCCACTTCATCCGTTTTGCGAATGTATCTGTTTGTGCCTCCTTTTGCTCTGATATTTCTATCTTCACCTTGGCGCCCGTCTTTACCGTCATGATAGTTGACGGTGGCGATTCTCGGGATCTTTACTACTATGGATCGTCATTAAATAAAGACTGATAGTGCTTTGATACATCTCACTCACTTCTCAATCGTCAATTCTCAGTTCTATCTTATCGTCAACACTTGCTGATCCCATTTGCCACATATCACAAACAAACATTCACACCGATCGCTTTTTCCTTTCTTTTTTTTTTTTTTTTTTTTTTTTTGCCTTGCTTTGATGCAGCCGCATAAACATTAGCTATCAACGCTCACAAAGTGCGCAGGTGAAGAAAGTAAGTCTCGATAAACGCTTGTGTCGCCAAAAGTACGGATACAATTATTTACGGCGGCTACTTATTTTTTTATGGTACTCCCAGATCCCCCTCTTGATTACACAGCTCGACGCCAGTGAGAAAGACAGCCAATTATTGCAACCATACCAAGCCAGGCCGTAATCATATCATCCATATCTTAAAGATCAACATGAAGAGGGGAAAAAAAGCTCGTATTCCTTTTCTCACGCTACAAATGAATTGTTAAAAGATCTTTGCCCTACAGTAAGGCTGTACCTTTTTTTTATAAATAAAAAAAAAAAAAAAAAAAAAAAAAAAAAAAGAGCTGATGTATGGCCCTTCAAGCTGGCCCTGGGACTTTTTTTTTTTTACTCGGGGTCTCTCCCTTTCTCACTCCATTGTTACTTTATCTGGGCATTGTAAGACCTTTTGAGTCTGCAGCTAAACAAAGCCGCAGAGCGCCAATTTCTGGGACTCTAATTAATGTCTTTCCCTCACTCTTTAATGTCTGTGTCCTGCCTCTGTCCCTAACCGTCCATTCACACGACTCTTTCTTTTTTTTTTTTTTTTTTTTTTTTTTTTTTCTTTAAAGAACTTTACCCAGACATGTGGCCGAATTGTAAACCTGCTGCCCATCCTGAGAGTACAGGAGGCGTACGCGGAACTATCCATTCAGTCTTGTTGTTGGAGGGGCTTTGCTCATAAGCCGATCGATCCTTGAATCCCCAAGATCGAGGATTGAAGGTCGCGTATTCGACACAGTTGTACAAAAGATCAGGTCCAGGATGTCCATTTGATGTCCAATGCCGCTTAAGATCGATTATTTTTTGTTCTAAATCCTCAAAAGGTTGTTGAATCGAGGATGTGGGTGTACTAAGTGTGCTGGCATTGGAAGAGGTGATGATAGAGCTCGGGCTGGGGATTGAAGGACTAGGCAAGGCTGTCGCACGGACAGAGCTAGTTGCTGTCGACATTTAACGCCAGAATAAGGAGGAAAAAAAAGGTTTTTTTTTTTTTTTTTGAAAGTGTTTGATTGTTTGTAATCTCTTTCTTGCCGGGTAGAGTGATTGTGGGTTGCCCTGCGGCGGGTCGAGATAGCGCCGTATGCTGCTGCCAGCAAGCGTTGGTCCAACCTTGCAGTTTCAATGGACTATGCAGTTTACTGTATGATGGAGGTAGACTGACAAAGGCGCTATTATGTATACAATTGTGTGCATTCACTTTACTTCACTCACGCTGGTGAATAGAAAAGTAGGAAAGTAGGAAAGTAGGAAAGTAGGAAAGTAGGAAAGTAGGAAAGTAGGAAAGTAGGAAAGTAGAAAAGTAGGAAAGTAGGAAAAAAAAAAAAAAAAAAAAAAAAAAAGGTCAGAGAGTGAATGAGAATGAAAATGAGTCAAGTACACTAGAGAATCAACTCCTTGTTCAACCTGTGCGATGCAGAGGAGTAGGTGGTGCCTGCGCGGAGAAAACAAGAGAACAAGAGGTGTGAAAGAGAGGGAGAAGGTGACTATAAAAAGAAGGTGAACACAGAACAAGCCAGACAGAACACACAGACAGATGTGATAAATGAGAATTCGCGCGGCGGAACCAAAAAAAAAAAAAAAAAAAAAAAAAAAAGTGAGAGAATGAAGTTGAACACAGATGGAATGGAATAGAATGGAGAGAATGAACAGACGGATGCACGGATCAGTTAATTATGATTGTCAAGACAAGACAAGACAAGACAACAAGAAAGAACAAAGAAAGAGAGAAGAGAAATAAGAAATAAGATGCAATAATAAGATAAATATAATACATCCAATTGATAAAATTATAATGATCAATTTAGACTGGATAGTGGAGAGGCATGCGGGAAAGGATGCATGAGAAGTATAAAACAGAAAGCCTTTTCAAAAGATGTGAGGAGATCGAAAGGAAAAAAAAGGAAAAGTCAAGACAAGACAAGGTTAGGCAAAACAAGGCAAGGCAAGACAATATCGATACTGATGTTGACGTTGAAATTGATATGGTATTGATGTGTTAGTTATTCAAGGCACACACACATTTATGCACAACTTTCATTCCTCTTTCCATTCTCTCTTCTGATTGATGGATAAATTGCAATTAGAAGGGCTGAATATGAACGATGACAATGATTGTTATTCATTGTGGAAATTTGCTAATTCAATGGCGAACAGGCGTTCGATGGTATGACCCATTCATTGGACAGGACAAGCGGCTGTGATATTTTAGTAATTATCAAAGTGAGGTGAACAAGCCGACCTACTTTTCCAACTTTCCCCTTTCTCTCCCTGCTCACTCTTTCTACAGTCTCCTGTTCTTTCTCTTTTTTACTCTTTTTGATGAGATTGATGTGATGAACGGGGTTTCTCCGAGGGAAAAGAAGGGAAAGGAGAAGGGAGAGATTTGTTGCCAACAAACAATCTCAATCAATCAGTTCAAAAATAAAAAAAATAAAATAAAATAAAATACAGCTGCTCCATTGATACATGGAAAAGCACATTCACATCCACCTTTTCATTCCACATGAACTTCATTCCTCAACTCAAGAGTTTCATGAACGCGTCTTGTTGTAACATGTCTTTTTTTTTTTTTTTTTTTTTTCCTTCGCTGTTATATTGTTGGCTAATACTCTTGGACCTTTCTTTTTTTTTTTTTACCCTCACACACATTCTATTGTAGAAGATGTATTCTTACCAAAGGGTGAAAGTAAGGAAATAAAGTGTCGAAAAGAGAGAAGCGGAAGCAAGGATAGTCGAGGGAGATAAAAGTGAATAAGGTAGAGAAAGCAGTTCTCAATGGGGTTTTGTATAAGAGTGTCTTTTCTGGTAAATTTGACTTGATACGCCTCTAAAAATCAGCATCGCCCTGTCTGAAAGTGGGAAAAAGGGTGAAGAAATGAGAAATGACAATCAATAATTTGGAGCTGAATTAGAAATACCAGAAGGATCTCCTCCCTTCAGCCACTTCATTTTGCGTCCCTCCATCCTTTCCATCTTTTTTTTTTTTTTTTTTTTTTTTTTGGTTCTCTTCTATCAGACCAGGCACACCCTTTCTTATTTCGTTCATAATCAAGGCCTACCACATTGCCCCAAGTGTACATGTACTAGGGAGAAGAATAAGAATAAAGCAATGCAACTTTTTTTTTTTTTTTTTTTTTTTTTAAAAAAAAAAAATGTATTCATAAACGTCATTTGCATCTCCTCTGTACGCCACCACTACTCCACCTGATCCACCGCAAAGACGGTTTCGACTCATAAAATAAGACCAGAAGATATAACGCAGTTGACCCGTATTGCTGTTTTACATGCAAAATAAAAACGATCTAGACATTTACAGTTACGACTCAGGAACTATGGAGCCCCCTTGTTCGAAATGATATGTTACTTTTTGTAATGCTTCGGGTTTTCAGGGCGGCCGTGTGAACATTGGTACTGCATAATATAGCATGGCATGGCATGGCATTGCATAGTTTAACAGAGCATAGCATAGCATAGCATAGCATAACATAGCATGGCGCTCTTGCTGGCTAGCATTTTTTCCTCCTGTGTTACTTAACCTTTCCTCTCTCTTGGAAAGAGTGTTGTTGGCATCGTCCTGCTCATTTTGCCGGTGCGCAAATGCTCTCAAAAATTTAATCTGTGTTCCCATAAAAAAAGGCTTTCACAAATCAGTACAAAACAAGCCTCTGCAGCCATGTCTCACCTTGTTATCAATCATGTGCCTTTTTCTCTGTCAATGCTTGTTTATCTCTTTACCTGTTTACCTCAATGCATGCAGAGTATAAATGACGCAGAGACGGAAAAACTTGCTTAGCTGGAATAAGCTTTCAATAACGACGACGACGGTAATAAAAGCATAAAGGAAAGAGAATCTAAAGGCCAATCAACTTGTGTGTTTTTTCTTATTTTTTTTTCGTTCCCATGATGCATGAAAAGGGATTTGGTGGCAAAAAAAAATAAAACAAAATGTGTCCAGTACATTTTATACATTAATTTATTATGGATTCGAACATTAGACCATTGGGCCATGCAACTGAATGAACAATATTAACCTATCAATCTCTGCAGCTGCATGGTCTGACTTTTTGCCATCCTACAGACCCGCAGATAGCCTTGCTCGTTTATGATGCATAACATTCTGAATCCGAAAAACAAAAAAGATCGCGATGGTACCTCTGCACAATTACCGAAAGTGTATGCGCGAGTGCGCCTGTATCCTCGTCCATTGACATGTCGGTTTACCTGCAGGTCTTTCTGTTCGTTGTCTTACTTTGACTATGTAATGCTTGTTTGTTCACCTTGTCATCCATCAGTTTTTCGTTTGAGGTCAAATTGATATTGGAATGTTGACGCAAACATTGGCATACCCAACTGCCCGGTTGAGAATCTATTTTCTTAATGCATGGTAGGGATATTTTGACCTTTCACCTTGTCTCTGTTCTGTGCATAGAACCAAGGTCTTAAAAAAATCCTTCAACAGAAACCCTCAGTACCCCATTTTTCTTTATATGCATATACTCAACATTCTATTATTCCCCGTTTCCATGCATTGGGCCATGAATGTCCTTAGGTTTTTCGTTGAAGTTTTTTTTTTAAAAAAATATGTTATATTGTGCTTGTTCCTATCTTCGTTTTATCCCACAATAACAAACCTGCCAAAGCGGATAGATGTGATCGACAAGATCAACATTAAATTCTCGCTCTTTTATTCTCTCCCCTTCCCCCTACACTTCATCCCCTTTTCTATATTCTCGTCTTCTATCCCATCCTATTCACCTTTTCTTTTATTTGCTTTGCCCTTCAATAGTTTAGGATCGTCTTTTTTTTTTTTTTTTTTTTTTTTTTGCAACCGATATCAGCAGATTCTCTGTTCTCGTAAACAAAACCTTTCCTTCTATTCTTCCTTTCTTCCTTCCTTCCTTCTTTCTTTCTTTCTTTCTTTCTTTCTTCACTGCACGTCATGAACACTTCATTTATCTTTCATAATGGGCATGACCAAGACGCGCACTCAAAAACATCCTTACCCCCAACATCCCCTATTAGTCTCCGCCGCCTGAAACCCAATCTGATCACAACAACAACTAATAATAATAATAATGGTAGTATTAATAATAATAATGCTCTTATTCAATCCACAAATAACAGCGCCCATACCCCCTCTACTCCAAAAGGAAATCATGACCTCTACTCTATCAGCTCCGGTTCACGAGATTTCCTTTTCCCTGGTATCGGCTTGAGTCACCATGCTTCAGTATTCTCCACTTCTTATGATGCCTTCTTTTCAGACATGGCAGCAGATCTTGGGCCTGTGAATGATGATGACATGAATAACAGCATGGTCGACAGCGACAGCAAAAACAAAGAGCATGACTTTGCTGGTGACCATCATCCCAATAATAGTCTCGTTGGTACGAACCTTAGAAAATCCAACCCTGTTGACAATAACCGACTTCGCTATGGAAGGCCTAGCAACGATAATGATAGTAGTGGTGGTAGTTACGAAGGCCGCTATTATGAGCATAATGAGCCCATACGCCAACGGCAACAGCATTACTGCCAAAATCAAGACCAACATCGGCATCAACATTATCAGCACCCGCACTCTCCTGTGATCGAGCCCACTATCCTGGCTGGGTATCATCAATACAATCCCACTCATTCCGATCACTTTTTTCTTCATAACAAAAGTAATCAATCTCCATTGGCCTTAGAAGTCAATCCGTTGTCTTCTCCACTTCTGGTCAGACAACAACAGCAGCAGCAGTACTCTTTCTGTTCGGGATTGGGTCATACTATGGATATGGACAACGAAGGCGACGAGATCGTCATTAAGGAAATGAAGGTTTCATCAGATGAAGAAAATGGGGACTTAAAAAACGATATAGAAGAGGAGGAGCAAAAAAGGGAAGGTTGGGATGATGGAGGTCATGAGTTTTCGACTCGAGGCATAAAGGTAGAAGATGGCCAAGAAGACGAAGAAGGAGAAGAAGTGGACAATGTAGAAAGACCCCGTTCTGATAGGAAACGCAAAAGTTCATGGAGGCATCAACAGCAATTATCTATCACCAACACTGTTTCGACTGAAGGCTCCAAGGTGGAGGATGAAGTGCGAGAAGACCATGAAAACGCTCGCGCTGCTCATACACGTCCCGCAAGGTCTGAGCGCGCAGAACGTGAAAGAAAAAGTAAACGCCGAAAGAAAACTGCCCACGCGTCTTCTATAGACTCTATGTCAGCTACAAAGGGTCACAAATTATCGCTTGGACTGAGCACATCTCCGAATCAGGACTTAGATAGCCTATGGTCAATCTCGCTTCCGGAACAACGTCAATACCATCCTTCGCCTCATCCTTCCTCTTCCTCTTTGGACATCTCATCCTCCCCTTATATCAATGGACCTAACGGTTCCTCTCTGCTGTATGACCAAAAAGACGGTACCAGTGCTCATATGACTTTCGCCGCCACCACTACCACCACATCCTTAAATAACGGTTGTAGTAGCAACAGCTTTATTACTAAGCAACAGTTTTTTATACTTGCGGAAGAATATTTGCTTTCACTCTCGCCTAAAAAACGAGAGAAGGCCCTTCTAACTAACTCTATGTATCAAAAGATCCTCATGGTTTTGATTCAGCCCAAGAACACTCAAGTCTCCACAGCTCAGTTCCGTTTCTGGGCCAAGAAAATGTTTACTCTTTCCACTACCTCAACTCATCATGTTGTCTGTCATGGAGGCAAGCCCGTCGCCACCAAAGAATGCCTCTATGACGTTCTTATCTATTGCCATCGAAAGAGTTCTCATGGTGGAAGAGACAAGACCTCTGCTGAGGTATATTGCTTTTTTTTTTTTTTTTTTTTTTTTTTTTGTTTTCTTCTTCATGGTAAAACAAAAACAATAATACTAGCAAGGTGGGAGTGATATTAGTCCTCTTTCCTTCCCCTATCTAAGAACGCGTCTTTGTTGCTTTTTTTTTTTTTTTTTTTATAATCCTAGGTTCGACAACATTATTCTTGGGTCCCAAAGGAACTCATTGCCCGGTTTGTAAAACACTGTCCTTTGTGTCAAAGTCGACGTAGCACACAACAGCGTCCATGTATCAACACTCGTTCCGTTATCACATCATCATTAGCTATTTCGCCCACTATTTCTCCCTCCCCTTCTCCTTCCCCTTCCTCTCCTCCCACTTTATTAACGTCGTCATCCTCTCCTTCATCTCCGACATCATTGACCAAAAGTCAAGCCGCGCATGAACAGCAACCACAATATCTTCAGCCTCAACAGCAATACCAGCACCAGCAATGTCATGGTCTGTCTCTTCCTAATCAACATTATGCTACACTTTATAACCACCCTCATCTTGCTCAGCACCAACACCAACACCAAATCCAGCTCCAGTTCCAGCTCCAGCTCCAGCTCCAGCATCAGAATCAGCAGCAGAATCAGCAGCAACAATTTGCCTATCTAAATCAAGCAGGCTATAGTCACTTTCCCGCAGAGGCCAACGCTCAGATCAGTACAGCTGAGCGCATACAAATCGATAGTGATTATGATCGTGACGATAATGATAATGTTTATGGTAATGAGGGTCGGAACAGCAGTGAAGGCGAAGAGGGTATATGTGAAGGAACAGAGGAAGACTATGAAGGAAAAAGAAAGGATATCGATCAACAACATCAACCTGGGGATCTTACAATAGGAATGGGTACAGACGAAGTAGACTCAAGGATAGGGGCTTTGAGTATTTCTTCAGATCATTGCAATCATGGCTTTATCCTCAAGCATTCTAATGGCGCTATAATGCAGAGCGGTATAGCCAGTATACCACACCCTTCATTCCCTTCTTCTTCTCCGTCAAGACTTTTAAATAATTCCCAGCACCATTCGTTTCCTGGACCATTTTATCATAATTATCATCATCACACAACCACAGCAACACCTGATATGGTCCCTGTCGCCGTGCACCCCAATGGCCATATTCTTCACGCTCGACATCCCATCCACAATCGAGCCAGAATCTTGGGTCTTGTGAATGCTGGTCACAACAATGATGGTAACAACAGTTTCAATGCCAAGACAAACAATACTGATACCAATAACAATAGCAGTGGCAACAGTTATAGCAGTAATAACATCATGAACCATCATAACCATCTGTCCTCCGTTACAACAACAACCGCGGCGACACCCTTATCAATACCAATTAATTTGTCTCATGAAATGGAAACATCACAGGATGATAATCTACAGAACCCATTACTTTTATCATCACCCTTTCATCTTGCTTCGAGTCATCGCCATCAACACCCTCAACTTCGTTCACGACAGCACTTTCACCAAAAATTTATCCTCAGCAACACATTGAACGCTCAAGATTCTCACTCTATCGAAGGGCGGGTTGTTGTGGCTGGGATTGATGAGGATGAAGGCGATGATGGTGATATTGAAAGAGAAAATGAAGAGTGATAATAACGACGATGACTATAACAACCAAAGTCAACAGGAGAATTGGGCTTCTTGTTACCCAAGAAATGTAATATGTGTGGATTTAGTGATCCTCATAGGACTCATTCTAGTCTCTCTCAAGATTTGTCCTCTACTAGTAGATGAGCTATGAAATTATGTTTACGATTACGACTCTTCATGTCTATCAGTAAAAATTCTATGTCAAAATTATAATTTTTTATTGCACTAAAGACGTTAGCACATGTGCGCTAGAGGTGGACAACCAGGTCAACAGATTTTTTTTTTTTTTTTTTTTTTTTGCTTTTCTTTCTCTTGAACTTTTTCTTCAAACACCGTATTCCTTAAGCTCCTTCAACAGGTATTTCGATTCATCTATCCAATTGACAGGCGTTGCGGAAAGGATTGTGTAACGCATCTTGGCCTCATCGCCATATGTCTCCTGCTTGGCTCGGCATTTGAACACATATGATTTGAATGTAGCCTTGTCGAATATGGGCTTAATTTCATGTGGATTCTTGACTAAATCTCCTGCCGGGCGTCCAGTGATGATTTGACCTGCATCATTAAATGCCTGTAGCCATGCATGAGCTGTGTGGTCGGAAGCACTCACACCCATGACGTATCGGTATTCAGGTTCCGGATGCGTACGGTTGCATTTTTCGCAACGCCAAGCATTGGGACCATCCTCGATGACCTTCTTGTTGCAGTTGGGTGTTGGACACGCTGGATATTGGAATGTATTGTCGGATTTACTCATCATCACAATTGTAGCTTTTGTCTCAAAGTAGAGTTGCTGCGTGGGGTCCATATTACTACTGGCTTGTTTGACCTCCTCCAGAGTCATCCGAGGCGCATTATTTGACTTGAACTCAGACATGTGTGAATGGAATGACACTGACTGTCCATTCTGATCAAACCAATTTCGAAGCTTGAATGCCTCTGTGATCTCAGGATTGACCTTGTATGAACTGCCTCCAAAAGCATTAAGCGATTTCCCTATTAGTTTAGAATTGAAAAATTGGCATCAAATTAATAATAGCTGGGCAGTATTTATATTGCGAAGCTAAAAACCAAGCGATACTGTCCTTACCACCATAGTCACTGACGGTAACGCCCTTAAAAGCAATCACCGGGTTGGACCCCGTGACAGCGAATGACTCAGCCTGGTTACCCCATAGCGTAAGGCGAGTAGTGAATCCGGTATTATCAACCAGAGTCAAATCCCGCTTAATAACTGGACGATTCGTTTTTTGTGAGACGCTGTGAGTAACTTCACCAATCTCCTTGACAATCGCCACAACGTCTATGGTTTCCTTCTCTTGCACATCAGAAAGTGCTGACAGATCCACGAACTTGTAACGCATTGCTGGTACATGATCGGATTCAGGTGCCTAAAAATATCAAGAAAGAAACATGCCATGTCCTCGTGAGAAGCAAGTACAGCATCCTGACATCAACTACTCGGAAAACCTAATGAATCATAGATTAAGCTTGCTTACAGGGATGATCTGAGTTTCACGCTGCAAAATCAGTTCATAATCGTTCTTGACATTAGAGAACTGTTTGTTGGCATAATTCACCTTGGCATTTGACAAAAAGTAGACCTTGCCCTCTTCGATAACGTTGTAAAACTCATCGACCTGATGGGTGAAGGCAGTAGCTTTGATCTCGCCCTACATCAGTATCCAGTTGTTATATTAGCCTATTAGTGAGTCGCTTCTCCTTTACTTCTTCTTTATCCTCACTAATTACGAAATTGGCCATACTGAACCATGTATGTTGCATAGTGTGCGCTCTAACTTACGCTCTCGTCCATCAAAGTCATGCTAAAAAGTTTCCCCTCATTGCTACCTGGCTTACTCCAGGTTTTTATCTCCGACTTCTGTGTGACGCGAGCCATAATTGTCCATCTGTTCTGGTAAGGATTGAGGGAGCTAATAGGGAAAACAGGACCACCGCTTGGAGAGACGAGCACTTGTTGCTGTTGTTGTTGCTGCTGTTGCTGTTGCTGTTGCTGTTGCTGTTGATGCTGGAAAGGATTGTTCATCTGCTGGTTCTGATTTTGTTGTTGCTGTTGTTGTTGGGCTGTTCCTGATGCAGCTTTGTTCTGCAGTGGGTTACTTGCGTTGGGATCGATAGGTGCCTAGAATTTGCATGAATAGTATGCAGTATGTAGGGAAGCAGCTTAATGACCTTGCTCGTAAGATGTTCAATCGCTATGTCACGCTTTATCAAGAGGAGGGCTAAAAGACTTACGGGTTCTCCGATCTTGTTCACAATTCCAAAGCTGTCGAGAATATCCAACTCTACAGCAAGAATGAGCCTTAGGCGAATACAAGGCAGAGTGCTTATGTTAGCGTTGAGAATAAAAAGGATTGCGTCCATAAGCAGATGAGCTACAAGGTTTGTCGCTAAAAGGATATAAAATATACATACTTTCTTCCAGCGACGGGCTTAAGTGAGTGCTTTTTAAGCTTAACAATAGCATACTTTGGCATTGCTCCACTTTCAACAAGAGGATTGAGCGAGGTGCCAAGAATACCTATGATAAGATATGGTTTTTTTTTAGTGGCAAAACAAACCAAATAAGAAGTTTCTTCCTTGACCTAAAGTTTACATATTAGGAATAAAGGCTGGCTTATTCGTTACCCTGCAAAAAGTGAGATCCATCAGAGAACAGCGCTCTATCAAGGAACCAACAATAACAAATGTCAATATTCAATATTAAATCTCAAATATCCTATTTGCCACCAAAAAATAGTATAGTAACAGTATTGAAATAAAGTGACCTACCTGTAGCGGACAGGTACATTAGGGAGATCCTGATGCATAGGCTTGGTGTTCAGGACCTGTAGAATGGGGGCGGGACATGGTTCCTCATTAAAGATTGCTTGAATAGCATTGGGTGTGCAAGGGTTTGTCATCGTGTAATAGTGGCGTTGGTGTGAATGAGAGAAAAGCAGTGTTTTCAAAAAAAACGCGTTGGTTATCCGTTATTCGGATGACAGTCACTTAATTAAATCATGTGATATGTGGCTTAGATTTATCATCCGCAGTAACAACATGGGTACATGAATTTTGCACGTAGACTAATTAGAATAGTGTTTGTTAATAGTGCAATAGTGCATTAGTGCACGAGGCACACTATCTGACTGCCTCGTGCTGTATGAAAAGCGTCTGTCTTTCAGAAAAAATTTTTCCACCCTCTTTGCTTCTCTCCATCTCTCATTAGACAATCCGAGTTCTTTAAGAAAAGGAACTCTCTTTGTCTACATTTAAAAAAAAGTAAAAAAAAATCATGTCTGCCCGGTAAGATCATCCCCTCCTCATCTGTTCAATCCTCTGATCGTTTTAATCTCGGCATCGACAAATTTGTGCATTCCAGAGAAACCAAAGTAAAGTGGGAAGGATCCCACTAAGCAGCTAATCCTTCAGTTGAAGGATTTGACTATAGGACAATCAGAATGAGATGGATCATTTAACTTGTGACTCTATCCCCGGCAACATCTTGTTGGTCATTGAATGGATGCGACCATCATAAGACAATAGCATGAGATGGATCATTTGTCCTTTTTTTCTCTCTCCCCCTGCAAGACATGATCCCTGATATCTGTTCTGCGAGACATACCTTTGCCTATTTTTTCTGTGTGCGAGTGCCGCAGCTCTGCATATCTATTATTACCACCTTGCTCCCTATCATGCGGGGATTCTAACACTTCACATCCTTTACTACTCTTACATCGGCGACCAACAACAACGGTTCTAACCTTTTATTTTTATTTCTCTTTCCAACATTCATGATACAATAGCGACGAGACTTCTGGTCTCGAACTTGACCAGAATGAGATTGAGGTAAGGCTTTTCTTTTTTATCAAGATTAAAATGGATATTTTATTCTTGAATAATATCTTTGACCATTTGTCCCTGTGGCATGAAATATGGGTAAAGCACTAAACATTTGTACTATGTATCCTTTTCTTTCAATGAAATAAATAGTCCAACTGGGATGAGGTTGTTGACAACTTCGACAACATGAACCTCTCCTCCGACTTGCTTCGTGGTATTTACGCCTATGGGTATGTTAACACTGATCTTCAAGGATGACCGAATTATGGGTTGTCAGTGAGCCCTTGTGATCGCAAGATTTACTTTTATGCTCACAGTGTGCTAAAATGGCTTTTTTTTTTTTTTTTTTTTTTTTTCCTCTTGTGTCATCCGTTTTCTCCTTTGAATTATCCCAAAATAGTTTCGAACGTCCTTCGACCATTCAGCAGCGTGCCATTCTTCCCGTTATCAAGGGACATGACGTCATTGCTCAGGCCCAATCCGGTACCGGTAAGACCGCCACTTTCTCGATCTCTGCCCTTCAAAAATTGGATACTTCCATCACCCAGTGCCAAGCCCTTATCCTCGCCCCTACCCGCGAGTTGGCTCAGCAGATCCAGAAGGTCGTCATTGCCCTTGGTGACTTTATGAAGATTCAATGCCACGCCTGCATTGGTGGTACCAATGTTCGTGAGGATATGAAGACCCTTCAAGATGGTGTTCAAGTTGTCGTCGGTACTCCCGGTCGTGTCTTTGACATGATTAACCGTGGCGCCCTCAAGACCGACCACATGAAGATGTTTATCCTTGACGAGGCTGATGAGATGTTGTCCCGTGGTTTCAAGGATCAGATCTATGACGTTTTCCAGCGTCTTCCCCCTAGCACTCAGGTTGTCCTTTTGTCTGCTACCATGCCCACTGAGGTCATGGAGGTTACCACCAAGTTCATGCGTGATCCCATCCGTATTTTGGTCAAGAAGGACGAGTTGACCCTCGAGGGTATCAAGCAGTTTTACGTTGCAGTTGAGAAGGAGGAATGGAAACTCGACACTTTGTGCGATCTTTACGAAACCGTCACTATCACTCAGGCTGTCATCTTCTGCAACACTCGCAGAAAGGTCGACTGGTTGACCGAAAAACTCACTGCCCGTGAGTTCACTGTGTCAGCCATGCACGGAGACATGGAACAGCAACAGCGTGAGGTCATCATGAAGGAGTTCCGCTCAGGTTCTTCTCGTGTATTGATTGCCACTGATTTGTTGGCTCGTGGTATCGATGTCCAACAGGTCTCTTTGGTCATCAATTACGATCTTCCCTCTAACAAGGAGAACTACATTCATCGTATCGGTCGTGGTGGTCGTTTCGGTCGTAAGGGTGTTGCTATTAACTTTGTTACCGCTGATGACACTCGTATGCTCCGTGAGATTGAGCAATTCTACTCTACTCAGATCCTTGAGATGCCCATGAACGTCGCTGATCTTATTTAAAATAATCGCGATGTTGTGTGTGGAAAAGAGAAGAAAAAACTAAAGAAAAGAGGGGGCCTGCTTTTCTTTTTTTTTTTGCCTTTTTTTTCTTTTTCAACGAAAACGTAATAATGTATGTCTCTCATTAGGAAAAAGAAATAAATCAATACATCTTTTGCATTCTTATCTTTTGAACATTGTGTACTGAACCATGTTATGATTAATATAAAGCAATGTGGTTGTTTGCTAACAGCTTTTTTTTTTTTTATTTGTTCATTTTTTCTATTTGTCATTCCTACTGATACATGTTAATTTAGGCTTGTTATAAATTGCAAAATAAATTTTCTGAAATGGAAAAAAAAAAAAAAAAAAATCTATTGATGAAATGTTGCTCAGCTAAAGTTCGGGTCGTTGGAAGGCTCGACCGATGTGTAGTCGCATTGAAGGACATTATGCTCCATAGAGCCACAGTACAGACATGTATGCATGTAAGGGCATGCACTTTTGTTGGCTAAAAAGCGACAGCCCTTAGGCGCTATATTGAACGATAAGCAGGGTCGGATAACAACCATGGTAGTCTGTTGAACTCCTGCTCCATTTGCCCCAGCTGCCAATGACGTTCCTGCAGCCTCTGTTGATCCTGTAGATGTTGTTGTGCCAGATGAAGAGTTAGAGGAGACTACCCCTATCAGAGTTGAGTCTGCTTGACGTTTCCTAGGAGGTTGATCTGAATCTTTCAGAGGATCGGTCGCCGCACCACTATCCTCATTGGCATTAGTTTGAGGCCCATCATATCCAGACTTGCGTTTTCTTGGCGATATTTCTTCAGCCAAGGAACCCTGCTGATCTGACAATGAGAATCTGCGACCACTCTCTGCAAGTCTTGCCAAAGCAAGAGCAGCAGCCGAGGTACCAGTAGGCGTAGATTCTGCCCCTGCCACTACCCTAGATTCTGTCCCTTGCTTTGAAATATTTCTAGGCTGCAGTTTTGGTGGAACAACCACTGCAGTGGCTGATCCTGCGGCAGCAGAAGTTGAGAGTGTGCTAAGTCTTGAAATAAGTTCCTCTGTCGCAAGCATCATCCTTCGAATCTCTGGTAATTGATGTTGTTCTAAGCTTCGCTTCATCTCATGATGCATCCGACTCATCTTGAGTTCTAGCTCAATCTGTGCTCCTAGGTAATTTAATCGGGCATCTGAGTCCAAGACCTTGGAAGTAATTGCCTCTAGTTGGTTCGAAACCAAAGCGTATCGCTGTTGCAGCTGTTGAAGATCAACGGTGCAGCGGTCAATAACTTCAAAGGCCAGGGACATGTCGCTCCTACCGACCTCCCCATGTGTTGTTGGAATCATGTTTAGACCATTACTGCTGAAGACTGGCGCAGCTATAGGCCGTTCATTGGTGGCATAGTTTCCAATTCCACGCCCAGTTGCCGAGTAACTAGGAAATGCTGCAGCAGATATACTCGTATTATATCCGCCAGATGTAGATAAACCGAGGTTATTAGCCCGATTAGCTGCAGAGAAGATGATGGGCGAGCTGATATTGTGTTGCAGTCTGCTTGCAGATGAAAAGAGGATTGGAGAGTCGTCCCGCACAGGCTTATCCATTGCATTCTTATCCTCTAAATTCCCTGTACTTTTGTACTGTGGCTGTTCTTGCTGCTGTTGCTGTTGCTGTTGCTGTTGCTGTTGCTGTTGTTGTTGTTGTTGTTGTTGCTGTTGTTGTTCTTGTTCTTGTTCTTGTTGTTGTTGTTGTTGCTGTTGCTGTTGCTGTTGTTGATGTTGATGTTGCTGTTGTTGCTGTTGCTGTTGCTGTTGTTGTTGTTGCTGCTGTTGTTGTTGTTGTTGTTGATGCTGTTGCTGTTGCTGTAGCCTGCTTGCTGATGAGAAGAGAATGGGCTCCTCATCCTTCACAAGCGCAGATTCAGCGGCTATCGAAGATGGTTGCGGATGCTGCTGCTGCCGCGGTTCCGCGTGTGCTCCATCCAACTTCGCTTGCATACGATTGGCTGCTGAAAATATTATAAGAGAATCATCAGATGCGATAGATTTAGCGATCATGCCCGCATCAGACTTACTAGCCACACGAGAGGCTTCAATGTCTACGGAGGAAGCGCTCATGTGCTCACGATCAAGTAATCTATCACGGTTATTATCAGAGATCACCTCTGACGCCTTCTCCCGTGCAGCTTCTGCCAACCGTTCGTTATTCTTATTAGACTTCCAGTCTATGTTGTTCGTAGCGCTCTTATCAAACGTTTGATCACCACGTCGGTCAGTCATTCGATCAGACTGTCGGTCAGTCCTCCACTGGCTGTCTCGATCATTTCCTCGATCATTTCCTCGATCATTTGCTCGATCGTTTGTTCGATCGTTTGTTCGATCATTTCCTCGATCACTTCCTCGATCACTTCCTCGATCATTTCCTCTGTCGTTTGTCCTGTCTGTCAGTCTATCACTTGTTCTATCGATTGCTCTATATATCCCGCGATCATAATTTCGATCACTTCCTCGTTCATAACGATCAGTTCCACGGTCATATCCTCTTTCACTGTCCCTATAGCCCCCTCTATCTGCTCCATATTCATATCCGCGATCTCTGTCATAGACCCTGTCTACCACTCTGTCTCTTTCCCGATCTGCATTTCGCTCTAATGCGCGATACGAAGTCCTATCAAAGTTCCTATTATACTCAAATGCCCTCTCATTTTCTCGTGCCTTGTCCAATTGATTAGGTCTATCTCTATCCACTTCCAAATCATATCTGCCTGATAATTTGGAATCTCCTGCTGATTTAAGCGCATGTGATCCTGGTACTGTTTCCCTGCTGTTGAAAGTAGGTGCTTTACCTCCGGATGAAAAATCTGCAGAACCTGCAGATCTTTCTCCGCGAACAGCACTAAGACTCAAACCACTGTTTAATTCATTTGAATCATTCCCAGATTTTTTCCGCTTAGGTCCTGGGGACAATTGATCATGTGAGTCAGATGTCTTCCTTAATGTCGTCAAATTAATTGGGCTTGTGACTTGGTTCCGTCTACTATCATCCGTCCCATTATTGTTTCCACTATGTCTTTGAAATCCATGTTCTTTTGCAGAATCTCCGCTCTTGTTCATAGCATCATCTTTGCGGGCCATGGCGGCGACCTTTTGTCTAAGCCGCTCTTCCTGTCTTAAGCGTTCTTCCTGTGTACTGATACCCACAGCTCCTCGACTACTTGTGTCAGATGCCGGACTTCCTCCGGTTTTGGTATGAACAGTAGGACTAGCTAGAGGTGTCCTCGAAGTAGGAGTGGCTAACTGAGTGTTAACCGTCATCGCTGACTTTGAAGCAACGTTATTATTAACTGCAACTAATTTCAGCCCAGGCGCGCCGGAGACTCCACTGCCTTTTGGCGATGGCGAAGGCTCGGGATTCTTTGGGTTCGCATCAGGTGCGTTAGCAAGTGGATTGGTGTTATTGGTGCTCATCCTAGCAGAAGGACGCACTGAAGTTGATGAGTCAACCGCAGGTTGTGTTCCTGAAGCAGAAGAAGCAGAAACATTGACCAAAGGTGAATAGGTAGTCAAGTTGTCGGATCCACGATCGTGGATCGGGCCACGGATCTCAGCAGAAAGAGCACTGTTCGCTGCCATGCTGCCGTGATCCTCATGTTGAGTGACTTTACCAGCCAAGGTGTTTTCCGGATCACGTTTTGGCATAGTAGCACTAGTATATGAGATATCCTGACGGAAACTCGAAGTACTAGTATCGTCTCGAGCATTATTTGTCTCGTTTATAGCTAATCATGCCAAATGAAGGACGGTTGAGCCCAATCTGATTAGAACAGCGCAGTGCATGATGTAAACAGGAGGGAAAAAATAGAGCCAAAGAACCTATGTTTTCTTTTGTCTTCTTCTTTGTAGTTACCTTGCTCAGTTTTTGTGTTCGCCTCAGACGTCGGAGCAGATGTCAAGCCCTTATAAGGTTGTTTAGAGTCAGCATGTTAATGACGATGTTATAGTGCGGAAGCATAGCTTGCTGTGTGTGGGAAAATGCAGAGAACATCACTTTGGATGATGATACATTTTCTGTTATATTAAAGCTTCCCTAAACCTTTACCTTATTATCGATACCAGAGTTGATAGCATTTTCTGTTTGGCTACTATTGCCGTTACTGTTGGTGGCAGTATCGATATTGTTAATGCCATGAGACGCACCTGCACGTTGACTAATTAATAACTCACGCAAACTTCCTGCTTCCATTGATACATCTCTCTCGCGATTCCGTTCAATGTCTCCAGTGAGTTCATATCCTCGATGTGGTCGTTCCGGGTTCGCTAGATGAAACTGGATATGGGGTTCAGAGTTTCGGCATTCTCGTGGCGCCGAAGGTGGAGGTCCACGCTGAATGTTGCTGAAGTTCGAATCCTCACGGTATCCGCGTTGGTATTGTGGATCAGAACCTTGCGGGCTGTTTCCTGGCATTAATGAAGAATCATGGCTATGCTGCTGCTGTTGCTGCTGCTGCTGCTGCTGCTGGTGTTGATACTGGTGTTGTTGCGTCTGATGCTGTTGATGCTGCTGCTGGTTATTATTATGGTGTTGGTTTGGATAGCTACCAGATGAGGCTTCTTGCCTTATAGATTGTAAAGATAGGCCTTGCTCGAGATTCGACTGAGAAGGTGCATCGGTAAAATTGTATCCCGACCGATAGTGGTCCCGATGATCCCGGTTTCCATAATAGCCTGTATGGTTTGACCTCAAAGAGCGAGTGTCAGAGTGTGTTGAAGAAGAGGCCCTGTGGCTTCGAATGGCCATCTGACGTTGACGCAGCATGTCCTTGAATGCAGTCTTTTTGTTGGAATTCGCATGGTCCTCTGGTGGTCCGCCAGATGAGCTCCCTGAAGGTGTATATGGTGGGTCTGCGCGAGGAGAGTAGCCTCGATTCACAGACAAGTGCCGATCCATGTTGAGTTGAGATTAGTGCCAATCAATGTGACTCTTCGTCCTTTGCGGAAGAAAGAAAAAAATGACTGGAGTATGAGAAACCTTTTTTTTAAAGTTCGTACGATGTAATCATATTCTTATACGTATAGAGTCATGGGACCAGGAGGGATTGTTCCCACCCCTTCCTGCACGGATGCTGGTTGCTTTACATAATTTATTTAATTTGATGATATCATTCATTCCTAAAATTGAGAAAGAGGCGTGCACAAAATCCACTGGCACGCAGAGCGTTTGCAAGATACTGTTGGTTTTAGTTTTAGTCACGTGTAGAGGGTTCGCCACCAACTATTTAACGAGCAACAGCTCAGGAAAATCTGGCTCCTTGTTCCTTATTTTTACACAAGAGCCATTTGAGTACTGACTGTTCTCGTCCAGGTAAAGAGCCCTCACAACGTTCGTCGTTAGTAGCCATAGATCATTAAAGGTTCCTTATTTTTACACAAGAGCCATTTGAGTACTGACTGTTCTCGTCCAGTCTTCGAGTAGTGTGTGTGTGTTCTTTTATTGTGTTAGAATTATTTATCTATCAGCTGGAAGTGACCGGCTTCATAATCCACCAAAACGACCTAAATCTCCTACCACATCTGCCCCTAAATTTTGCAACAATACCAAAGCAGTAATTAACAACAACGCTTCAAGTCTGTTTATTTATTCATCATCTTCAAATCTATCCTGTAGTTGTACATCTCAATTATCGACTATCGGTTATCGAGATCGATGCGCAAGAGAATACAATAATACGACTTGCCTTTCACGTAATTGAGGGATTGATATCTCTGACTTCTCGCCCTTCTCCATCCTATCTTTCGCGGATACATTTTACCTATTAAACTCTGAATCATGGGAAGCAGATTAATCTAGACATGGCACTTCTGGGGACACAACTCTTCCGCTATAATGCAAAAGCAAGTTGGAGACATTTTATGATTAGATGATGTGATCATGAACGATACATGTATTTCAATCCAATTGTGCTTAATGAGATACAGATTACCGATCATGACAAGCCATTGAATGCCTGCAAGCTTCATCGATTAATACCTACACTGACGATCACCGTGTAAAAAAAAGAAAAGAAAAGAAAAGAAAAAGAAATCAGCACCTACTCCCAATATCAGTTTTTTTTTTTTTTTGTAAAGGACAGGCAAAAAATAAGGCTATTGCCTCCTTCCTTCAAAATTTTTTTGCAGGGGTACTATGGTTGAACCTATCCAAGATGATGCTGGGGACATATTCTGATCGACCCAACACCTACTAGATGACCCGACCTCTGAACGGATGATTACTACGCAGCACATTCAAAAATATCAAGAACTGTCTGTATCACAATCTTGTTTATTTAGCAAGTAACACTGATAAGAAAGAGAAAAATGATCCGCCTTTGAGGGATGGGAGCCAAAAGCGTACAATTGAGCAAGATAAGGGATGAAGTATATGAAGTACCGAGGGTAAATTAAAGAAAAAAAGACTGATAATACATATTATGAAGGGTATTTTGAAGATGGGGTACGATAACAGAGTAGGTGCATCTAGGACACTGCTGGCGGGGTCGATTATAAAGTACAGTCATGCTTACAAAAAAAAAAAAAAAAAAAAAGAAGAGAAAAAATACAGTGAATAGACAAAGAAATGAAAGGGAAAGGAAAAAAGGAAGTGAAATAAAAAGGGGTCCAGAGGTAGTAAAAGCTCATGAAAGACAATCATCTTGATCTTTACCAGACGCGATCCTCTATGCCAAAATAATCGGGTGCCTCGTCATCTTCATCAGCGCCGCTGCGGCGGGCCAAAGCGCGGTAGGGTAGTGACTGGAGCTTAGTCTTGATAGCTGCATGGCAGGGATTGTGAATGTGCCTTATTGTAGGCACAATAATGAATGCTTGACTATCATCCACCAAATGTGAGCTCTCTTCTCCAGATGGGATGCTCCCCATGGAAACCACGCAAGTAGAAGGTCGATCGACGCTAAGATCCACCTCATTAGCGTCAACCGAACATTGGCGCATACTTTTAAGTATCCTTCGGCGATTGGCGTTTTGTTCGAGGCGGCCAGATGTACCTTGATTGCTTAATAGATCTGAGAGGAGAGAGCGACGAGTAACACTGACGAAGGAAGGGACAGCAAGCTTTAAGAGAAAGAAAGATTTCGAAAAGGGATGGGTAGAGGCGGGGTTAGAAGGCTGTTGTGCATTGTGATGTGAATATGGATTCAAACTAGGTCATGAATTTGTAGAATTCCTCTTCTGCCGCTGATGCTCGGGATAGGTGTAGTGCTATAAAGCTATTCTTTGTAGTCGAGCAAACTACAACAGCTAGACTGCACAATGACACGTTATATTGGTGATATAAATGCACAGTTGCTCTCGGGAAGGCCAGTTGCGAAGATTGTGATACCAATGTCCCATCGAGAGCGACGGGAAGTAAGCTAGCTTGCGCATGTGTGCCTTTGCTTCTAACGTAGTAAGGATGTCGTAACCCACTGTCCGTGTGTGTATATTGTCGACCTCAATTATTCTGTGCATGTGCTGAATATCCATTCTTTGTCATTGGCAGTGACACAGGTACAGATAGGGATTTTAGATGGAAGGTTGGTTGTCGAAAATAGACAATGTGGAAGATACAAGTATAAAGAGGGATAGCTACGCTTCATACGCAATTCTGTGCATATCTTTACCTTCACAAGCCTTCCGTTCAATGGTCTAGATGCATCAGCTAATAGTGAAACGAAAATGGTACATTAGAACTTCGGGCAGACTATTCCTAGTAGGAAACTGTGGTTTTCGCAGAGAATACAAAACAACAATTCGACGCAAAAAGTCAATGGCGTACGCATGAAGCACGCTGTATCAAGAACATAAGCATGCTTGTTATTGTTGTTATTATTGTTGCAACTATTGTTGCATGTCTATGCTCAATCACTACCATTGTTAGCGACAATCACAGTTGTGCTCAAAATACGGTATGGAAACAATGGCTTACCATCAGTCTTGTGTTTAGCTCCCACAACTATTTCTGCAGTACTTGAGACATCCTTTGTCTTAATGCCTGCTTCTAACAGGCTCTTCTGGAGCAGCTCAATCGAAATAGCGCCTTCACTTCTACGCTTGACGTGTCGCGCTTGGTTAACAGGTGAGATTGATCCTTCTGCCGGACCAATCGCGTCATAGAAGTAACCATTAGAAGCATAATACGAAAGGCGGTTATAGTGTCCGTGGTGGGCTGCAATAGCCAAGCAGCTTACGGTGCGTCGGTGATAGCTGCCAGAACTTTATACGTTCATTCATGTAATTTTACGAGGCAGTATTAGGAGTGCGATCAAAAATAAGGGATGTCCTTCACTGTTTCTAGGATACCACTGCATTTTTGCTTTTTGTATTTTTACCTTTTACGCAGCTCAGTTGGGGCCTTGGCAAAGCAACCAAACTTGTGAAGACTCTGGGCACTTACAAGCATGCTGGGGTTGAATGAATAAAAGGAAGCGACGAGTTGCGAAGGCAAATGCTAAGTCGAGCAGATATACAAGCAGGAATAAAAATAAAACTGGCCAAATAGGTGAATGTTGAATGAAGTAATAAAGAAAAATGGGCTCGTTAGCGTATCAAGCTATTGTGAAAGGAAGCAATGGAGATAAGTCGAATATGCTTGGAACTGCGGATGAGAGCTGGAGTTGCCGTGTGAGCGTGTGGAAGGCTGCCCTTTTGGAGGTCTTTAGTTCATGGAAGTTTATCGGTAGGGAGGAACTACTGACGAAAGAGATTTTTGGGAATGAATGATGATTGTAAAAGAGGGGAGAGGAAGTACCTTATTTATGTGTTTTTGAAGAGGTTTTAAATGTTTGTGCTCAGATCATATAACTATTAGTGGGGGAATGAAGGGAGCCATCGAGTCGAAGCCAGGAGTACAAATAACCCAAAATGCTTGAAGGAAGGGATACAAGGCCGGGAAAGGGCCACCAGGCCATTAGTTCCCAGCAGGCAACCAAGTCACGCTGCCCTTTTATACTACGGCCTACAGGACAGGTTTCTGCATTCTTAGAGGTAAACGAGATTGCTTCACTCATGTGCACTCAACCGGACATTCACGCAAAGCGTCGCCAGCAATCACTAATGAAGGATTAAATCACCAAAAACTTAACAAGGACTATGCGAAATTACGTTGGATACTGAGTGATATTGAAGGATGTAAATATACCTCCGCAGGGAAGCAACTACAAGCGGGGCTAAAGGCAGCCGTTAAAAAGGGGGATTTCTGTGTGCCTTATGTTTCCTTGTTAAGTCTTTTCATGCCTTTTTATAAATATAACAATAATGCTTGTCGACTCAACTTCATGGTATATCTGCGTAATTGTATCCGTATTAATGGATGAATGTATGGAGTAATAAATAGAGAGCAAATGCACGTAAACAGCCAGGTCGTCTTGGCGTAAGACTAATATGGCGTGCCAAGGACAATATGACACCTCAAAGCAAAGATATCAAACATCAGGAGAAAGAGCAAGGGGAAAGTGTCCAAAAAAAAGGGACTTTTTTCCTTCTTGCAGAATTTTATTAAGAACAATGATATATGCACTGTCATGTAATGAATAACTTATTTCTATATGCAGTATGCCCAGAGGTGTCATTGACTCAGGGCCGTGTAAATGAAGGCTCTATTGTAAACTCTATTCGCTGCTGAGACCATCTGGCTGGTACTATTGGAAAAAATACATGTGAACAGAGTGTTCAGTACAAAAGATAGGGTGTGTCTTCGTTTGGTGGGCCTAACATGATGAAGCCTTCTGAGAAGGGAAGGGAAAATAATATAGATCCTGGTTCAAGTGGACACTCGAAAGAACATTTTATTGGAGATCCAACAAAATTGTTCGAATTGCTATCTATGGAAAAGATGGTACTACCTGAATTCACGCTTTTTTATTTCAAATTAACTGTACATGGTTAAGCAGCCAACTTGGGTATCTAGGCAAGAGGCAAAGGAACAGTTACCAAACATCGAGTCCCAAAGCGTAGGCTCGTATGGTTATGTAAATTGCCGATTCAGGCATCTGGCGGGCGACCATACTTTGAAAGCCCCGTCATGCAGAAATTATTTTTTTCTCAGTAACCTAACAAAATAAAGCTCGCTGTCCAATCCAGTATTTTCAACATTCAGGTCTAGTGCTGAGCCGCATTGAGTAGTCTATCTTCCTGTCATTTCATCCTCGTCATGCCATGGCTTATATCACTCAAAATGCTTTATAAAAGAATAGCATATCAGTGAGTATAAAAGAAAGAGTCTCTATGCAAAAGCGAAACATTGTAATTGTGCAGCGAGACCCCGTCTTGGTAGAAAATATACTAGACAGCGATTCCTCAAGGGGAATTCCCTTGATCACCGTCTGCAATACAAAATTTTCGCATCCTGGGAATAGAGAATTGGTTAGCGATGAGAACAATATCGAAAATGAGTCAATGGGCATGCGTTTCATGTACTCCTCCCTTGTCCCAAGCTTTAAATTTAAATAAGCTTGGAGCTACCGAACCTTGCGCTTTTTCTTATGACCTTAAAGATTATTACAGCGCGGATAATTCAAAATGTTAGCAAATCTAAGTTTGTATACGCTAACAGTGTGTCTACTTTCTAGTAAAGTGATGAGATAAAAGTACGGCTAACTGAAGATGGGTAAGTGAGAAGAGAATAAAAATCTATGAGCTACTTTCGGCTTCGGAAAGCCGGAGTGGGATGATCTCTATGCTAGAAGAGGCCGTGTGAGAAAGCACTGTAGTTGCTTTAGATGAAGTCTTCTCCAAGGTTCACAGATCATCTTAGCCTTTTTGTACGCTAGCGAAACGGATATCATTACCGTCATCAAGTTCCTCGAAAGCAAGGTCAGTCGGAGAAGCACTCGGGTATTTCAATCGAACACTTCATCATGCTCAATCCCACCATTATAGCTCGTAATGGAGACTGTCGGTGGTATCGAGCATGTCGATGCCTAGATACTGCGTGCTCAAATTAACGATCTGTGCTAGAGTGCTGCGTTTATAATTTCGCGTCTAGCCAACGGAGTGGAGTGATCATTCGCTGAGGACGAATGCTTGGCGGGATTTAGAGAAGTGCCATAAGGCTTGAATAAATCACTGCTTATAAAATAACTAGAATACTTGACACTGCTTACAGGTGAGTACTTTACAATGCACAAAGGGAGTGACACCTCCAAGTGCAGCTTAGTCTCCATCCAAAAAAGGAACACGCACGACAGATGGATATGATCAACTTGAAATTATTGATTATTTCTCAGACCTCCAGTTCTAAATTACATAGATTGTCTGTTGCTCAACAACTGGCATCAATCGGAATATAAAATTATTCATGAGTATGACCCATGACTACAAAGAAAAGACAGTGACCTTCATGATCAAGAAAGGCTTAATGCAAGAATGTTGGAAAGAATGCAGGGTAGGGTGTGGCTCAGGCCTATTTATGATCATGAGCCAAAAAAATAAAAATGATAAAATGAGGTCGTAGATTCCTATTCTCTTGGCCATCCTTGCGCTCAATCGGTAAAGAGCGATTCGAAGATCGAAAATTTTTTAACATGAAGAGGTTAGCACAAGGAATGAGTATCGACTTTCTCAAGCTCGAATTTCGTGCATTGTCCGCTTGGAAGCCCTTTTAAACCTTGGCATATTGGCAATCAGATCACAAATGGAACGGTATACGCGCGAAAGTCTATTTTTGTGCTTCTGTGAACATGTTTTGACAGACTTTTTGCTGCATGCCCAGGAAATAGCAAAATCCATTCTTGCTATTAAAGTTTTGACATTCTAATACTCGAACGCAGTTGATTTGAGTAGGAAGAGTATTGGATAAGGCTGTCAAAATTGCTCAAACTGTTGTAGCTTATTTAAATAATGTTTGCAATTCTCAGTTCAGGGTTATCAACCAAGCGCTCATTTTTGACCTAATTATAGTGTTAAGAGGACATGTCTTCAGACTACATGCTTTCTGGAATACAGCATGACTCTGAACCCTGAGTTGATACTTGATGATGAGTTGCAAAAGTCCTCTTCTACAATGATTTTGGTCACATGCCTACTGAACTGGGCATAGGCTAGTCTTTCCCTCGTGATGAAAGTGCATTCTTTGTTTCATTCAGTTTGGCATTACTTTTCTTTCCCTGCCCTTTATTCTCTCATTCTGCATACATACGACACTCTTCAAAACTTTGTTGTGCTTTGTTGTGATTGCGTTGCCATTCCTTTTACTCACTTTGTCCACCACACTGCAACCACATTCTCAGACCTTAAAAAAAGCACTTTCTTCTTCACAACTTCATAGAACGCAAACAACAACACAACATAACAATAGCGACTTTCAAGAAGAATGTCTTCTCAAGGAAGCCACACTCCGAGAACACAGGGCTTACAAGGCTCTGTGGGACGCAATTGGAGAGCAGTGACAGCAGCCCGCAATGCCAGCTTGGCTCCCGCTAGTGCCTCACGCATGGCAGGGACACTGTTTTACTCCGTACCCACTATTGACAATGATGCTGATGACTCTGACGGAGAAAGAAGAGAAGATGAATTGCCATTACGACCGTCATATATGCCTGACTACGACTCTGAAGACGACGGATCAGACTCAAGTACACATTCGCCTCCCATGTCCCTATTCCTTGACCGGCAACCGCAGCAGGAAGAATCAGCATTAGTATGGTGACTGCCTGGTGAAACTCTTTTTTTTTTTTTTTTTTTTTTTTTGACTTTGCCACTATCTGGATTGTGGTACTGAGTTCTGTCGTAAATTTATGCTGTAGACGCCGGCTGCCATTTATCTGGATGTGCCGCCTCCTGTTTCTTCAAAATCCAAGGTCAATGGATCTCTAGGCGAGCAACTATTGGAGCCAGCTGCAGTAAGTTGATTTGTACTTGTCTTGTTGCTTCGTTGAAGCTTTAGCATATACACAAGTCTGACCTTTTTCCTTCTGTCAACGGTAGATTCCTACCGGCCCTGTAGGTTGGACATCAATATCCTACAAGCGTACTTACAAGGATCCTTTCTTTGCTGCCTTCTACATCTTTGCGCTGATTGTATATTTTATAATTGGGATCGTCTTGCTGTTTACAACAAACGTAATCAACGGAGCTTGCTTGAAAATTCCATTCAATTTTTCTTCGCATTTGCCAAGTCTCTATTCTAACGCGCAAACTTTACAGTCTTCACCGCTAGAAGGGCGAATCCCTAACGTATTCTCTGCTATTAAATCGAGTGCCGGTAAGATACAGGCGCAGGATTTCCAAACCAAGCGCTTCATTGTAATCAAGGCTCAGTAAAAATTAATCAGGTTGAGGACTTCTCTTAATATCCTTAAATGATGTGTATAGGAATGTTGACCTTCGTGATCCTCGTATCGGCTGCGCTGGGCACACTATGGCTGATCACACTGCGGTCCTTCACAAGGGTAAGGGGGAGTTTTAAGATCAATAGAGTGCACTATTTCTAAATATCACTGATTAACCTTACAATCTGTTGTTGTTTATTAGCCTGTTGTATGGACGACGGTACTTTCAGTACCGTGTTTTGCACTTGTGATATTTATTTGGTCGCTTGTCTCATCATTTCAGGGCCCAAGGCTAGACGACGGTGCTCGAGATCCGCAGGATACCGGATTGACTTTTCTTTCGTTGCTACCATTGGGTATTGGCTCGCTATTTTTGGGTGTAATATATTTCCGACGGCAGTATGTCGCACAGGCCACAGCCATTATTGAGGTAAGGATTGTGTCCTCGACTGGTCATTGTTTTCTTCTTTGCCCTCTTCATCATATTCATATGTCGCCATATCTCGTTTGTCTTTTAATAGCTCGCATGTGAGATCCTCAAGGACAATCCGGACATGTTTTTTGTCTCTTTCGCCTTAATGCTCGTCCATGTTCTATTCACGGCGCTTTGGTTGATTTTCTTTTCTCGAGTATTTTTGATTGGACATGTCGAGGCTACCGTTGGATCCAGTATGTGCCTTATTTATTTCTCCTATCAGTGATCGATGTATTGATCAATTAACTGGACTAATATGCTTAAATTGTCTACACCGCATGCTCTAGGAAAATGGGTTATGGAGGACAATTTTTACCCTATTGCTGCTTTCATGATATTTATTTACATGTGGACATCCGCTGTACTAAGCAACGTTCAGAGGTACAACAGGGTTGGGGATATAATATATGGGCAATTACCAGATATCTTTCTTTGTATTTCTAGTCTAATTACTTTCATTATCAACTATCGTAGAGTCACCTTGGCAAACGTAGTATCTAAGTGGTACTTTCATAGGTAAGCCAAGTGAAACCATCAATCTTGCTCCCTCTTAAACATTACGCTCTGACTCTATACCATTTTCGTATTTTGTGTTATAGGCACGAGCCGTTTGCATATCATAGTTCAAAAATAACTGAACCAGCATTAATCAACTCCACAACGACATCGTTCGGATCTGTCTGCCTGGGCGCACTCTTCATTGCTATCGTTCAATTCAGCTCGTTTGCCCTTCGGAATACAGCAAAGGTAACCGGCTTGACCCTATATTGATCTATCCCATTTGTTATCTTAAAATCTTCATACATTGGCAGATATTTAACACCCACTTCTGAACGTGGTGGCTTTTCGTTTTCATTCAATAGAAACTCAAAGAGAGCTCATACTCACTCTTCGTTTTTCTTGCGACATGCTGCTCATTGATTCAAGGGCTCATCGAAAATTTCAATAATTACACGCTGATATATGTTGGAATCACAGGAGAAAGTCTATTTTCCGCTGCACGCTCAGCGAGCAAGATATTCCAAAGAAACCTCTTGGGGGGACTACTCTTTGGTATGATAGGATGGCTAATCTAAGGATACCGCGGTGGCACATGATTTGTCCAAGGTTATTTCTTATCCAGGACTCAATGCTTACTATTACTACTATTAATACTATTTCTATCATTCTTTCATTCAACGCCTTTGTCTAGATTTTTTGACTAAGCTGATCCTGTTCATATATTCCACCCTTTTCTCGCTCTTAACGGGATTCGCGGCATATGTCTTTGCGACCCATACTCTCCAGTCATCGTACGGTTATGTCATCGGTATCTTGTCGTGCGTCATCCCATTCTATGTCACACGATTCTTCACCTATATCATGGCCATTACGTGAGTCTAATGGTTTATTTATTTTTCATTGCGTGCTTTTGAAGTTCGATCCGATTGCTCCTTCTAACTTTTTTTTTTTTTTTTTTTTTAAAAAAAAAAATCCTATTATTAATGTTACTAAAGAATCGATGCGATATTTTTATGCTATGCTATTGATCTGGATACAAACACCTGTCACTGTAACAAAGCCCATAGCGCCTTCAGAGTATCATCGCATTAGAAAAGCGCATCAAGGTTTGATGCAAATTGAGGTGCTTTTCGAATCAAAACAAAGAACAAATCAAAAGTTACTTGTCTTTGATGGGATAATAAACTTTTATAAAAATACAAAGCAACTGTGGTTTACTTTTTTTCGTGTTGGGTTAAAAAGATGTTCCTGAATGAAAATGCATTTAGAATAAAGAATAGTGTGGAAAAACAGAGGAAGTTTCTTCTTCAAAGCGCCACAAACATTCACCCTGCTTGTACATACGAACAATACAAGTAGAGCATACATGAAGAGGCTACAAGGTGGCATAGCATGTTTTTGAAACAATAGCTCTGTGGTATTGGTCAAAGGAGAGTGGAACAGTATTTAAAAAATCTGAAATAAAAAGGCTTTTTTTTTAGGAAAAAAAAAAAAAAAAAAAAAAAAAGACTCCACCTTTACTCAGACAACAATCATGTCAGGACAGAAATACGTCTTCTCTCCAACCTTTAATCTGATTTCGTGTCCTTATGATATTCCAAGTCCAATATACTCACTGAATTCTTTTCGTCCTTCGCCAGCAAATATTGACAAAGGATTAGAAGACAAGGCAGGCTTAGATTGTTTTGATAATAGTCTGGCACGAATGTCGACGCAACAGCGCAGTAGGCCTTTCTCTTGGCATGAAAGCGGATTTAATCATCACTCGAAGCCACAATTTGAATTTGATTCGTCTTCACTCCCAACGAAAACTCCATCAAAATTGGCCTGGTGCTTCGACCCACAATACGTTATGGGACAGACACCCGCCTGCATTGGCTCAGTCCCACTACAGCCTCCAGCGTCGTTGCCGCATGGAGGTAGTTCGAAAAGGCGCTCAAGCTACACTCTACCCAACAAAAACCATGAGCATGAGGGATCTATCGTCAATATTCGTCGAAAAAGCTCGTTCCATCGAAATGAAGCGCCACCAATATCACCCCCAAACATCTCCATTACGACCACTGTTACTGCAACTGCCCCCTCTCTCACCAGCTGTAACCCCACCAAGAGCAACTGTTTTAATAGTGTCAATATTAGCAACAGTAACAACGGTAACAGCAATAGCAGGACCATGCCACACTTCAAAACTGAGTTTTGCGTCAAGTTTCGCGAGAATGGCTACTGCTCCTTCGGAGATCGCTGTCAATTTGTGCATTATGACTATGAACTTCAACGACGAGCGCGCGCATTAACGTATAAGACGCGCCCATGCTGGAGTGGAGAAAGTTGCCCTTACCAGCAGAACCATGCAAGATGTATCTACTTGCATGGAGACGAGACTGCAGAGATGTTTGATGAACAGCGTGGAATCAGTTTTACAAAAGTTCAGAAGATTTTGGCGATGAGGGAGGCGAAGCAACCAAGCCGTGCATTGCAGCGGAATGGAAGCAGCGGCGACATCAAGAGTAGTAGTAGTGTTAGTGGGGCTACTTGTATTGCTACTGGTATTAGTGGCAACAGCAGCAATAATATAAATGGCTGCAATAGTAAGTATAGCAACAGTCTTGTTACTGCTTACAGCAGCGATGAAAGGCCTTCTGGCCAAGAGCCGATCAGACCATACACAACTGGACATACACCAACTGTGACCACGACCTCAACAGATGAAGGAGCCTTAGAGTCGGAGAGACAGAACAAGCGATATGATGGTTACTGGCCCGCGTATCTACCTCCGATAGGAGCGACGCGTCCTCATTCCGATAATGCACAAGTAGATATTGTTATTGATGAAATACATCGCGCAGAGAAAAAATCCGTCGTTGCTTCGGAGCAGCAGCTGCACCAGCCATCTCTGGGAACACCAAGAACATCAGCAGCAACAATTACAACAATGTGCCAAAATGACTCCATACCACCACGTCTCGTCACGAGACCTCGTACTATTATCACACGAAAAGCACAAACACAAGTACTAAGTAATTTATTCTCGTCCCCTGACAAAACTCGGGCAAATAGGCCTGCATCTGTATCTATACCTGACCTCTTTTCCCCGTCAGGAACCATGCCAGATATTGACGTCCCATTCGCATCAGAAGGTCTACTTGACGAATGGGAAGACCCTTGTTTTAATGATATTCCTCAACAAGAAGCGGATACATTTCTACACCGCAGTGCTGTTAGTGACCATGATATCAAGGTGTGGTTTTTGGATACTGAAAATACTGCAACGAATAAGGGCTTGTGGCAAAGGGAGGAAGAGAATAATTTATCTAACATTGATTGTCCAAGCCCAAAGCAGACATATGCAACAATACGTTACAGGATGACAGGCCTGATAGCTGGATTGGTGAGTAATATTCCAGCAACTTCTGATGCGAATCAGCCGGCCAGTTATTACAAATTATGGTAAAATCCCTAGTATATCACAATAATCGCAGAAGAATGCGACAAGACACAGCACTAGCATAGGCACAAGTCATAATAAAATGTGAACAGATTAAATTAATAAATATCCTATTTATTATTCTTCTCACTATCAATCACTCGTAGCGAGAATTGCTTTTCCTTTATATTTTCTTCCTTATTCTTCCTCTTGTTATAGCTATAACGATAGTTATTATTATTTGACTCTCTCCCAAGGAAAACCTGTGGGTTCAAATTCTGGGCGATCATGCAGAAGCATGACTAGCCATTCTATACACTCGACTAGTCTGGGGCCGCTGCGGTTGAACATTTGGTTGCCGTCAACGAGTGCAATAGATGTTGCTCTATTTGCCATCCCTTGGAACCATTCCTGTTTCATTAGAGATTTGTATTCTTTGCGGGTCGTTTCCAAGTCCAGACCACAAGGACAAATGATCAGCACATCGGCTTCTGTTGCTACAACAGATTCAATAGGCACACGTTGTCTGTCAAAGTATTTCCAAAAAAAAAAAAAAAAAAAAAAAAAAAAGCTATTGTATCAATTGCCAAATATTGCTTGTGTATATGAAATAATAATAATAATAATAAACTCACGATGGAGTCGCCGCGCTGTTGATTGGATGGACTCCTCCCGCCATCTCGATCATCTCTGGAGTCCAATGCCCCCCTGGGTAGATCGGGTCGGTCCATTCAAAAAACATGACCTTCTTAGGTTTGTATTCCTCTCCCCCTGATTGTGTCTCTTCTTTGATCGCTTGAACAGTTCCCAAACACTTTTCAATTCTTGCCTCCAACTCAGTTCGGACTTGTTTAGCTTCTTGTTTATGGCCAATTGCATTACCAACGGTTGTAATACTTTCCATGACCTCTACGACAGAAGTGGGATTCAAGGTCACAATCTCAGGACGAGGATTCATGGTGCTTGCGACGCGTTGGACGCTGATTAGATCAATGGAGCAGACATTGCATAGATCTTGTGTGACAATGACAGTCGGATGAAGAGACTTGAGTTGTACGACATCGAGGTCGTATAAGCTTTGACCTTGGGATAAAGCCTCTGAAACCTGGCGATCCACGTCCGCACAAGTTGTGAAAGTAGTTTTGGCCTTGGTTAGGACTGGGAGATGTTGGATAGTAGAAGGGAAGTCATCTAAAAGCACGAATATGTTTGTATTATTCAGGCAAAGTCCACTTCAGATTAGCCCAACGACAGATATTCATTTTGAAAATCCGTCTTCTTGGAACCATTGGATGTTTACAAACCCTCATGACTTCTGGCAACCATCTCAGGTTGACCACCCACAAGACAAATCTACCAATCATTAGATGATAAAAAATGGTTCAAGTCGGAACGGAATAAAATAATCAAGCTCCAGAATTAGAGCTCATATAGTCTCAATCCCTTACGATTTCAGCAGCTGAGGGAAGTAAACTGATGATTCGTTGCATGATCGTTTCTGGATGATCACAATTCGGTTAATGAACGCGGGAGAATGGAGGGATCAAACAGACTTTCAACTGCAAATTGACTTGCTATGTATCACATGAATTTATGCAGTGACAGGGCATTGAACACGGCTCCGAAGTCATACCCGCTCGATCCACACTCTTTTTTGCATCATGCACACCCAAATATGATTTACTAAATGCACAATATGACGTCTGTTTTTTCTCCTAATGTCTGGGCTCGAGTGGTTTCTAGTGCTTTCTCCAGACACCTGGATATCAAAGGAATTCCCTAGAGTTTTAACTCACGACCATATGCCACACATAATTAAATGTTTTCTCTCCAAAGCATCAATGCTAGGTACAACCGATAGGTTGTTGAAACTTGTGCAGATCGCCTGTATAAAGGCATCCTTAAACATGCTATTAGCCCTCCAAGCTCATCTTCATTTGTCTTTCTAGTTTTCATGAGACAGGGACAGGGACAAGGTCGGGGCATCTTTGTTGGTGGTTGCAACCGACATGTAGGACTGTGCGGGACTTACAGAATGTGGCCAATGCGGGACATTTTCTAGATTAAAAACTGGGTCTGGATTCATGAAATCCTTTTTCTTTCCCAGCAAAAATAGGTCATTATGCAGTTAATGTAGTCTATTCTGGTTCCTGTGATATGAATGATAATGCACAAGCGATTAAGTGGTTCCTCAAGAAGGAAAAAACGTATACGTATACTCATGCAAGCAAGGCGCGCTGCAAAGACAAGTCCAACGCTTTTTTAATTCGTTCATCATTAATTCAGGAGTACAGCTACAATGGGACAGGTCCCGCTGTAGTTGTTTCTTCCATGATGAGGCCCCTACACTTTTTTTTCCTTTCGACATTGCGCTGTTCGCACGGGTACGATGAGAGCAAGAACTGTTCACTTTTTTTTTCCTGTCCTGTTGGCCCAGCGTCTTTTTAATCGATATCTCAAACCTCTGCCTGCCCTGCATCCTCCTTTCGAAGTCATAATCTCATCTTGTATCTCTTGTACACACCACAAAAGCCTACGGTTTTTCATCTCCGATCTTTGACAGCAACGCTCCAATTCGCACATTGATCGCTGTTCTGCTATCGCTGGCATCATCTTCAATTAAGAATCTAACATTTAGGGATGTGGGAGTTGTCTGAAAGGAAAAAAAAAAGGAAGGGAAAGGAAGGGATGCTCCATCCACTCTGCCGGTGTAACATCCTCTGTCTCCTTGGACCGGCTATGAATTAAAAGGATTAAAAAAAAAAAACCACATGCATTAGATATTGACTAGATTATAAAAAAGAAAAAGAAAGAGAGAGGGATATTGCAGGAGCTTACCAGATCATTGTCTATTTGCAAAAGCTCGAAAGAAATGTGTCACTATCACCCCATTAAAGGAGGACTTTTAACAAAGTGGCATTCTTGGTGTTATTGAAGATCTGACTATCCAAGTATTGATTATGGATGCTACACTAATAGGAGCTGTTCATCGCAGCTGTAGTAAGAACTCGTGTTAAGCACTGATCCACCAATGGCTTCCCGCTCTGTTTTATTATGCTTTACTTGCATTGTGTTTATTATATTACAATTATCATCCAATGAGTCTTACAAGCAATCAATAGTGAAGCACAAAATCTATGCACTTTTCGCGCTTTGACCACGCACAACCTTCTCCTGAGATGGGTACTCTGTTATTTTAGGTGAGGGTACTATCAGATCGGGCACACCCTTTTTCATATTCTTTGATGTTGGAAGATGTGCAATCTTCTCTCCTTCTTCTCTCCTTCCTCTTCCTCTCCTTTTCTCCTCACCTCCTTCCTCTCTTTCATGTTCCCCATTACTCGGCGCCTGACAGCCTCCACTTTCTACATTCATCCAGGGCCTGCTGTAATCAAACGACCAAAGGAGACTTAGCACAACGGTAAATACCGATTTTTTTCCCCATCCCCTTAGGATACCAACAATCTTCTCATTCATTTGTAATGTCCCTGCGGGAAACAATTGAAAACGGCTATATTAGCCATTCACCCTTGTCATCTCAACTGCAGCATTTACGTGTTATTTACCCTCATTTATCATTCAACATTAACGACCACCCCATATTCCGGCGAAGTAGGCAATTCCGCAGTTCTTAATATTTATTAAGGATCTACATCTATCACACTGAAAAAATTGGTTGTGTTCACAACGACAAGACGCGCTTTATGAATTGTATTTTTAGTGCGTCTTCATGCCCTTATTTTCGCCATGTAAAAGTTTGACGGCTTTGTTGCTCTACTAGCTTGCTCTGTTTTTGGTTTGTTGCGCTGGTTTTCAGGTTTTTTACTCTATGTGCTCCATGGCATGTTAGAGATAGATCCGTCTTGATGCATCCATATCTTTTCTAATTCTTTCAGGACTGAGCATGCATACTAAAGAAAAGTGCTTCGATTAAAGCGTAGCGATATCTCTTTTTATTGATTCGTTCTTATGAGAACATCCACGACCCTGTTGTTCTATTTGTTACATCTATTACCATCAGAACACCATTCTTCAGATGAATAAAGTGGCCTAGATGGGCAAGCCAGACACCAACGCAATTTCAGTGCAGCTAAATAATGGCTAAAGTGAGGATAACCCTGTGGAATAACAATCAATCAATTGTCTCGTTACAACACTTTAATAAGCGAAAAAGCACCCTTCACTAGGTCGGCCTTATTCCTACTTTCACCTTTCGTCTTTTTAGCTTTGCTCTTGCTCTCCTTCCCTTTTTCATTCCGTGCCTATCATTCTTGCGCTTATAATAATTCATCATCAGCATCTTGTATGCGTGCGAACTGACAGAATCTTTCACTCTCTGATCTCCCCCCTGCGCTCCACACCAATTCTTCAGTATTTGTTTAGCATATCAGGGATAGTAGCACAGTATGGGTAGCTTCCGACGCACTTCCAGAAACTTAAAAAGGGACTTGAAATTAGAAGATGGTCACTCGATTAATAACCGTTGGCAAGGTGATGGATATCGCCGGAAGAACAAGAATAGAGTAGACGTACAATCAACCATCGTATCCACGCCATCAAGCGTAGCTGATGTACCAACAAACTTGGTATCCTCTGTAGAGCTTCCAAAGGCGACTACAAATGATGTCAAGGACGGAAACGAGCAAGCATTCAGGGATCAAACACCATCATCAAGGAAATCCTCTACACCGCTCATTCTTGGACTTGTCTGCGGTGCGCTTGTGATCCTTGGGGGCGCTTTAAGTTTGTGGTGGCTAATTCGAAGGCGGAAACGTCAGCATATTTTGTCAAATTCTAAGACGATACTTATGTCATCGCAAGGCACATCCAAGAGGATGCAATACATGATTGACTTAGAGTCCCAACAAGGGTATCATTCTCGAACCGATTTGGGATCAGAGAAGAACCCCTTGGACAGTAACAGCCACAGCACCAACGCCCAGCCACGGGAAAAGGCTATACAGTCTCAAACAGTTGATACAAACGGTATACTGAATCATAACCTGACTGATAATGTTGAAAACTCAAGATTTTCATACTCTTCGACATCACTACCTATTCAGTTACCAACATTTCCGCCACCAACGCCACGTGAGCGAAGAGCTGGAATTAGCAATACCTCATCAATGACAGATGACAGTATATTACAACGAGCAGTCGATGATCATCGCTTTCATAGCAAGAATATCTCTGAGCGTATCACTTTGCCCATCAAACCATCTGCTGCCGCATCTACTAAATCAACATCATTTCTCCCGTATTATTTACAACACACGAACCCACCCAGAAAGCAAAACGTAGTTGACAAGGCTGTAGGATCCGACATGGAGGGGGTCATAAGACTAGATCTGTCTAGTGACTTTTATAATGACATGCTCGATCTTCTCCTGGATACAGGATTAAGTCCTAAAGCAGCACATTATTTATCAAAGCAGCAGCCATCGTCAATTATTTCTAACTCCCCGCTCCCCTGTAGCCAACTAAGCAGCCGTGCGAATAGTCGCCCCAGTAGCCGTACTAATAGTCGTCCTAGTAGTCACGCGAATAGCCGTCCCGCTAGTCGCTCAACTAGCCGGCCCCCCTCGTCAGGAATACAAACGCCTACCCGATCGCGGTCCCCAAGTAGAGCACATGGGAGTTGCACAAGCCCCAGAGTATCTAAAGAAGCCCTTCGTAATTTCCCTCCACCTCCACCACCGCCTTCAATTCCACCGCCGGCTATCCCAGTTGATGTTACCGATGAAACCATCCGTCCACCTCGTCAACGATCTTCCACAATGCCGGCAGCTGTTGGTAAACCAGCGGCAACGCATCATTGGGAATCATCTCCGATAATTCTGCCATCAGAACTTCGGCAGGACATGGACGCTCCACATGTCAATGGTGAATGTGCTCGTGGGAAGAGAGGAGGGATGGTTCTGTCCGGTGCCTGCTTTAACAACATTGTGATTCAACCACCTAAATCGCCACCCCCCGCCCATGCTTCACTCTTACACCTCCATCCAAAATCGAGGGAGCTATATCACCGACATCAACGCTCACAGAGCAATGTTCTTTCCACTCAAGCGTTTGCTACGGTGCTGAATCAGCTTTCACCTGAGTTGCCATTACCAAAATCTCATATTTCCAAGCAAGTACAGGTTTCAGAGCTGTCACGTGCTCGCATAACTTCTAGTATGAGCTGCACGAATATCAGTGGCACGAGTATGTTTACGAAAACAATGCGCCCTCCTCTATCTCACTACCATTCTCATCATGGTAGCTCAAGTGATAGTGGCAATGAGAGCAAGGGTCTAGTACGAGCCAAAAAGACAGATTCCACCGAGAGTAAGGAAAGAGGCCAAAAAGATGCCTTATTCGATGTTCCGATGGCTCCACGCCCAAAGAAGCGATATGGACCATCGTCACCCTTGTCATCGTCCGCCCTCAGCTTAGATAATCAGATCATGGAGACAACTCGAGCTCTACGTGAAGATACCCAGGTTCTACGCGAAGAAGTCCAAGCAAACAAACATTGTCCTCGTCCTCATGAATAAACATTAAATTGGCTGTTATCTCCTTTTCAACTTTGATTCCATTCTTTTTTAATATGCGTTAGGAGAAGAGTACCGGAGGGAATGTGAGGCATAATCTAACATGTGGAACAGAAAAGTTTTTTTGAAGATAAAAATGACGTATTAATTTTTGAGTGGGCCCATGCGTTTTCTGCTTCTGGAAAGATACACAAATGCGCCAGAGGGATCGTGGGCAGGATCATCAGTGGGGTTGGCTATGGATACCATTGACGACAGAGAAGAAATTTTTTAATGATGCGACGATAGTAAAATGGGAAAAGAAAATAGCGACGTCATTTTGGCATTGACTTGTTCCTGAACACTGAAAGAGCCCCCTTTCTCATTTTCTTTTATCTCTTCTTCATTTCCTCACTCATTCTCTCCTGTCCAGCAGTACTCTTCATTCTTTCATTTCCCACATTCCATACATTTAAGGCCATTACAAAATGCACTCAGCAGAGGCACAATTGACAGAACTAGCTGCCACTGCCAACAAGGACAAGGACGACCTCCGCCTACTGGTAGTTTCAAACCGCTTGCCTGTAACCATCACCAAGGATGCCTCTGGCGCCTATCAGTACAAGATGTCCTCTGGAGGACTGGTCTCAGCTTTGTCTGGACTGAAGCGAATGATGAAATTTACATGGATTGGTTGGCCAGGAATCGATATTCCACTTGAAGAGAGAGCACTTGTCCAGAAGGAGCTTCTAGAAAAGCATTCATGCATGCCAGTCTTTATCGACGACGAGATTGCAGACATGCATTATAATGGGTTCTCAAATAGGTAAAACATTCCTCTGCTATCTTGTGAATACATGGGTGACCCTAAGGGCAACATAAAAAAAAACATTAGTTATACTCTGAGGAACGAAACGCGCCAATCGTCAGGCATGTAACAAAGCAATTATTTTTTTCTTTATTGACAAAAATATTACAGCATTCTCTGGCCTCTCTTCCACTACCACCCCGGTGAGATCTCGTTCAATGAAGATGACTGGGGCGCATACCAACAGGCGAACCAGCTCTTTGCCAAGGCTATCAATGAAATTGTCCGTGATGGTGATCTAGTCTGGGTCCAGGATTATCATTTGATGCTTCTACCTAAACTTCTTCGAGAAGAAACCGTTGTCCAAGGACCCTCCGGGCGTGCGAGGAACATCAAGATCGGTTTCTTCTTACACACGCCCTTCCCCAGTAGCGAGGTGTATCGGTAAGGTTCTTTTCTCACAGTTTAAAAGATTAAGAGGAACAGAAACCCCGCTCGATTTATCAACGTCGATCTGTCGTCATCAAAAATTTCCTATTCATGCATATTGGTCACTGAATACGATAACAAAATAATAATAATAGAGAAACCCGTATTATTTGCAGACTATGAATGAGTATTAACATGCTTCATCTGTCTTTCTTTGTAGTATTCTGCCTGTGAGAAAAGAGATCTTGCTCGGTGTCCTCAACTCGGACTTAATTGGATTCCATACCTACGACTATGCCCGCCATTTCCTCTCTTCTTGCACACGCATTCTTGGTCTTTCGACCATGCCAAACGGTGTCGACTTCCAAGGCCGATATGCTCATGTTGGGACATTCCCCATCGGTATTGATCCTGAAAAGTTTGCAGAGGGCTTAAAGGAACCTACTGTCATCGAGCGTATCAAGACTCTTCGTGAGAAATTTAAGGGCGTTAAATTGATTGTTGGTGTTGATCGTCTGGACTACATCAAGGGTGTCCCTCAAAAGCTTCATGCGCTTGAAGTATTCCTATCCGAGCATCCTGAATGGATCGGCAAAGTGGTATTGGTGCAGGTCGCTGTTCCTTCGCGTCAGGACGTTGAGGAATACCAGAGTTTACGTGCTGAGGTCAATGAATTGGTCGGTCGCATCAACGGAATGTATGGCACAATTGAATTCCAGCCCATCCATTTCTTGCACAAGTCTGTTAACTTCCAGGAGCTAGTGGCCCTCTATGCTGCCTCAGATGTTTGCCTGATCTCGAGTACTCGTGATGGAATGAACTTGGTTAGCTATGAGTACATCTGTTGTCAGCAAGAAAACCATGGTGTTATGATCCTCAGTGAATTTGCTGGCGCTGCTCAGAGCTTGAACGGTAGGACGGCAGCAAAAATATTTTAGATTCATGCACGATAATGATGTCAACAAGAAACCATGTTCTGACAAGGACTTAATCATGTACATTACTAGGATCAATTATTGTCAACCCATGGAACACTGGTGAGCTTGCGGATGCCATCCATGAAGCAGTGACCATGCCTGAAGAGACAAAGAAGAGCAACCACCAGAAGCTCTTCAGATATGTAAACAAGTACACGGCCGCATACTGGGGCTTGAGCTTCGTGAATGAGTTGAGAAGGGTATCAGAAGAGTTTGACCATCGTATGGCTTTACCTAAGCTGACGATTAGACATGTTTTGCAGGCCCGCAATAATTCGACTCGTAATAAGGTTGTCTTCTTTGACTACGACGGCACTTTGACTACTACTCACAAGCTCCCTGAGTTTGGTATGATTGTCTATGCATGGTTTTGGAGCGTTTCTTAAACACAAATGAATAGCTCTATGCTGACGTCTTTGACATTTTATTATTCCATACAAAGCCAACCCTGCCAGTCGTACAATTGACAAGCTGCGTGCACTGGCTGCTCAGCCAAATACTTTTGTCTACATTCTTTCGGGTCGTGACAGGAAACACTTAGATGCATGGTTCCGTGACTGTAATGTGGGTCTGTCTGCAGAGCATGGATGCTTCTACAGGCATCCTACTAGTGTCGCCAAAGCAATCAAACCCGCTTCAGATTCTCAAGATCCAACCAAGTCTGTCAAGGATGCTGGAGATGGCTGGTTCCGTTCTGTTGATCAAGTTGATGCCAGTTGGCGCGAGACCATCCGTCCACTGTTCAAGCACTATACTGAACGCACCCCTGGCAGTTTCATTGAAGAGAAGGAGATTAACATGACATGGCACTATCGTGAGGCAGACCCTGAGTTTGGCACATGGCAGGCGACTGAATTACAGGTCAACTTGGAAAAGCTGTTGGCTCACATGGCATTATCAATCATTTTGGGCAATAAGACGCTGGAGTTGCGACCTAGTAGCATTGACAAATCAACGAGCGTCAAGGCCATTCTGAGAGACCTTCAAGCTGACGTTGGTCCTGTTGACTTTATTTTGTGCGTAGGAGATGGAAAGACTGACGAGGCTGTGTTCTCGTGTCTTGGAAATGAAAGTATTGTGGGGCCTGATGCTAAGGAGGTGATCACATGTACTGTAGGTCAAAAACAGACAGAGGCCAAGTTCTATCTTGCGGATGTTCCGGAAGTTGAGAAGCTCCTCGAGGATATGTCAAAGAGCTAGACAAGGATGGTTTGTTCACTGATAAAATTTTGATTGCAGCAATCTGTCAATAAAAAAAATCGAAAAAAGGACTGTCTAATCACCAAATTACAAATACAAGACATGGCGTGCAAAAGAGTTCTTGCTTTAATTTACGATGTTGCCATCCTTAGAGAAGGTCAAATATCATGCAGAGTATCACTCAAAGATCAACTCCATCACATTATCAATCCAAGTCCCTTCTTCGGGATTGTCATGCACCATTTCACCAGAAGCTGTGGATCTCATCCCCTTTAACGCGTCGAATCATGATCTGAGCGCGCCTATAGCCGCCACTAATGAGTCAAATGTAATGAAAGTGATCCTTCCGGCATTAATTATGCCAACAAGAACCACGTTGGATCCGTCTTCAGCTCAGTCATCACTCTTGACGCTCAAGCTCGCTGCACTTCCAGGCTCATTCACATCACACCAGTCATTATCGACTCTTTCAGTCTCTGATTTCCCACCAGCACCTCTTCCAGCATCACAACTTCAGGGTCTTAATAATCTCTTTTGTGGATGTTGCGGGAGTACATTACTGAAAAATAGACAACCTATGTCAGAGATTGCAATGTCATGCGGCCCTATTCAACGTGTTGTTGATCTTCCCTCGGAGTATTGGCAAGAGCTTGTAGACTGCTGGATGTGCCATGAAGAAGATTTCACAGAGCTACGAGAAGGGGATTTAGGAGCACGAGCAGAACAGGCACTGATCGGTGGCACTTATATCCTAATCCATGCTACAGACGTGGATCAAGATGCTCTAATAATTGAAGATGATGCACAGGTTATTGATGTAAGTGGAGACTTTCTTACATTCTTTTTTTTTTTTTTTAAAAAAAAAAAAAAAAAAAAAAAAAAAAAAACGGACTAAAAGAAGACCGGCATCTCTAGTAACTGATTGCCCGCTGTCGATACTCCAGTCCAACATTAATATTACAAAGAAGAGGGCACCCTCTATCACTTCGTAAAGAAGTAATAGCGTGGCGCTCTCGTTTTTGTTGCTATCTTGCCAGGTCATAATGACTACAACTGTTCATTATGAGCTATGTGTGTAGCAATATTTTTTTATCGCTTCTTTTAACTTTCTGATTCTATTTGTTAATATCACAACTTAACTACCCGTTATTCACCAACTTTTGGTCTTTCTTTGGCTATTTTTTTGACGCGTACGCTTCCAGTGGACAAAGGGAATTAAACGTAGATGGCGTCCCTTGGCTTGCACGAGATGTCTACACCCTGTTGCCGATGGTTGGTATCAATCAAGAGCGGAAGATGGAACAGGTTGGGAAGCAATAAATGCTATACAAGCTTACTAATTCATGAGAATGCTTGGATCTAACTTTCAAATGCTGAGTTTTCAGTACAGTGTATTTGCTTTCCTCATAAATGCAATTTCTTTTTTTCTATTCTAGATCTTGAAATGATGCAGGTTAAATTCCACAAGTACATGGTCAATTTCAAAGGAACAGATGTGAGGAACCAACTACCGCTTCATATCCCACAACCAAGATTCGCTTCGTATCTTGCCGCCGAAATTTTCGAGTCGGCACGTCACCACGCAACATACCGTTTTATTTTACAGGATCGCCTACGAGGGGAAGATATGATCTTGGTAATTTTTTTTTTTCATTACTGAATGTATGGATAGGGATAACTCCATGGAATAACTGAACGATATATCCATTGACCTAAAACTGATTAATTTCCATCCGTAATATCTAGTTGTGGATGTTGAACTGGGACTCTACCACTATTACTAATCAGGAGCCACCTCGGGATTCTCAGATCGTCTGGGATACTTCGCTACAACCTGATCTAGTTTCCGTAAACTTAGATATCAATCATCCTTCTACAAAAGTATCTAAAATGATGAAGGTTTTATTCCTTGGAGCGCTCTCCCGAGAACAGGAGGATATTCAAAAGAAAGAAGGGGCTTACTCTGCGGAATTGAAGCTATGGGATAAGTGGCGTGGTGATCCTGGAGTTGAAAGGCTTCAGTTCCAAAAGCCTTTATTGTTAGGATTTTTGACAATGTTGGAGCAGAGTAGTATCTGTCAACCACCGTCAGTGAGTAGTGCTGCATCCACTTTCCTGGCTATGGACTGCATGCGAATAGGATCTATTCCAATTTAGATAGCCGAATTTCAAAAATGTAGAGAAGCAGTGATGAAACATTTAAATCAAGGGAACCATCTATTTATTTTATTTTTGCTTATATGCAACGAGGAATGGCAGAACCTGATTCAGGCTTTGTGGATGCAATGCAAGTAAATGATTAACACATCTATTGTATACATTTTTGTGTAATCAAACAACAACCTTTACTATTAGCTGTGTCAAAAAAAAAAAGTTCAATCTACATAGACTATATGTATCAAGATGATAAAGGGGTTCTCTAAGAGCACTCAAAAGTCATTGATTGATATCCCAAAGTTATAAACTTAAGAAATACCATTGCTTGGTGCATCATTGGCTTAATACAAGATAGTAAAGGGTCTCCAAGGTATTGTTGAATCAAGGCGTATAATACCACATTTAGTGTGAAACGTCAACAAATACAGGAAGATTACAAGGCTATCGGGCTAATGTTGGAGCATGCGTTGCAACTGGTCGGAGATACTCTCGTACTTTTACAGAGGATGCTTTCGAGCTCGGAGCCCCCTGTCGACTACGCTGAGTAGCATGGACTGAATATCAATAGAATACCCTCTTTGGAGAAAGGAATGGTAGATGTCATGATGGTCGAGTCATGCACAAGAAATGTCGGCGCAGTAAAAGTATTTTGGTGGCGTCTTTATTTTGATTCTTGTTCCTGCCATTAGCCAGAAGCAAGCGCACATCTCCAACTTGCTTTACATCCCGCCATGGCAGATGTCCCTCAACATTTGTCCGCTCTTTCAGATATTCTGGGCCCCGATGTTGACCTTGCTACATTGGAGAAATTGCATGTCATTTCAAACGGAGACTTGAATCGTGCTATCAACCATTTTTATGAAGGCAGTTATCATACCGTTACCAATCCAGGCGTACCAGCAATATCATCCACAATATCAACATCTAAAGCCCCGAAAATAGTTTCTGCAAATGGTGGCCTCGGGAGTATTTATAGAGATGACCAGCCACGGATTTCCATTGTAGGAGCAAAGCGCAAGGCGCAGGACTCGTTTTTTCCTAAATATTTTGGTGAACTTACTGTTATCGCTTACGCACTCGGTGGAATGGTCAAGATTGAAGCTGGAGAAGAAGTGCTCTTTGACAGAAAACGGCCCAACTCACAAGTGCAGCATGGACGAAAGAAAAAAGGATTAGGGTCTGTGTCCATAGGCTGGGGTAGAACAGCTAAAGAAAACCATGTTGTTCGCTTCACAAAGCAAAATGGGTTTGAGATCGGAAGATTACAGGTCGATACCTCGCGCTGGGTATCGAAGCTTATGGACTATAAGCTTGCGGAATTCCGTGGAACCATCATATTGGCGCCACCGCAACTTCGAACTGGAGCTGAGATCGTGTTGACGATGCGATGCTACTTGACAGCAGAAGCGTTCAGCTCTCTGGGATCCAACCAAAAGCTTACACTAAAGTCGAAATCTGGACAGCCCGTGTTTGTGAATGAAGCCCAGGAGACAGAAGATGAAGTTGATTTGAAGCAAAAAAAATACGCAGTCAATGCTCTGTTCCGAGAATTGGCATTGACGCCTGTTGCCACCAATACATCAGTTGGTCCGCGGGACAGAGGTATTGATATTCATGATGGCTCTACGACTGAGGGATCTTTAGCAGCATCGAATGGTGAGGACAACGAAAATGAACAGGAACCAGAAGTTTCAGACAAGGAATTGGATGTTCTTTATGAAAAAGCCCAACAACATGGACGAGCTTTCGAACCAATGGATCCACCAAAGACTATGACGTACACCTTGAAGCCATATCAACGGGTTGCTCTTGCTTGGATGTATAACAAGGAAGTGCTAGAGACTGCTAGTGATAATCATAAGGCACTTCACCCGCTTTGGGAGGAATATGAGTTCAAGAAAGAAGATGGATATGAGCCAAAATTAGATGAACCCAAGAAATATTACTTCAATCCATACTCAGGCGAGATGAGCTTGGAATTCCCCACGAGTGATAAACTCTGTCGTGGAGGAATTTTGGCAGATGAGATGGGACTGGGGAAGACGATTGAGATCCTCAGTTTGGTTCACTCCAACCCCATGAACAAATCAAGCATTGACACGCCCGAGGAAGCGTTCTCACGACTGTCGACCTCAACTTCAGCCTCTAATTCTACTTCTACAGATAAGCAGTCATCACCTACAACATTGGTTGTTTGTCCGATGAGTTTACTTTCGCAATGGAGAGATGAGGCTATCAATTCCTCAGATGGGTCACTATCGGTTGAGGTATACTACGGTGCAGCACGGGGTTGGACTGATAGCTCATTACAGCAGAAAGGTGCTCCTGATATTCTCATAACCAGCTATGGAACTGTCCTGTCCGAGTTTTCTTCTCTCTTGAACAACTCTGGCGCTGACACGTCCAAGAGCCTTACCAATATGCTCGATATCAAAGCTCAGAACAATTGGAAGAAAGGAAGCGCATTGTTCAATGGTAGGACGCTGGATAACTGGAGTCTCTATCCTAAATACCTTATGCCATTCCTAACTAGCTCCCTCCCCTTTTTTTTTTATTTTTTTTATTTCTTTTTACTTTTTTCTACAGTCGAGTTTCATAGAGTCGTTTTGGATGAGGCGCATCATATCAAGAGTAGGATGACTCAGACAGCTAAGGCATGCTATGCACTCAACTCGCCTCGGCGATGGGTTGTTACTGGAACGCCAATTCAAAACAAACTAGAAGATTTGTTTTCTTTGGTTCACTTTTTACGAGCAGAACCATGGTCAAACTTTTCATTTTGGCGTACGTTCATTACTATTCCCTTTGAATCAAAAGACAAGGATAAGGCACTGAAAGTCGTTACATCTGTGCTGGAACCATTGGTGTTGAGAAGAACAAAGATGACAAAAGACGAGAATGGAAACCCAATCATTACGCTGCCAGAGCGTATTGTGGAAATTGAATACCTCAAATTTTCTGAACAAGAAAACGATATTTACCAGGCGCTGTTTAAAGACGGCAAAACAAAATTTAATCATTACTGCCGAGCTGGAACAGTATTGAAGCACTATGCAAGCATCTTTCAGTTGCTTATGAGGTATGTTTATTACTATTATTATTTCCATTTACTTTATGTGGGACATTCTATTTTCACATTGAACTGACAATCAGTTAAATTTGGCATGTTATAGAATGCGACAAGTGTGTGATCATCCAATGCTAGTATTAAATAATCGGACAAAACAAACAGAAGGAAAAGATTCTTCTGAACTTGCTCTTGACATGAAAGATGGTCCTATTCAGCTAGAGGAACTGATGAAGAAATTTTCAAGTGGCGAAGGTGATAACAGTGAACAAACTTTTGGAGCAAGCGTATTGCAGAACTTGGTTTCTAGCACTGGAGAAGTAACAGAGTGCCCCATCTGCTATGAGGAGTTGGCGGATGGCGTTCTAATGCCTTGCATGCATTCAGCCTGCCGTAGTTGCATATTGGATTACCTTCAAGTAAGGATCAAACTTGCGTACAAAGTCAGGGCTGACTTGTTTGTAATTTACTCTTTTTTGTTAACAAGATAAATACTCGTATATATATTTTTTTACATATAGCGTCTTGACAATAAGGGAGAAATGGGTGAGTGTCCGATCTGTAGGAAGGGGCCAATTACAGAAGACAGTTTGATTGAATACACTACCTTGAGCGTTTCTGATAGTATACCATCAGATGCCAAAGAGGAAGAAGAGAAGCGTAGTGGATTTGTGGCTGGCAATGTGCTTGATGCTGGAGCTGAGACCAACGGTGGTCGGGTGGTTCAAATTCGGCGCAATAACTTCAAATCGTCAGCCAAGCTCGAGGCTCTTATGAAACATCTTAATGAGTTGCGGAAAACAGAGCCTAAAACTAAGTCTGTTGTCTTTTCTCAGTTCACGGGGATGTTGGACCTTGTGGAGAAGATTTTAGAACGGGATGGGTTCCAGTTTTTAAGGCTTGATGGATCACATAGTCATGTAGCTCGTGAGCAGACATTACAGGCCTTTCGGACAGTGGATCACCCTGCGAGAGTGATGCTGATCAGTTTACGCGCCGGAGGCGTTGGATTGAATTTGACAACAGCTAGTCGAGTATTCATGTTGGATCCTTGGTGGAACTATGCGATTGAGGCACAAGCCATTGATCGTGTCCATCGCATTGGACAGTTGAAACCAGTGATAGTCAAGAGATTTATTATTGAGAACTCTGTAGAGGAAAAGATCCTAAGTATTCAAAACCGCAAGAACGCATTGGCGTCGGGCTTGGGCATGACTAAATTAGAAGCGCAAGGAGCCAGGATGGAGGACCTGCAAGAGATTTTCTCGTAAAAAAATTGGACACGGGGCGTCACATGGACAGGAAAACAATGCAGTGCATTGACCTACTCCATTTTCCCTCTTTCTATTTTATTCAATACACACCCCTTATTTCATTTGCATCTGCACCAATCATCAAATAAAATTTGCAGAACAGTTGTATCATATATATTTACAAGGTAAAGAAAGCAAGCACACGATACGAATAAATGCAGGGGATAAAAGCCCTTTTGGTGAATCCATGCGCAATATTATGAAGTTGTTTGATAGAAATGACACACAGAATTGTCGAAAAAGGATGTCCACGACGTAGTCTGGGTGTCTGCATCAAACCCAACCTTGGGAAAAAGCAATTTTTAAACTTATTATAGGTCGTAAAGCGTAATAAGATCATGATTATGGAAATAAATAAAATATCTGTGTTTTCAGATCGTCATTTTTTATTGACAAAAAAAAAAAAAAAAAAAAAATAGAATTAGTAGAATAAAGATAATCGGAAAATATGCGCAGAATAACCTCTCAAAGGAAGACTCGTGAACAATAAAGTTCTTGCTTTGTTTGTTTGTTTGTTGTTTGTTTGTTGTTTGTTTGTTGTTTGTTTGTTTGTCGCAAAGAAGCTGTATCAGGGAACAAAGAAAGGACTTGAATATGTAAGAGGAATGGCGATGTCGATTGATAAAATGACATTAAGAAATAACAGCCTAGAGATTGAACAACAAATAATACAGGGTTTGTTAGTGTTTGCTTACTCCGTAAACGACATAATTGAATGGGAAAAAAATCAGGATTTGCATAATTAGGATGCAGTAGAAAACAGATTGCATGGATTTGATGTGAGCGGGTAGAAGCATAGGCGGTGTGATCTGCTCGGGAAAAGTCTTTTTTCTGTTGTCCTTTGTTCTCCTTTGTTCTTTACTCACAACGCGTTATGTTTGCCCAACAAAAAAAAAAGAAAAAAAAATATAACCCTTTCTACAACCGGCCAATCAACAAGCTCACCAATCCACCGTCCAACCAGCTTAATGCAAAAGCGACCATAGCCCTTCGGCAAAGGAAAGATTATCGGAGGAAAAAAAAAAACTTCAACTCAAAATTACACACAATTAACATTTGGTCAACGGGATGGTTATTCCTTCGTACCATTTTTTTTTTTTCTTTAGTGAGCAGGGGCTAAAGCAGTCTCTTCCACAGCGCGTTCTGAAGGAACAGATGTCGACTCGACGACTGGAGCATTATCTTTTGAAGGAGGTGGAGGCGCAACAGCCTCTTCTCCACCAGTAGTAGCCTCTCCCTCTGTTGCCTCCGATGCCTCGGCAATAGGCGTGGGGGTGCTGACCGCAGTTTTCTCTTTTTCCTTGTCAGCCTTGTGAAGCTTCTTGAAGATGTTAAACGATAGACGCTTTGTCAATTTGGGTGGGACCTCAGAGACATGCTCAGTCGCAACACCAGTAGGCACTTCAGCTTCAGTTTCCGTTACTGCTGCTGGATTATCCTCGGCGGTAGCGTCGTGGGAACTGGTAGCACCTTCGCCTTCGGCCTCTGTAGTAGCCGGAGTAGTCACATCCGTAGTGGCGGCGGCTGGGGACTCAGTATCGTGGCTATGTGCCGCCTTGTCGACCTTGGGCTTCTTTTCTGTCAACTTCTTAATGTTGCTTGTCAACTTGGCGATCCATGACTTTGGCTTCTTATCAGATCCTATTTCAGCCCCGGCTTCGCCCTCAGCAGGCGCTGTAGTATTAGGGTTGGTACCCGTAGGATTCTCATCGGAGGTAGCAGCAACAATAGGAGCAGACTCGATTGGAGTGTCATCCGCATTCAGAACCGGGTTTTCATACGGCTCGACCTGAGTGGAGAAGGTTGGTTCGGGTTCGGGTTCAGTAGCAGTGGTAGTAGTGTCTACTTTCTTTTCTTCGGTATGATTGGCGGCGGGGTCGGAAGTAACAGTATCGGCTGCAGGAGCTGGATGGGTTTCAGCGTGGGCAGTAGTATCAGCCATTATTTAGGGAAGGCGTGCTATTGCTTGATGTGTATGGGGAGACGATGCTATGAGCTGAAATGCTGTGTGTTCTTGAAAGACAACAGCAACTTGATACAAGTCAACTAATGTGAAGGGCAACAGACGAAATAAAAGAAACAAATAAAAGAGACGAAAGAGAGAAAGAAAGAAAAATGAAAGGTGAAAGCGACAAAAAAAAAGGAGTCAAGTGCATGTGTTTGTAATATATATGAAGCATACCGACTTTTTCTTGCATGATCTGCATGGCCGTTTCCCTTATTTTCTATTGTTATCCTCCTTTGGTTGGCTGCGTATAAGAGACGTGTGCGCTTCCCGCTTGCTTGCTAATAGCACGCATCTCTTACATCCTTTCCATGTGCTTCTTTTTGGACAAGATATTCCATGGATACGTACAGACCAGTGGCAAAAGAAAGGGGGAACCGCATGAAGACTTTGACACCACAGCACAGCTACATGCTAAATGAGCATAATCCATGATCCTGTCACTGTCTTTTCTTTTTATTTTTTCACCTCTCCTTTGGCTCTCATCTCCAGAACAAAAAATACAGCACGATCGCCATGCCGTTGAAACCTAAATCTTTTTATGAACGACATGATGACAAGGTGTACGTAAATTAGGTGGCGACGCTGTTTCTGAACCAAAAAAAAAAAAAAAAAAAAAAAAAAAAAAAAAGGAGATGCCACAATGGTATTCTAGTTGGCCGCAATGCCCTTTTCTCCCCGTACAAACTTTTATTTTATTCCTGCACCCCTTACTCTGCACATGTGGAAACCATTACCGTAAATTTCGCTCATTAAAACCCTCTTCAGCTTTCAGACAATTTTAAGACGCCTACCGCACGAGCACCGTCTTTTTTTTTTAGTGCTCATTTTTCAAGCAACGCCCACTCTCCACCTCTTCTTCGCCTTTGTCCATCCTATCTTCATTTCCACTCCTATTTTCATTTTACCCAAAGGATTATTGATGTTCTAATGGAGGATGCGAATCAGGTGCCATTAGAACCTACAGTTGTATAATCCAGCAAAAAAAAAAAAAAAAAAAAAAAAAAAGGAGGCAACATCCATAAATAAGACAAATTTCGCTGGCAGGACTAAAGAAACTAAGGGGGAAGTATCACTTACGCACCACATCTATGCTATTGCATGGCATAGGTTTAGAGTGTCATTGATACAAGACAGAGACGAATGATATTTTAAGGGTTTATCAAAAAGTGATTCATTCAGAACTAGGAACAACACATGATCAATGTTTACCACAACTTTGTTCATCGCGTTTATCGTTTTTTGTCGAGGAGCACAAACGTGTTTCTTGAGATTGTCACCCAAATATGGCACAGAAAATATGTTTTAAATCTTTTTTTTCTTCATGGCTCGTGGCTGGAGTCAAACTTTAATTCACCATTGCAAACACTCGCCACCCACTATAATAGAAAAAACCATACTAACAGTAATGTGCGAGAAAGATACGAGCCACTGTTTGTTTGATCGTTCCCTTAAATGAAAGGACCAATCTGGCCCCAAGCCGGTCGCTGAAATATGCACTTTGGGTACTTCTAGAATTGTTTATTGTAAAATGCTAATGTTTATGGTTGGATGTATAAAATATTATATCTCATTCGTCATCCTCGTCCTCAGTTTCTTCCTCATCCGCTTCATCGCCTTCGATCTCAGAGTCATCGCCATCCAGTGGACAAAAGTCCTGATATGCTTGATAGAGTACTTGAACTTTGCGGCGGTTTTGTTCCACTGTCTCTTCATCAGTATAAACAGCGCCTAGTCGCTCCTTGATACCGATGAGATCATAGTCGAAAGTTGCGCTTTCCGTTTCAATGTTTTCATCGCCATCTGTATCCATCTCTATTTCTGCCAATGCCTTAGCCTCGTCTTCGCGATCCCTATCATCCATATCTTCATCATCCTCGTCTTCCGCATCCTCATCCTCATCCTCATCCTCATCCTCATCCTCATCCCCGTCCTCATCTTCCTCCGGCTTATCGAAGACAGTCAGATTGTTCTCGCCTTCATAGTCAGAATCCTCTTCTTCGCCCTCAGCTAATAAATTGTTAAATATCAGTACCAATATTATTAGAGATTTTACACAGCGGAAACAAAAAAAAAAAAAAAAAAAAAAAAATGTTTACCAGTTTTCTTCAAAATAGTTTCAAAAACTTCTTCCGCGACCATTTTGAAAACCTTTCCATTGATAGTGTGGGCCAACAGATGGAACATAGGTTGAAGAATATGTGCGGTAGGTACCTCTCCTGAATCGGCCACATCCACAATCTTTTCCAGCTCATCCAGATAGATTTCAATCAAATGAAAGCGAATACTGTCAGGAACTTTAGTCGATGTAGCATTTAATGGTCCATTGATCATAATGCTAGTGTATTCCTCGACCGTCTCCAAATCCCAATCATTCTCTTTAAGCATACGGAAGGAATATGAAAGGAACCGACGTAAAAGAAAATAGAATTTATCAAGTCTAAGTTATGAATACATAAGAAGCAAAACGGAATGATAAGCAGGAAGAATGTCTTTTTTTATAAAAGAAAGAAAAATCAAACAACTCATTCCTTAGACCCAGATCGCATGAAGCAATACCTGAGACGATCGATTCCATGCCATTCCGCGCATATGGTCTCCCAAAAGGCTGCAATAAAGTTCATAACTCCTTCGCGAGGTACTTTAATGATCAATGATGATAGCGTTTCACTCAGCTGTTGCTGGACAATTGGTTTATCTGACATCCACATACCTATCAATGATTTCATGGATATAACAAAAGATGTTGGTCAAAAAGAAAAAAGTAGTTGATGATATCATAAAAGTGAAGCAATTTTTCATAACACAGTGACCTGGTCCAGTGATTCAGGTCCTCATGAAGGAAGAATAAATAGCCACTTACAGTAAAAGAGACCCTTCCAAAGCTTCATAAGCTCTAAGTATGTGAAATCCTTCTTTTTGGAAACCCACTTTCCAAGTGCTTTAACGGCCTTGTCTCTAGTCTTCTTATCTGTTGTCCATTATTGGTATTTGAGCAAGGGTTTAGAGGTGTTAACAGAGTAGAATGTATGTTAAAAAACAATATAAAGATAAATAAAATCAAAAGTAGGGTTCCTGCACCATACACCCACTTGACTATCGGTTTTTGTTTTGTATTCGCCTGTAAGTTGTAGTACCATTGGCGGCAAGCTTCTTTCCGAATGGCGATGCCGATTCACTTGCTGAGCTAGCGACAACCATAATTCAGATATATGTGTATACGTTTGTGGTTATAAAAAAAGGAAAGGTTGCCAAAGGTTTGAATGAACTGACTTTCAGTTAACCATTCAAGACCCAGAGGGCATATGAACTTTGCTTAAAAAAAAAAAAAAAAAGAAAATGGTAAACAGAGACCGATTTTCCACGTGACATAGCAGTCTCATCTCATGGCCTGAAAAATGAATATTAGAAAGTTGTTTCTTGCTCCTTGGTTTGATCCTTCTTTCTGAATTATTCCAAAATGGTGCGTGACTGCTGTAGGGCTATCCAACTAAGCATCCACTATAAGGAAGAGAAACTCTTCTTTGTCAATCCATCTATCCATCAATTGTATTGCAGGAAGCAAACTGGCCAGGAAAAACCGGACACTCCCCATCAATTTGATAGGGACACTTTTTTTTATTTTTTAATTTTTTGAAGTCAAGGGAAAACATTGCGACACGACAAATTGATCTTTAAATAATGAGCAAACGACTAGAGGAACATCAGTTTCATCTTTATTCATGGAGCAGTATACAGGAGTTTCCACTTTATTTTGAGAAACTCTTTCTTGAGGATCAAGTGTGAACATGGAGTCAACAAAGCTGGAGAATGAAATCACTGTTACTCTACTACTGATGCTGAATCTTTTCCGCTGACAACTACACCAATCATTCAGTCCTGCATTTTTCTATATGGCTATGACACGCGATAATTTTCTTTCTTTTATGGAACGTTTGCCATTGAGTCCCCTTGACCTGCAATCTCTGAGTTCATTTGACCCTTGAGTGAAATGAATATATTATACACTTTCAACAGTACTCAAGTGGAGCATAATAGCATCAGTTTATTTAACACCACTGTCAACATCAAAAACTTAGCAAAATTATAGCAATCTCAACAAGATATTCGGGAGACTTTATCTGTTATCACACTGATGAAGCCTGCAGTAGTTGACTGCGGCACATCTTACGTCTCCTTGAGTAATATACAAAAGATCAATTAAGATCAGGAGGAATTAACAATATCCCAACTTTTTCTTTTTTTATTTTAATAATTTAACATCCAACAATAGGCTGACGAACACCACGATGATGCTGCCGTCGATGTGAAGAAGAAGAGAACGTTCCGCAAGTTCTCTTACCGCGGAATTGACCTCGACAAGCTCTTGGATTTGTCCTCTGAGCAGTTGATGGACTTGGTCAACGCCCGTCCCCGCAGACGTTTCCAGCGTGGTCTCAAGCGCAAGCCCATGGGTTTGATCAAGAAGCTCCGCCAGGCCAAGAAGGATGCCCCTGCTCTTGAGAAGCCTGCTGTCGTCAAGACTCATCTCCGTAACATGATTGTCGTTCCTGAGATGATCGGCTCTATTGTTGGCGTCTACAACGGCAAGACTTTCAACCAAATTGAGATCAAGCCAGAGATGATCGGTCACTACCTCGGTGAGTTCTCCATCACCTACAAGCCTGTCAAGCACGGTCGTCCCGGTATTGGTGCCACCCACTCTTCTCGTTTCATTCCCCTCAAGTAAACATTTTTTTTATTGCGGAAATAAAAAAATAAAATCTATTCTTTTGCCTCCTTTACTGCTGTTAAGCTTTATTTTTAACAATTGGTACAAAAGCAAATGTGAGGGATACATGATTCATCAACCATAAAACATTGAAAAAAAGTCTTTTGCATTCGTTGACGCGACATAAGAAATGGTAAAAGTCTTCAATAAATTTCATTTTCGGCATCTGCACTTCTCGAGACGGTGTCTCAATGACAAATAGGTTACAAATAATGAAGACAAAGAGTATCAGAAAATGGACTAAAGACCAACAAAATAAATAACACGCGAATTTAATGAGGCATCATCATTCATGCCTTTATTGAAAGCAAATTCCTTCTATAAAATCTCTGTTGAAATAGAGGTAGTCAGGACTGGCACATTACACAGCGCATTGTATCTGATTGAATGTCTAGAGAACATTTTTCTTCTTTTCGTGGATGAAGCAAATTCTTTTTTTTATTCATTTCTGAAAGTCTTTCTGGGAAATGGAATGATGTAAAATGAAATATAAAAAAAGAATATTTTATTCCTGCTTGGCCTCAGTCTTCTTGGAGCGGTCCTTGCGCTCGAGGATGGCCTTGCGGTCCTTGTCCAAGTGGAGCTTGGTGACGACGACCTTGGAGGGGTGGATGCCGACAGGGACAGAGGCACCGTTGGCCTTCTCGCGATTGACACGCTCAACGTGGATAACCCACTTGCGGCGGTAGACCTGAACGACCTTGCCCTCGCGACCCTTGTAGGTGCCACGGACGATCAGGACCTCATCATCCTTGCGGATAGGGATAGAGCGGGTCTATAATAGGATAGTATAAAATATATATTGATAAACCATAATGGTAAGATTGCTGACCCTTTTCAAAGTCTTTGTCTCTCTTCTCTCTTTCCGTCTGAAATCAAACAAACCACTCTTCCCCTCTTCTCATCTCTTTTTCACGCAATCCTCGATAGTTATAAAGTCAAAACATTACATTGCAGAATCAGGTTTTGATGAAGCATAGGCTAGTTGGAGTTTTTGACGTCCCAAAAAAGCCCTCCAGGAACATTCAATGAAAAAGACGAAGAAACAAGCAGAAAATTAAGGCTATCTGCTTATAATCTCCATTTCTCCATTAGTTTGTTCCATTTGCTTCTAATGTATGTCTGACAATGCCTGACCTTGTTATATTATAACAAAGACAATCTTCTAATGTCGATGTCTGTTGAATAAAATGGCGTAGTTTCCAAGACCATCCAACTTTCAGAGATGAACAAAAGGAAAAGGAAGGGAAAGTGTAGTTGCTGACGACGTCGGATATAGATCAATTGGAGAGTGATCTATAAAGCAAAGACGAATTGGCACACAATGATGGTGTTGTCGCTTGCTTCGCTGATAGAAAGTCTTTCTTTTGCCTCCGCCAATGACCCATGGGAGTTGAAAAAAAAGGCTTGCTTCTTGGAGATCCAGTTCCCCCAAAAAGAAAGAGGAACCAAACTTGAAGAAAAAGCTTAAAGAATTATCCCAACCGCAAAACTTACGCTGTGCTTCTCCCGGAGCTCCTTGGAGAGGGAAGCGCTCATAATCTTACGACGAAGATCAGAGGGAGCAGAAAAGTGGGCCTTTCTGCTCTTGCGGCGGGAAGAGCTAACATCTGAGGGAAGGCAGAAAATATCAAATAGAAAAAGTCAGCGAAAACTAGATCAATAAAAAATTTTGGGCTTCAGTGTGGGAGGATGAGGAATGAGGTTGTTGCGAATTATAGAACGAATCTTTGGTATTTCTTCCTATTTTGCATTCAATAACGCGCGATCTTGCTCTGTGCATTGGCGAGTGAATTCCACATGTTAATCAATGAGTGATCATGAATTGCCAGCAGCAAAACCAATTGACTGATTGACCATATGCTGTCTTTTCAAACCCTTATAAAAACTCTGCTAGCCATGATGTATGATGATATAGAGCCAGATAATCGATGGATCATCCTTAAATGGATGGATGCAGATATTTACCAATGGACTGCTTCATGTTGAATAAATCGTTTGAAAAGAAGAGGAGGCTCAAACAAGTTCCCAGCGCACGCGAGAATAAATCTTGGTCGGAAAAATTTAATATATCACGTGGAAACATTGCCACCAAAATTGATCTGGACTGTTGTTGGCCTTAAAAAGCCACTTTGAGTAAACAGCTTTTTTTTTTTTTTTATGGTGTTGGCATGCAAAGTCAGGACCATTAGACAAAGTCGAGGACAAGGTCAGGACCAATTTTCATTTCATTTTACATTCCTTCTGAGAAATACACCATGGCACCTAAACCAAGGAAAGGTGGCGATATTACCCCTATCAAGGATCCTCGTTTCGCTCATGTTCACCGAGACCCTCGTTTCAGGAGACCTCAAAAGAGTGACTCCAAGGTCACTGTTGACTCTCGTTTCTCGTCCATGCTCAAGAGCAAAGAGTTTTCTAGCGCACGTAAGAGACCGCGAAGAAAAATATATATATAACAGAGATGTATCTTTTAAAGATATCGGATTCGATCTACTTTATTATATAGTAACTGACTTTCTTTTTGTTTTGTTTTTTTTTTGTGAAATTCAGCCAAGGTCGATAAGTACGGAAGAAAGCTTCAAAGCGCTGGTAGTGATCAACAGATGAAGCGATTCTATCAACTTCAAAAGGGCGAAGCTGGAAGCGATGAGGAGAGTGAAGATGAGGACGAAGACGAGGACGAAGACGAAGACGAAGACGAAGACGAAGACGAGGAGGATGAAGATAAAGATATCGATTCTAGTGTTTCTGGGTCAGATTCTGAGGCTGAGGATGGGTACGATCCTATGCGTGGTAGAGGCGTTATCAGTGGCTCTGATTCTGATACTGATTCAGATATTGATGAGGAAGCCGCCGCAGAATTGGATGCAGAAGCCGAGGCCAATGTTCAGGAAGACGAGGAGGAGGAGGAAGATGATATTCCAAGAGGAGATGAATCACGCCGCTTCGCATGCGTTAACATGGATTGGGATCACATCAAGGTAAAGTATGATACCACAATGCAGACATTTTTTCCCTCCCAACTCTACTACCCAGTGCTTATAATTTAAATACTAATGAAGCGTGTTTTCATCGCATGAATGTCTGTTTTTTATAGTCCATAGATTTGTTCAAGGTCTTCCAGGGATTTAAACCTGAGAAAGGTGCAATCCGTTCAGTCAAAATTTATCCATCAGAATTCGGCAAGGAGCGTTTGGAACGCGAGGAACGTGAAGGACCTCCACCAGAGATTTTTAAGAAATCATCTCTGAAAAACAAGTCTGATTCAAACGATGAGGAGGAAGATGACGATGATGTGGATGAAAAAATGTTAATCAAAAGTCAGACGGAAGAAGGCAATGAAGAGATTGATTCAGAGGCTCTTCGTAATTACCAGCTCGATCGTCTCAAGTATTATTATGCAGTTGTTGATTGCGACTCTGTCGAGACTGCCAAGGCCATTTGTGATGCATGCGATGGCGCTGAATATGAGAGTAGTGCCAACTTCTTTGATCTTCGATATATTCCTGACGGCATGGAGTTTGATGATGCACCAAGGGATGTGGCCTATGATGCTCCTGAGAACTACAAACCCAACGACTTTACGACACAGGTTTTCCAGCACTCTAATGTAAAGCTAACCTGGGATGAAGATGATGCGGACCGAATCAAGGTTACACGACACAAGTTTTCAAAACAGGATTTGGAGGATATGGATTTCAAGGCATATCTGGCCTCGTCAGACGATGAGTCAGAGGATGAGGACGACATAGAGGCCATTAAGCGCAAGTACCGTGCACTGTTGTCTGGTGGCAAAAAGGATTCCGATGACAGCGATGCTGGTGATAGTGATGATGACAAAAATCAAGAGATGGAGATCACATTTGCGCCCGGTCTCAGCGAAGCTGCTGCTGAACTGTTGGAGGCTAAAAAGAAGCGTGAGCAGACTGTGCACGAAGAGACTTCAATTGAGGCATACAGGCGTAAAGAGAAGGAACGCAAGCAGCGCAAGAAAGAAGCTCGTGCCGCTAAGCTTAAAGGCAATGGCAACAGTGATGAGGATAGCGATGATAGCGAAGATCAAGGTGGGGAGGCTTTGTTCTCCGATGATGAAGATGAACGTCTCATGAACGACCCTTACTTCGCGGAAGAGTTTGCGGGCGATGACATGATGGTGCCTAACAAGAGTAAGAATAAGAAAGGTACTGATAATAGGAATAACAATAAGAAAGCCAACAAGAAGAAGCGTACCAAGGAGGAACGTCTTGAAGATAACCGTAAGAAGGCTGAACTTGAGCTGTTGATGGAGGACAACCGAGAGAGCAACCAGCACTTCAACATGAAAGAGATTGAAAAGGCGGAAAAAAAGAAGAACAAGAAAAAGAAGAATAGGAGCGGTGATAAGGATAAGGGTGAGGATCTGCAGGACGATTTCAAGATTGATGTAGTCGATCCACGCTTCAGTGCTGTTCACGAATCCCATCACTTTGCATTGGATCCTACCAATCCTAACTTCAAGAAGACTAAAGCCATGACTGAGCTGCTGCAGGAACGTCAGAGGAGAACTGCAGCAATGCATGAGGAAAATGAAAAGAAAATGAAAGAGAAGCAAAATCAGGGCAACAATAATACCAACAACAAAAAGAACAAAGGCAGCAATAGTAATAATAACAAAAACGAGCCCAAGATCAAGGTCCAGGGTTCGTTTGAAGATCCATCACTTTCCTTATTTGTTGATACAGTAAGTCGTCAGTCTTTAATACATAATGGATTAACATTCCTGATGCGATGTTTAAATGTCACAATTGCTAGCTTGCTTAATATGTTTACACGCTTACTCATGATAATCTTTCTCGATATAGGTCAAACGCAAGAGCGCCTTGGCGACAGAGAACTCTAATAATGGCAAGCGTGCACAACCATCACAACAGTCTCGCAACGATAAAGGGAGCAAACGTGCCAAGAAATGATATAGAACTACATCACATCACTTGTAATTGCATCATATGTATAAAAAAAAAAACATAAACCATAAACCATGTTTCTCTGTTTGTTTATTGAAAATCTACATTTTTGTTGGATATAGTACCTCTCAAAATATGCCACTTCCTTCCTTCAACTGTAGTCTTCGAGAGGTATATATCAAGCCTAGATCTTTAATCATGTCTCCCTGCCTCCTTGTTTACATCATGCGAACTATTGCTGCATCATTGGCCTATGCATTATTTATGTTAACAATGTTTGAGATATTAGATATGGATGCAAGATATACGTGATTACAGCAACAGAAGTATTTAAATAAAGAACATCACTTACAAGAACTCTCTGAGAATAACAGGAACTGAAGTGCAAGGAATTAATCCCACTTCTGTGATTACGACTGTCACAAACTCACTTGGCGTCAAATCGTACAAAAGGTTCAACAGCTTCAGGTCCCTTGACTCCTTCCAACCTGATAACACACCTTGACTGTTCGCGCTACCAGTGCTTGTGCCAGTAGTAGTACTGGTGCCATGAACACCGTTATGAATTCGTGTGCTGCTGTGTCCATAGTTATTATGTTGGTCGTTGACAAGCTCATCTGGGTTTCCAATCTCGTTCTGCACAAAGCTGTCTAATTGGACGCGATCACTGAACTTGTAGGTCTCACAGCAAACAATAACTGGAATCTTACGCTCATGTGCCGACATCGCCACAACAGCCGTTCCAGCACGCGAATACAATGCTCCGTTGGAGAGTAGCGAATGGGCGCCTAAAATCACTTTACTGACCTCTCGCATCACATGGCCAATAGCTGTCAACAAGACGTATGTGCATGGAACACCAGCATTGGCTAATGCGCTGAGCAATTGCTTGCCTTAAAAAAAGCCAAGTCAATCAGATCATCAAAATGTTAGAAATAATACAGAGATGACTCTCATTAATGGTACATTTTCGTAATACAGGAAGGCGGCAGAAAATGCTGAGAACATTCACTATTTACCTTCAAAACGAGGGCGAGAATCAACAATGATAACCTTAAATTTGATACCCTTAGCATGGGCTGCAAGGAGCAGACCCTGGACAACGGAGGAGCGAGCATATGTTAAAATTACATCTCCATCCTGAATCTTTTGCAATCCAAAACTTGTGATAACTTGATCTGCTACTGTGATCCTATCGCGAATAAAATTGTCGATCTTCTCCAAGAAAAGGGAACGAGCCTAAGATAAAAATGAGTAGAAAACGCGAGGATGACAACGTTAATTAATCACTTTTGAATACTTTTTCGGGACATGTGGACATAGCAACTGTAAATGAGTAGATAAAAAACAATAAATAAAGACCTACATCTTCATCGGGTAGCTCCAGATTCTTTCCAATCTCGTATTTCAGATATCGAATTGCATTACCCATACTGACAGCCATTGGTCGACATGTTACAAGATAACTGATATGAGGGTTTAAGTATGTCTGCATGTGACGTGAAAGGGTGGTGTTCGGTGGAGTTTGATAGTCTTGAATTGCCTATGAACGCATAGAGAGAATTCGAATAATAAATCACTTGCTAGACATTTACTACAATGAATGTACCTTCAGCTTGTGATCACAAAAAAAAAGACATACTTTGCGGAAAGCATTCAATGTTGCAACACAACGTGCGTTTGCACCACAGATCTTAAATTGAGCCATCTGTAGTCCAACATTCACAACTGCAGGATGAAGCTCCTTGGGCGCTGAAGCTGTGTTTGCAAACTTTGGAGGGTCCAAGTGCGCGAACAGCCCGATTTCCTTCGTCAATCTCTCACGTCTCTTGGTCTGAGTTGTTGTCGAGGACTCCGCCCCTGCTGCCATGGCGATCGCCTTCTCAGCCTCCGCACCAGGGAATGAGGTTGCCAAAGATTTGGAAGGATTAGGTGAGAATCCAGAATTAGGTTGTGCAAGAACTTGAGCAGCCTTCTTGCCAGAAGCTGGCAATCCTGCAGAGACACGAGCAGCCTTCTCTGCTCGCTGCTTCTCCTGTAACTCTCGACGTTCCGCCTTAGTCATATTCTTTTGAGAAGGTGTACTAGGTTTATACTGTCCTCCAGGACCGCCCTTACCCCCTGCTGATGATCCTGCAGAGCTGGGTCCTACACTATGAGGTCCGTCTATTGACGAGGAGCTAGGTTGAATACCTAACACTGGTGCTTTGGCTCCTTCCTTCCCAGAGCCAGGAGACCCTGAAGTAACAGATGAGCTCATGGAGACACGTTTCCCTTTGTTGTCCTTTTTGTTGGCACTGCCTTGGTCTTTGTTGCTATTAGGGAAGCCGGCACCTTCACGAGGGGAAGCCGTCTTGTGAGCCTTAGAGGCAGAGGCGGCACGATCTGCAAGGCCCCATTGCTCTTCATATGAGGATTTCATGGGTTCGTATGACGACCGAGATCCTGACGAATTGATGGTACGAGGTGCTGTGGTCGTGGTTGCTGCAGGTGAAGCGACGTTGGAACTTTTTAGATCCGGGGTATTCCCGAGCGCTGACACAGACGAATTAGGCGTACTGACGTTATTGCTTCCTGGCGAAGGCAAGTCTGCGGTATTGACATCTTGCTTTTAAAGTGGAAGGAGGTTGAAGATGGGGAAAGAAGTAAAAGAAAGAAATATGAAGAACATGTCAGTGACAAAAGCCAGCGTGTTCTTGCAACTTTAATGACAGAGACAAAGTCGAAAGGTCGAGTTGACTGTATCACTATCAGCATGCATGTGTGAGGATGTATGAAGTATGTATCTGCTTTTAATGCCCCATGAATCAGAGTAAAAATTTCTTGTCGCTGAGTCACATAGACACATTCCCTTCAAAATAATAATAATAATAATAATAATAATAATAAATATGAGCCATTGACTGATTCCGAGTCAAATGGCACCCTGATGGTTGTCTTAATGGCTAAATCCTGTCACCTGAATCTCATGCCCACTATAGAAGTGATACATACACCAGGAGCAAATCCCACTGTCTTCTTTTTAGGATCCATGCTGAGCTGGGCGTCGAGTGAATGAAGCTAGAAAGGTGTGGGCTTTGGTTCGTCTCTCTCTAAATTTATTTGGTCCGCGTTACTCAGCCACATCTTTTTAGAAAAATCAATAGGATTTTTCGATCCACCCACAGGCTGAAAAGTTGGCCCCAATATTATTAATCCTCCCTGGTTATACTTCCTCCAGGCAATGGATGAGTGCTCTTTATGTATTAAGGTTAATAAGCTATAGCAGGCTCTTTTTTCCAATTGGACGAAGATACATCACATTGCATCCGTTTCCCACGAGGTGGATATGGATGCTTCAATGTGCCTGGATAGCCGTTTGAGTAAGGCTAGCTCGCATCCTCTGAGCATTATCATGTTCAAAGACAGAGCATGCCCTTGACCCTATCTTAGTAAAATCTGAATGTACACCTAAACGATTCATCGAATTGAAATGGAGCGGAAGACCTCGACTAGAGTCGTTCTTCAGCCCACGAGCCTCCCTACAAACTTTGCAAACAACTTTGCACTCTAGTTTGAACTGCTCATCATTACTACCACGGGAGGATATCTGAACCAAAATTGAGCAAGGGCTTACGGAAGTAAGAAATAGTGAAATGGACCATACCAGGCGTAAATTGCAAAGTTAAAAACAAAAAGTAAGGCGGTGAAAGAAACAAGTTGATTGAAGTTACTCTCATGCCTTAATGCCACCTATCTGAGCTGACGTCTCTCTTAGGCCTCTTAAACACAATTTCATGCTTATGTGTATGACCCACTAGAAGATAGATCTAAAGATACGTCCAATAAAACATCTTTGATTTCAATATTGACAAAAGACTTCGAAATCCTACTCGAGAAAGCAGTAATTAAAACAATACCGCAAGTAATACTGACAAGTTGTTAACAGAAGGATGAAGTCATGAATATAGCTCTAAAAACCTGGGTAAGGCCGTGTAGAAACTAAGTATCAAAACATTGAAAGCAGCATTGAGCATCATAAAATGGTGCTAACACAGCTAACCTCAGATTTTATAGCCTATGCAAGCCAATGGAGATAGTAGCTTTCATGTATAATCTGCAAGCGTTGAAAAGGTTTAGGGCTTCTTGTAAGATATTTCAAAAATGAAAATACAATGAATGTATCGTTTATATAAGTTTTGTCTGGAAGTTTGGTCCGCGAGCAATGAGATAAGGAAATAGGAAGAAAGCGGCTACATAAAAACTGTCAGTTTTTCATTTCTTTTTTTGCTTTCTTTTCTTTCATATTTTCTTCTTTCCTCTTATGATAGGTAGGTGATTTCTAAGGCCTCATGTTCCATTCTTGCGTTGCTTTTGAGGGCCGTGACATGCTACCTTATGAGTGATATTCAGCCTTCTGACATTTAAAAGGCGTAATGAATGCATTAGCTTGGCGCTCGTGGTACAACGTGCCCTGTCTCCGCGTAGTTGGATACACACTCTCTTCCTATCAATCTATTGTACCTACCTATTCCAGATTGCCTGTCTAACTAGCATCTCACCGTCATATATGTTTAAGATACAGAGTTATTTTATTCGTTTATTATATTGACATGTAATGAAATATAACAAGAGCACTAGTGTTTAGCTTGGCCACCATCAGCCCAGTTGGTACTCTCTATTTTTTTCTGGATATTTTCAGCCTGTGTATCCTCATAGTACCGCTTCTTCATCGCTCTATACTTGTTTATATGGTACATAGCCTCGATTTCTACCATGGATAAGGGGTAAAAGTAAGGAACGGTTAACAAAAAAAAAGGACCTCCCAATTACAGAAAGAAAATAGGATATTGATTTCTTATTATACCTTTACAGATATAATCGCCAAGATCAATCCTCTTTTGGATCTCAGCTGGGTCGGTGAGGTCTTTATTCTTTAGAAACGCGCTCTTTAACTTTTTATGAAAATAATCAGCACCTGCAGGGTATTCGCGACCCAAGTATGAAAGCTTTAAAAAAAACACATTAATACACTTTAGTCACGTGCATGATCCGCACATCTTTCTTTGCCCAATCGCTCAATGCATGACTATCAAGAACCAGAACGGGATATCCAGGACCTCTTCATGACGACAAATGATAGATTGGATGTTTGGACCGTAGAAACAATTGAGCATTTTCAACATATCCGCATAAGCTTTTTTTTTTTTTTTGTTGATAGAAACATGAAAATAACTGCTACCTGCTTATAGAGTGCAATAACGCGATGCCTTGTGGGTGAACTCATACTAGACTATAGGAATAATTACTGACGATACTGAATGAATGAATAAATTTTAAAAAAAGAATGTATACAATGTAATAAATGGAATGAAGAAAATAAAGAGGAACCAGGCATGACTGAAGAATGACTGATGTACCACTTCATAAATATGCATTAAGAGAACGCTCTTAAAAAAATATGCACGCGACTATTTTTTTTTACACACTTTTCACATCTATACACTAACTTCACTTAGATTGAATAGATGACGAACTGCGCTTGCTTGTTACTATAGTTGAAGATGAATATAAATGTTATAATATTTGCTTTGGATGTTATTGAAGGCCGCTTTCTGGGGAGTTACGACTTGACACACCCTAGAGGACCGGGACTTCCGGGTTCGAAGTAACTTCACTTTTTTTGAGGAATGCGAAGGTTGAAAGGAATAGAGAGAGCCCATGATTCCAGGATGTTTGAGATCTAGCACAAGGGATCAAAGGCCAAGGGTTCTTAAAAGTTCTTATGGACGCAGCAGGGATTGGATGAGGCTCAAGGCGACCTTAGTGATTCAGGCTACAAAGTTCCATCAGTTGGCCAAAAGAGCGAAGCACATCATTCGAAATCAATGTAGACAATGGGGATGGATATGAATCGATGGGCGATGACCAATTGACAATCTTAAAATAAACATTATCCTTTGAGTTAATGCTTATATATTTAACGGGGAACATGAGGGACTCTGTTCACTTCTTGGTTTATAGTTTATGAAGCAAAAACACCGTGGTTGTAGTTTAAGCAAGTTTTCTTACTGCATTTGTATTGTACATTTTCATTTGTGAATTCAATCTATGGCTTATAAAGGGCATCTACAAAAGCACAAGCAACTTCTGCAACAACGGACGAGGGCACAGTAGCAGCCATACCGTACATACCCGCTGTGGATCCTGTCTCTGTGATCCTGCCTGCCTCAAAATCAGCCATAACCTCCTTTAGGTCTGCAATAAACTCATCCGAGGCATCAGCAGAGGGGATTGTACTGGTGAAGTGTACTCCTGGTGGGTTTTGCAGAGCAGACAAGTGCCAGCCACGCTTTGACATCTGGTCACTGATGTCATAAATATTGAACTTGTTCGAGTTGAATGCAACAACTGAAGTCTTGGGGTCACCGTACACATATAAGCTGGGGATAGACTCGATCGCTTTGCGGACCTTGATCTGAGCACTAATGATATGCTTAGCCTCTTTAATGTAGCCCTCCTGACCAATGTGCATCAAAGTAGCCCAGCATCCTGCAATCAGCGCGCCGGGGCGTGAACCGGCAATGGAAGGAGAGGCATAAATTCCACCTGGCCAGGTTGCCATGCTGAAGTATTGGTATCGGCGCAACTCCTTGGTATGATACATGATGATTGACGATCCTTTGGGGGCAAATCCATACTTGTGGGTATCGCAGGAGATGGCAGTCACTCCGGGAACACGGAAGTCGAAGGGAGGCAATTTGTAGCCAGCCTTTTCTGCAAATGCTACCATGAAACTACCAAGACAACAGTCAACATGAAGACCAACATTATACTTCAAAGCCAACTTGCCCAAGGCCTCGATATCATCCATAACACCATGAGGATAGTTGACGGCAGACCCCGCAATAAGGACTGTGTTCTTATTAATGGCTTTCTTGACAGCCTTGATATCCGCCTGCATAGTGACGGGATCAACAGGGACATGAATAAGCTTCATTCCAAAGTAGCTGGCAGCTTTATCGAATGCGGCATGGATAGTAACAGGAGCAATACTAAATAGCGATTAAGAGAGAGAGGATATACTTCGTAAACAGTCTAATTACTTGACCAAATTCAAGTTTTTTTCTGCTCTTCTTATAGTAGACTGTAAGAACTTACATTTCAGGCTTGGTGATACCCTTGACATCCTTACCCCACTCACGATGAGTCTTGCATGACATCAAAATTGACTCAGTGCCTCCAGAGGTCATAACAGCGCCAGCCTTTGGACCAGCATTAAAAAGCTGTAACACCATAGCACAGACTTCTGCCTCCATTTTTCTTGTACCAGGGAAGACTTCAGGATGCAAAGGATTAGCACTTGAGAATTTACTGTAAGCAAGAGCACCAAGATCGGAAAGAACTTTGTTGTGGTGGTACACTGCACCAGAAACGCGCCCTTCCTCCCAACGAGTGTGGGGTAGTTCGCTGTATCTAATTATGGTTTGTCACAGAGAATTACAAAGCGGAAAAAATGTTTATAAGACTTGTAACCCTTTCTCCCTCTCACACAAGAGCAAAAAAGCTCAAATTGACCAGAACCCTGCTTTTCTACTCGTGCCTCTAAAAACATGATCGAGTTGGATCATAACACAAGTCCATATAACAATCCAGCGTCAAAGCTGCATTTCTTTGTTGACTTCTGGACAGCGATAAAATCCTTTGATTTGTCCATTACAGCCATACAAGAATAAAGGCGAGAAGTAAAAAAATAATAAGAGGTCAATGTTATAAGCTTACCTCTCGAGCTCCTTTGTCATCTCTTCTTCCGAGAAACCTTTCACAGGCAAGGTTGTGTAGCGAGGGAACTTATCATCCTGGGGTGCGACTTTATCCTCTATATCCTTGGCAGCCTTCCCGAGTTCCCTTTCCAACTTCTTTCTTATACTCGGAATCATCTTAATGTACTTGAATGCAAGCTATAAAATCAATTGACAGAAAAAAAAATCAGAAAATGAGGTTCTCTTGTCTTGAGTCGAGGAGGGTAACGTTTGAACAATACAATACATCGAAGAATCTCCTTTTGAGTTGACATACCAAGCTGAGATAGGCCTTGATTTCTTTGCAGGTCCTCGTTGGTCCATGAACCAAAAATATGGTGTTGAGACAATTGAGGAGCTTGTAAACAAAGATAATGAAAACCAAGTTTTTAACGTTGCTGAGGCGAGGGTTATTGAGGTATGACTGGATCATTTGTACGGCCGGACTGGCCAGAACAGAAGAGACTGGCATTGTGAGGTAATAATAATAGATAAATGAGGAGAGGTAGTCTGAAGATGCAAATAGAAATGGAATGAAATGAAATGAAATGAAATGAGGAAGAATGAGAGTGTCAAAAAGATATTTTGTGTGATCAGGCGGATTTTATGTCTTATTTTAATTGTTGGTCAGTTGCTTTGATTTTAGCTGTTGTGCATGATAATTGAGTGACTAGGACAGGGGAAGGAGGATCGGAGTAGCGTGATGTCAAAAGCAAAGAAGAGATGAAGCATGATAAGGAGGTGGGGGAGAAGGGGTTTAAATACATGTCAGGGTCATGCTGTTACCGGATAAAACATTAATATTCTTCAGCACTCCGGCACAATTTTGACAAATTATGCTGGGAAAGTAACAAGTCCCTGTTGGAAATTTGGTTTAAAAACAGGAATGTGCCATGCAGAATAAAATGTGCTCTGTGCTTGTTGCATGCCTGCTTTTACATGACATGTCACACGTCGCACATTACACATCCATGCTATTCATATTTCCATATTTCCATTCAATCTATCTTTAAAATAACCTTTACCCTTACAGAAAGATTCTCAAGGACAAGAACAACGCATGTCTGTACATTGCCCATGTATACAGTTTCAGAATCAACAACATTGATCATATTCCCAAACGGATAATTAGTTGTTCAGCTGGCTACCTCCCCCAACAGTTCAAATAAGATAGTCCTTGTGTAACAGCTGCCATTCCTTCCTTACTTTGCGATTCATCCTTTCTCACCATTTCTAGCATGGCAGAACTGCTCTGTTGCATGGACTGTTTGGTAGCATTTCTATGTCTTTTTTTTCTTTTTTTTTTCCTCTTTCACTGCTATGTGCTTCTTATACTCAAACACTGAATTCACTATTTCCTTTCTTCACTTGATACCATCCACCTCCCTCAATGATCACAAAGGGTACCAATAAAAGTTGACAATGGTGTGCTGCATCGCTTAAAATATTCCTTCTTGTGTAGAAATCGTTTATGCTATCTCTGCTTTGCTTGCTGACTGATTAGAGAATCGATATGGCCTTCAAAATATGTAATCCTGTTGTCTAATGCACAATTTCTCTACTAAATCCATTGGAAAAATAGGTGTTTTTTTTTTTTTCTTTTTTTATCTCCGAGCTCACGTTATAATATACATAAGAAAGCAATAGAACGAGTATGACTAATCTATACGGTGTTGTTTTACAAGCTGAGTCAGTACAGGGGGTTTTTAAGGCAAAGGCTTTAAAGTTCATTCTTCTTTTCTTAGTGCAACGCTCAAAGGCAGATCTCTTCTCCTTTATCGATCGCGTTTTAAAGAAAAAACCTAGTCCAGTCAGTTGTGTTGCAGATTCATATCTACTCTGATTTCGCAAATCCCCGCTAATTATGTAGGATTTTATTTAATGTGTGTCACTTCATGAGACAGTTAACGTTTTTCTATTCGCTATTTTTGGTTAGGTTCTTCAATTAAAAGAAGTTTGTTAAGAAAATCACATATATTTGAAAAAGCCTAACCAAAAGAGTGTTGGGGGATTTGCCTCGACAAGCTCGCCTCCATTTATCTGTTCGGTGGAGAAGTTAATTATTTTTACTTCCAGAAGAAACAATATAACAGAAGAGTACATCGATCTCTATTACTATTTTACTCACTAGCAATGTCTCCGATATGCATATCCATTTACCATCAACTGAAAGTTGAAGTATTGCTTCCTTGTTAGAATTCTAGACTATGAAACTTAAAAAAAAAAAAAAGAAAACCAAAAGAAGGAAGCTGTAGTCATTGATGGTTCTACAGAACCCTACAGCGGTATTGAGAGCAACTAATCTCTTCTTCGTAGCAATAGAGCAACCATCAAAGGCTACATTGTCAAACTTGCAGAAGTGGAAGACACATTGCTATTCTTTCTATAAGAAAGAGCTATCTAAAGGCATTGGTGGAACGCGAAGAGTCCTCGGGATGAAGAGTACATTCAGATCGCCAATTGTTTGTTCCGGATGATTGATGGCTCAGTTGGAGCGAAAAGAAAGAAACTAACAAGGTCGCGATTGCTGTAGGCCTGAGGTCTACTTCCTTTTTCTTTCTTTTCTTTAAGACTCGCACTTCTTTGAGACCAATTCTCTTGGATACACTATTGTTGGTATGAATAAATACTACATCTCCAAGAAGTGTCCGAGTTGCCAGGAGTTTGTAGGGCAAGTTAATATTCGCCGGCTTTGTTGCCTCAAGTGCAAGCCATTTATACACAGAGATGTGATGGTTAGCCACAACATTCTTCAGCATATGGATTTTTGAACTCATTTTGAATAGAGTTATATACCTGACAACATTGAGCTGCCTCCCAAAGATGAGTATACTCGTGACGATGGCGAGCTTCCATGTATATAAGAAAGAGATGAGGTATGCAACCCAAGTTTCAGTTCCATGAATGAGCTGCTTCTAACCAGAACGATTTTATCATTAAATGAGAGTAATGATAGCACTGGCCAATCTACAATCCACACTTTTAGAAACCAACATTCAACAATCTGATCATAGTGTTGAGGAATATGGACAAAATGAAGGTAGTTAGTAGATCTCCTTTCATCCGTCTTGCTACTACTTGCTTTAATATGTATTTTAGCCAAACCCAAAGACCTTTCCTTTTGCATTTGCAACCGAATTCTTCTGTGTAAATCCAAAAACCTTTAGTAAACAGGAACATGTTTTTGAAGTCGATATAGAAGAAAAAACCTTAGCACTTCAGATGTACTCAGTACGTCTTATTAGCAATACATCGACAATGATAGGCTCTGGCAACTTTGATAACTCCTTATATGATGATATTTGCTTGAGGTGGATGTTTTGTTACAGTGTTTCTGGACTAATCCACTAATTCTTATTATTAACTTGGTGCAATAAACGCGATCTGGGATACTAAAAAGTCAGGCTCAAAATTTAGACACAATCCAAGAGTACGTCAAAGAATCTGGAGAGATGACCGGCGAGGCTTCCATGCTATGACTTAGCTTGGGTAAAGAAATGAAGGTGACCAGAAAAATAAAGTCGAGATCGATCAGAGATGATTCTCATGAAGGCATTATCTAACCTCTTCAAGTGCTTCTGAAAGATTTAATAAAAGTTTATCAAAACTATTTGCATTTTGCACTTCTGCTACCTTGGAACTAGACAAAAGAGCAATGGGGTGCGATAACCCTGGTTGGCTTTTATCTCGGCTTGTACGCGCCAACATTGACTCAGATGTCGATACTAATTGTTATTATTATTAAAGAAGAGAGATATGGAGGAATAGCAGCCCTCAAAGCCCCCTTTAGGCTTTAGAGAATGGTCCTGCATTACCCTATCTCCCGAATGGCCAGTCAGTCCAGTCCTTCAAATGATCTGCTCGCGATAGAGCTAGTAATCGCTTTTTTCCCGTGTCAGCATGACACGCTACCGTGGCATTAAGGCGGCGAATATCCCAGAGAAGGTGGGATATATAGCAACGTGAACATAATTCAGCGTTCTGAGCCACGTAAGTACTGACTTAAGTCAGGAATTGAGGAATCAGCGGAAACCATTTTTGAACTGAAAATAGCCTTGTCAGTGCTGCCGATGCCAGGGGGGGGGGGGGGATCGAGCCGTGCTTCATGTTGGTAGATAATGCGGTTTCTTGTCCAAGATCTGTGGCACAATATCACCAGGTTGTAATATGCCAAATGAATGATACTAGATCTTTTTTCTTAAGCTGCGCATTTTTTATCCTTCTTAATTATTAGACTGTCAAGCCGTGAAGTGTAAAGGTAAATAGCTGCATGATAAGAGTGTTGAGCAATAGTATATACGACATATTAATCATGGCGAAGTATGTAAATTGTGCCTTGAGACAAAAAGTCTGATTTATGAAAACGTGACCCTAATTCAACGAAGACCTTCCCCAAAGTGCAAATGTAAACAACCGTGACAATCAAAATTTAGAACAAACAAACCTCAAATTGTTTATGTGCTGTGCAATAGCTTCTTTCATTCATTTCTATTCGAACAGCCTCCTCTCCTTTGTCAATCACTTCTCTACTCCTCATCTTTTTTTTCTTTTTTTTTTTTTGTGTGTTTACCTACCACTTGATTCACGTCAAATATAACTACAATGGATAACGAGTCTCGTGAAATCGTTCGACTCTGGAGAGTCTACAGAACTATCCATCAGCTCTGTAACCATAGAGTAAGAAAAAAAAAACCTGATGGTTATTAATTTTACAAAGCAAAGGAATGCTAATCAGAAAGTAGCATGGTTGTCAACAAAGCAAATAATATCCAGTACAAAGTGTAAATTGACCTTTTTGCATTACCTTAATACGCATGACTTTTTTTTTTTTTTTTTTTTCTTATCGTTCTAATTGTTAATAGGGCTACCTCATCTCTCAAGCTGAATTGGACCAAGATCTCGAATCCTTCAGACAGACTTTTGCCAGCCACGGAAAAGTTGAGTAAGTCGCACTTCTCACAATAACAATAATAAAAGGAACTACTTCAAGATCAACAATCTACAACAATAACGACTAAGGACAATTGAATCAGGATAACAAATGATAAAACATGAGAGAACGAAAAACATAAAGCAAGCTCAACTCTCATGTTCGATATGGGATCTGGAAGTAGGAGAAAAAGACAAAGCAGGAATATCAAAGAAATAGGAAGGAGGGGCCGTATCTGTGTATCTCACAGTGTTTTTTTCAGACATGGTTGCTTGGAATACGAGTTGGATAACATCTTATTTTCCAATTCTCTTTCTTTCTTCTATTAATGCCTACTGACACTTCTTTTTCTATTTTATTTTATCTTTCCGTCTTTCCCCTTACCGTTAGTCGCAATGCATTGATGTTCATGGTTCAGAAAAAGGACGACCCTGCAGATCAGATGCTTGTTTTCTTCCCCGATGAGGCTTCTGTCGGTATCAAGACCATCAAGAAGTAAGTTATTATTGTTAATGATTATTGTAATTACTATTGCTATTATTTACACTTGTATATATTAATCTCTTCGATCGCTAATTTTTTTTTTTTTTTTTTTTTTTTTGGATATGAATTGGAAAAAATTTATTTAGGTACTGTGAGTTGATGGTTGCAAAGGGTGTAGGACGCGGAATTGTTGTTTTCCAGGAAAAGATTACGCCAACGGCTGCAAAAGTTATTAATGAAGTCAGTCACAGCTATCACCTTGAATCATTTCAGGAGGCAGATCTGCTCGTCAACATTACAGAACATACTTTGGTTCCACAGCACATTGTCCTCACTCCTGAAGAGAAGGAAACTTTGTTGAAGAGATAGTATGTTGCTCTTTTTTTTTTTTTTTTTTTTTTTTCTTTTCTTTTTTGTCAATTTTACATGATTCAATACCATGGAAAAAGGAATACTGACTATATATGTTATATATATAATACTAATATCAGCCGCTTGAAGGAAACACAGTTGCCTCGCATTCAACCCTCGGATCCCATTGCAAGATATTATGGATTGGCACGTGGACAGGTCGTCAAAATTATGAGGCCGTCTGAGACAAGTGGCCGTTATGTTAGTTACCGTCTTTGCTATTAAAATATGCAAATAAATGACAGTAACAAGGCTGGATGACAGGAACATGAATAATGAAGACGTTTGAAGGAGAAACATAAGAAAGGAACAAAGGGATATTTCTATTTTCTGGCTCAGAATTATAATGAATTGCCACTTGAGAATCGAATATGAAGTTGCATGCTTTTATTTCAAACAAAGAAGAAAAAAAAACCCCCCAGCATGGGAAATACAACGAGCCAATTGAGATGTGCATAAATTCATAAATAAATAAATAAATAAAGTGGACGGATCACACACAATAAATAACATTAAGACTTTTTTTTTTTTCTTTTTTTTTTTTTTTTTTTTTTTTTGTCGATCATTTTCATTAGTATAAACTAGGTATAACTTGGAGGAGAGTTAAATAAATAAATAAATAAAAATAAAGTGTGAAAGATTTGAGGTATATTGGCTTGTAGAGAGGAAATAGAAAGAAAAAAGAAAACTGGTATAAAATGGCTGTGAAGGGTCGGCGTATGTTTTAAATACGTGAGCAGGAAGAAAAAGAAAATAAATAAAAAAAAGATCACAAGTGAGAAAAGTAAGAATAGCAAGAAGAAGAAAAAGTTGGAGAAACTCAAACACCCATAGATTCCTCTGAAGATAAAAAAGGATATCCATAATAAAATAAAATAAAAAAAAAAGGCAGAATGAAGTTTCCTTGATAATCTACCAAGCCTTCGTTAACCTGCCTCATGATTGCTTCATTTGGCGATCTTCATGAGGCTTTTTTTTTTTTTTTTTTTTTTTTTTTGACATCATGGTTTAGGATAAATCATTGAATAGGGAGTTTTGTCGTTTCAAGTCATTGGCCGATCAACATTTGCAGAACGTCCTTGTAAGATTCCAGACACCTTCATTCTTTCAATCCATGCCCTTTTCTGTACACTCAAGCTTTGCTGTTTGCGGTCCCTTATTTCATTCGGAGAGTAGCTTCAGAATAGCTTCGCTGTAGTGGACAAAAATCCCTCAAACATTTTTTTTTTTGTTGGTGTTGTTGTTATTCTTTTCACTTCATTGCTGATCCTGACATGATGACACTCTAAATCCTGCTTTTCTTTTTTCTATTCTTTTCCTTTCTTTCTTTCTTTCTTTCTTTCTTTCTTCTTTTTTTCCTCTCCTTTAGACAAGTACCAGCTCCAGAGTCCATGTTCGTCTCGCCCAGAGTCGAATAGGAAGCTTATGCTCGCCTTGATCAAGCTCCACCTCAACTCCATCCCACCAGCATTTCCTCTAAAAAAGATTTAAGAACGCGGGTTATTAAAGAAAATAAATTAAACATCTCTTCATTAACAGTGAAAAAAATATTTCTCTCCTGAAATTCTGTGCTCCTTTGCTCCCAGGTCATCTATATTAGGCACATAGCACTACGACAGTAATGTATCTTCTGGTTCGTAGGAGTGAATTATTAAATTCTACTGTTGCTATCACTGCTGCTCGTGTTGTTGCTGTTGTTACTGCAAGTTTATAGAAGATTGAGACCAGTGATACCATAAGGATGAAGAGAGGGAGAAAAGGTGCCATATTTGTATAAAAAAAAACTCAATTGCAGTTTTTCTTTGTCTCATTGGAGTGTTTGACTTTTTTTTGCTCTTTTTTTCAGTTCCAAAGAGACATTCCTGACAGGTCATGTCCCAAACTACGAAAGTGTAGCGCACAAACAATAATAAAAAGAAAAAGAAAAAACAATAACAATAACAAAAGAACATGAAGAACAACTTACGGCAGGTTTTCTCCAGAAAAGCAAAAGTTTTTGAGCGGTCGCCATTTGATTCCCGCTCCCTGTTGTCTTGAGCATGACAAGTGCAATGCTGACGATAGAGGTCTTTTTAGGTTCAATATCTCGATATCCCCATTCATCGTCTCTAGAAAAGCCCGAGACACAGAGCATATCGATAAGGTGCTGTTCTGCTACATTGTTTTCCTTGTTGATGTTACGTTGAAGAGCTGTAAAGATCTTGCGCTGTTCCAACAGATGGGTTCCACACAAGGTTTTGACATTGACCTTGCTAGGATCCGCATGGACAGGCCCTGTAGCTGGCATGTCCTCCTTTGCAGGAAACCCAGCCTTGGGAGGGATGACCGCAAAATAGTCCAACTCTTCTCTCAGGACAATAATGGCCTGTTTGTTCAAAAGAGGGTTCTGAGACGAAAGATTGTTATGGAGTGTGGTTTGTGGGTTGGCAAGTCGTTGAGCCTCCCCTGCTGTCTGGGCCTCATGGTAAAAGTCTAGGACGTAATCCATACAGGCTGGGTCAAAGTCAACATAGATGATCTGGTCTTCCAGAGACAGGGATTCTTCCGAATTGTTGTCGTCGTCATCATAACTCTCAGAGTGTCCACGACCAAGGATGAGACCATTGGGGAACATGACGATGAGGATGCTCTCTGGAAGACTGACAAGAACCTCTCTGTCAATCTCGAAACGTGTGCCACGCAGGTCAAGCAGAAGCTTGGAAGGGAATGTGCCCTGACCTGGTGAGGGTGGTTCAGAGGAGTATTGTGAGACCTGAGTAATAGGTGACTCTGAGACCTGAGTGATGGGCGAGTTTGACATGGCCATGATGAGAACACAAGTAAAAAAAAAAAAAAAAAAAAAGGACGGAGATGAGAAAGAGAGAGAGAAGGAGAGAGGAAGAGGACGAAAGATTACAGAAGGAATGAAGGAGTATTAAGAAGAGAGGGGGCCAGAGAGTGGAAGGGGGAAAGTAGAAGTGAATGTTATTTGTTATTAAACTGGAAGTAAGGAAGAAAGGAGGACACTCGGGGCGAAAGGCAAGTGCTTCAATTACAATTGCAATTACGGCGATGACTGTCGATAAATATTCTGAATAAACAGAGGCAGAGAGGCGCAGAAGAGAGGAAGCCCAAACAACTCATTTCTCACTTACTCATTTGAGGCTCATTTTGCTCAAATCCATACCCACTCAGCAATATATTCTAACAAACTCTCTCTCAATACATGTACACTCTTATCCAACTGAGAGCCACCTTCCTGCCAAAATATTTGGGTTTTTTTTTTATGAGCAGGTCTTGGTCGGTCTGTCTGCCCAATCTAATTAAACTGAATAGAATAAGATTTTTGAGGCACGCGTCGGTCCTTGGATTAAACCTTGGCACATGACCCAGGGACAATAACGAAGCACAGACACACCAGCTTGAGGAATTTTATTGTCGTTACATCACATCTCTGGGCGCTGAGTGTTTCCCAGTCCCTGTATAATAATGCCATATTGCAAACCTTCTTTGCCCTTTGCTGCAAAAACCAATGCAAGAGCAGGCAGAGCAAAGCTACGGGCATTGATTAAAATGTTTGGTGATTTGAACGTCAACGAGATCAAAAGTTGTTTTACTACTGTTGCTAAGCGGAGGGGGCCTTATTAAGATCCCCCCATCACCGCCACACAATGCTCTGGATGTCCCTCTGAGGTACGCTCCTAAGCCTCGGTATGGAACGTCTATAAACTAAATAAAATCAAACCCCATTTTTTGAAGCCCGCCATACAAGTGCTTCTGATCCAGATCCGGCTTGCCGTTGCGTTGATCGCATACCCACTTTGAAAAGTGACTCGATCCATGGGTCTCCCCATGAGGCTGCCGGTTATGGGGAGTTGCCAGATAAGGACTGACTTTTGTAGTGTCTTCATAGTTCTCCAATAATCTACTCTAGAGACCGCCAAACCTCTCCTTGGCTATCACCTCGCACACTTCCCAAACCGCGTCTTGAAGGGTTGGAAGTCCTTGTCATCAAGCACAGAGTGAAGATGCCGACGGATGTTTTTCCTGATGTGTCAAATACAGGTTACAAGGCGAGGTCCTTCGAGCACACCTGGACATGCCGAATCCATCGCTACATCTCCGTTCATTAATATGACGCTCAGTTGAAGGCCCTCGTTTGATCCCTTAAGCTACTACAATATATATTTATAATCTTCTATGTCCCCAATGCGTACCAAGCACATGCAACAAGTCAAGTCTTGAAATGAGCATCAACAACAATACAATTGACTGCCATCCCAAGTCTATTTGTCCGTAAAGTGGTGTCGATCACCAGACCATCATGGTATCGTCGATATAACTCTCGTTGACTCAGGCCCATCTAGAAAAGGCGAATCACGTCCAAGCCGTAGACGGTATAGTAGAACCAACTATCTATTGTACAACGTACGTGGCTTCTGGTTCAAGAGAGTGAGGAGTTGAATTGTTTATGGTACTTTATTATGGCTGTTTGCTTCCTGTGAGCCTTGAGTCGATTTCCGCCCTGATCTTCCCTGAACGTGGAATCGTGATATTCGAGCCTAAGGCCCTCCATAGTACGATTGATGCTGTCCCCTAGAGCAGCAGCATCATTTATGGTTAAAGGCTGGCTCGGTATTAGTCGCCACCTCTGGTTAAGGCGATTGGTAACGGTCTTCAAGTTTCACTCCGTGGGTGTTCATGAGCGTGTTGATGGCACTGTTGAGTATGGGCTTCACGAGGTGACGATAGGGTAGAGAAATCGACGGGCATAGCGATTGTTCTTCTGAGTCCCTTCATGGCCAGATCCAACTCCTGCGATTCGCTCTTGGCCTTCGCTAGGCCTAGCATAGGGACTATTATGATGGTTAGTCTGTCCTCAGGTGACGGCATACACTTCGTTCTCTTCGTCACAGCTGTTTTCCTCGTCTACTCCGTCTAGGTAGTGTATTTCTACTGCCGGGTTACGTTCTGGTGATCCTGTCCTTTCGGTAGTTCTTTGCCTGTTGTCTGTTCTCGCGCTAAGGCATTCATAAGAGCAATGACCGGGCTCTCCACAAGTGAAGCATCTATCTTCTCGTCAGTGACGGTCTCGTTCGTCATTCAGGTGTGTATCGCGTCGGGACTGGATGTTCCGTTGCTGATCTTGTATCATCTCGTTCATGGTTCGTGTCGTTTCCAAGAGATTAATGGACAAGTCATTGAGCTGCTGAAAAATCCTCTCGGCTTGGTTTCCTTCATTCTTTAACAATGTCGGATGTCGGTACTTCCCAGCGGCTACGGTTAAGCGGGTCTGATCGTACTTGCGTGCGACTTCGCACATCTCCTTATAAGTCTCTGGCAAGGAATGGTGGTTTAGAATGGGCATGGAAGCCTCCTTCCTCAAAGCCCGGATCAAAGCATTTTTTCTTCTGTGCATCCTTAATGATGTGAGCGAAAACGAATAATTGATTTGGAGCTAGTATCAACTCATCTGTTGTTTCATCATCCCTTTGATGGTATGTGGAGAGGATACTCCTACTTCATGGGAGTACTATACCGCTTTTTAAAATCATCTTTGAACTCGTCGTAGGTTTTCCAGTGTTCAAAATTTTCTTCATACCAACCCAGCGCACTTCCTTCGGGGTAGATCCAAATGCACCGAGCTTGGCTCGGTTTTGCCAGTTATTACCTGACAATTCGTTCGAACTGGGTCAGCCACTGGTGAGGGTCATCCTCTGGGTAAAAAGGTTCTGGTTGTGCTAAATTACGCTCTCTAGGGTAAGCTAAGGTGGGTGCTGGTCGATACAAGTATGCTTCACTGGTAGGAGGCTTGACTGGAGAGAAAGGTATTGGAGGTATTGAAATAAAAAAGGAAAAAAAAAGAAAAAAAAAATGTCGATTTGTGCAAGCAAAGAGATTTCGATGAGAACGACAATAAAAGTTGGATATTTAAGACAGGAGATGAAGGATGATGTTTTACCGCCACCTGCGTAGATCACCAATTCTGTAACGGGTTTTTTCAGAGCGTAGATTTCTCCTAGGCGGGGCGCGTACACACGGTCAATAGAGGTCAGTGGGGTGCGATTGAGTGTATCCGGCTGGTCACATGCAGACCACCTGGCTCCTTCTTATCATCGGCTAGAGCACGTAACTAACCTCCATCGGAGGCTCGTTTAACTTGGTTGGTAGAGATCTTCCTTCTTACCATTAATTTTCGAAATAATTAAATTACTCAGCCAATTCACAAAGATCAGTCCAACGGATGGGCCCATTCTCTTCTTCTTACCTCTCCTTCCCCCTTCTTTAATGATGGATCTACTTCCATCACCATCCCCCTCTTCCTCAAATGAGACAAAGAGACAAGAAAGCCATTGCTACTACGTCTGTGCTTTTTTTTTTTTTTTTTTTTTTTTTTTTTTGATAACAAGGACCCACGAGGTCATGTAGGATTTATTTAGATGTTAGCTCTATAAATGGGTTGCCCCATTACTGGGGTCGCAAATAAAGCGGTATCCAATAATCGGCCGAAGCCGCATCGTCATACTGCCACAGTACTACATCCTGTTCATAAACCACGTCAGCATTGAGTAGACTTCCTTGGTCCCAGAGGACCTGTGGCACGGCTCTACTCCCTACTTGGCCTGTTGTGCGCGAAGGTCATCCTTTAGCCGCTGTCCTCAATCATCAAAAATTTACAGCTTTCCAGGCGCTCCATAATCGCCAATTCCACCTGCTGCCGGTAGCTTGCCACCACTCGCCGGTCTGCCTCAGTCCTGATCGCCTTCACATCTGCTGTTCGTCGTTGTCCCTGGTGAGAGCCAAAGAATTCACCTCTGCTACGTCTGTGCCTCCCAACACAGTTGCGTCCCCTGGCGCGTTTGCTCACAGAGGTGATACCATTTTCTCTTTCCCAGTTGACGGTGACTTTGCAGCGTCTGTTCCAGATTTCAGTCCTGCCGAGTTCCTCGATTGACTTGACAAAGCGGCAAACAATGTACCTTGAGATCGATGCTGTGGTTCTGAAGATCGTCTTCCATTTTTGTATCAGTTCCTTCGGCACCAAACCGTGGTACAAGTCTTGGACAGTCCAGTGGGCATCCTCACCCTCGTTCCTCCGTCCCATATCCACATCTTCCTCACCAAACAGAGTGCTCGCATGTCGAATCTCTCTGACGCCCTTGAACATCGCTTCCAAAGAGCCCCAAATCACGTTGTCGGCTACAGGTGTAAACGAGGGGCCTCCTTTATTCAGGTTTGGCTCCTGTGTTTTCCCTTGTTTGTCTTCCCAGAGCTTCTTCTCCTTCACTAATGCTCTTTTGCCATCCTTCGTGATGAGTTCTATGGCCTGCTTCCAACCTTTCAATTGCTCGTCCAGTGTCATGGGACATCGCCAGAGGTGTTCTATGTCCTCCTGCTCCTGTTCACACATCCTGCAGATGTCAGTCTCATACAGGTCCGGTCGCCACTGCCTCATATAAGTGAGTGTAGGAAGCATACCATGGACCTTCTTTATTCTGTGCGCTCTCTTGTGACAATCTGCTGGGCTGGTGAAGAGGCCTCTAGGCGTGTTGCCATCGTGAAGAATATGCAGGCTTGCTTTCCATTCTACTTCTCGCCAGTCTGCAATATAATTCCTGACTCTGTTCTGAGACGCCCACAAGTAATGTGTTCTCACTGCTGATTGGAGTTTTAGCAGGTGTCTAAGATCATCCTCCACCACCTCGTTCTCGAAAATAGCGTGGCAGCGCAGATCGTTGTGTTCCAGTACTTTGATTGTCCACATTTCGCTAAAATGAGCATCTTTGGCGGCTTGGTCTGCCCTTATATTGCCTCTATTCCCAGCATGGCCCTTGACCCATTTCACAGTTACCTTCCCGCCCTGCTTAAAGAGCGCTCTCGAAATGGCTGCCCACCACACTGCGTACTTGGATCGCAATCGCTGCCGTTCAGTGCTTGCTTCTCGCTTTTGAGCAAGGTCCTTGAACTGAACCACTACCGCCATGTTGTCTATGTAGACAGTCGTTGGAACGTTACGGGGACTGACTAGAATGGCTGCGTACAGTCCTACTAGCTCTGCCTTGGTGGATGAAGCATACCCATCGACTCTACCTGAAACTACATTTGAGAAGCTTTCTGGGCCTATCTGAACCACCACCCCGAAAGCCATCCGCGCCGCCCTTCTTCCTGCCTCTTCAAGGGACCCATCGGAGTAAAGTGTTAGCTGACTCATCGTTGATAGTTTCTCTCTTTGACGCAGTATATTGTCCATGTCAACCTGTGGGATCTCTACACCTAGGCACTCAGAGGAGCCAAACCACCGATGATGACCCTCTGGGATTTTATTATTCCTTGTTCTTGAGGAGTCCATCTCTTCTTGCGCTTTCGTCCTGAGCCTCCTATCGAGAGCTTGTTCATCGAGTTCATGGCGTCCACGTATCTTGTTTCGCTCTTGTGCTCTACGTCTTGCTCGGTTGAAAGCCGCTCGTCGTCGCTGTTCTCTTCTTCCTTGTTCATCGAGCCTTTGAAACCTAGCCTGTAACCGTAGGCGTTCTTGACGGCGAGCTCTTTCGATAGCCTTCGAGTGTGCGGCTTCTTGCTTGGCTTGCACCCACTGTTCACGTCGCCACACTCTCCTTCTCTCCACCTCTTCTTTTTTCCTCTCTTGCTCTATTTTTCTTAGCAACCATTGCTCCCTCTTCCCTCTTTCCAAACGGTCGCGAAATTGTAACATTTTCCTTCCTTGAGGATCTTTCCACAGCCTATGCCTCTCGTTAGCTTCGCGCTCTTTTTCTCTCAAACGCTCTCTTTTTTCAAAATTTTCTCGCAAGTATTCTTTTTGGAGTTCGCGATCAGACTCAGTGTATCCTTCATACTCCTGCATACCCTCTTGTATGTAACACTGTGCTCTTCTTTCTCTTTCCTCCCGCTGTTCTACACTTAGGGGATCAAGTGGCTCTCTGGGGTCTTCTTCCACGTCACTGAGGTAACTTATATATCCAACGTCATCATCCTCATCATCCTCAGTGGGCTGCTCCTCCAACATATTGTCTTCTGTGAGTAGTTCATCTGCTCTCTCATTGTTTTCAGCCTCATTTAGCTGTTGGAGCTCCCTTAAATCTCTCTCTTCCTCTTCGTCTAGTCTCTGAAGAATGTTCTTTTTGTCTCTACACCATACTTCGATAAAGTTGTGTGTGTAAAGGGACTCATGAAGGGCATTTTGAACATTGTGGAACCATGCTGGAGATGCCTTTGGGTCTCTCCTTTTCGTACGTACCTCATTCCAGGATTTGAGTGACGAATCCTCGTCTAGAGTTTGCTCAGCATAATATATTCCTCTTGCTGCTAATTCCCGCACAGGCTGGTCATCCACAATGCCATGAAGCATGTCTGCTATATTGAGAGCATTTCCAGGGAGCCCAAAATCGTTTGCTAGTTGCAAGTCAAACTTCACTTGTCGATCGGCCATTAGTTTACAGACGCTTGATGCGAAGTTGTGTTTGTATGCTTTTATTTTGTGCGGCTCTGCAGTTGGGAGCTTGCTCGTCCTAAGGCGCTTCTGGAGGGCAATGAGACGTGCTCTACAGATACGTCCCATCAACCCATTGTCATTTAGGCGTAGGAACAGGGTTGATATCTGCTCCTCTGTCTGTGCGTCTTCTAAGTTTTTAATTGCATAGAATCTAGGGTGATGCATTATGCTGTTGGGTGTGGTTGACGGCATACGTGCTTTGCTCTTACATAGCTTCATATACTTACCTGTCATTCGTCTCACAAAAGAAGGGGGAAGTATCTGTGCCGAAATCCTATAAAGCACCTTGGGTATGAGGACGTTATTGATGAGATATGCTGTCTGTTTGTCGGTTACTGCTTTTGAGGAGAGAATACTACACATTGACGTGACTTCTCTTTCTACAATGTTCTCTGTTGTCTTCACCGACCCTCTGGATGTTACCCAGACACCTAGTATCCGGACAGGGTCATCTTTGCCCAGCGGGCGGATTTCTTCTGCCGGTGTACCAAAATGGAGATTATTGTTATCGTTGAGCTTGCTGTTTAGTGTTAGCACCTGCGTCTTTTTCGCATTGATTTCGACCCCGTTAAGAACAAAAAAGGACGTGGCGACATCTAGTATATCCTGTACATGTTGTTTGGAGTCAGATATCCATGTCGTGTCGTCCACAAAAGCCAGACATGCGAGCTGAGGTGTATCTGGAGGGCCCTCTATTCTGTATCCCTTCATGTGGTCCATAACTTCACATAGTAGTGGATCATAAGCTATTCGCCAGAGTAAAGGTCACTCTACACCTCCTTGATCCAGACCGCATTCTGGGCGGTTGCTACTACGTCTGTGCTTCCCAACACAGTTGCGTCCTCTAACGCGTTTGCTCATAGCTTTTCCCATTCAACGGTGACCTTGTCAATTTTCAGCCAACTTTTTTTTTTAACTGAAGTTCCGAATCACGTGAGATAGCACGTGATATGGATTATAGAAATAAAATAATCTTAGAAAAAGTGTTGATATATGAGCTCGTTTAGCTTAGTCGGTAGAGCGTCGTGCTAATAACGCGAAGGTCGCAGGTTCGATCCCTGCAATGAGCATTTTTGTCGGCTCGTACTGGCGCATGGTACAAAAGATATTTGCACGTGGGTCTTTTTTTTTATTTATAATGGGGTCTTTATTTCAGTCTTTAATACCACTACCAGGAAGCCTTCCACGACACAAGCTCGATACCCAAGTATCAAATATTGACCAGAATACATGTTGATATTCTTTATGCGACTCTAGGACTAAATAAAGAATTACAAACGACCTCAGTTTATTTTGTGGAATGTCTCTCGCCATATCAAAGATTTATCGCGTCTTTGTGTGGCGCGTTATTGCCACTAATTTTTACTGCTGTAGGATACACGTTGCCGCTTGTAGATGAAATAAAGACCCCATGCAAATAATAATTTTTTATTTGCAGCGTAAATAAGGTGTGTACGGAGCAGTGCAAATAACTTCATCCTTTTTCTTTTTTGGATTAATTTAATTGGCAGCCCAGCTGTCAAGAAACATCCTTATGATTTGCTTGATAACCTACCTAGTGTTATCTGGGCTCTATTACTTGTTTTATCTGTAAAAAACTCTCGTATCTCGTTTACTAGGACAATCCTGTGTGTGTTGATGAGAAGCATAGGAGCTCCTGTTGGACATCCAACAAAAAAGGTTCACCAAGATTTTGGGTCGTGACATTCAGCTACAATCCAGTGACAGTAGCGGTTAGAGGCGCATCAACATATTTATGCGACCCTAATGCTTCCTGTCTATTGACATTTTTTTTTTATTTAGAGGAAGCCCACCCATAAGAGGCGGGTTTTAATTGAAAGACTGAAATAATAACCCCCGTGCAAATAACTTCATTATTTGACAGCCCGGTTGCTACCCAAGGGTGTAGTGTTAAGTGGCTGCCCCAAAACGATCTATTTGGCTGTGAAGACTTGGCTGTTGTTCAGTAATTCAATACACCAATTTGCCATAGCTGGTAGCTCCTCAGCGCCACAAGTGGCTTTACAAATCTATACTTCCTCTCCCCAATGTAACTAGGTTCAACAAAGACGTCAAGAATGGCATGTGATTTATGCACCAGATTTTTTTTTTTTTAATTTTTTTTCCACACCCTCGGTTCACTACGATTGAAAAACCCGGGAAGCTTCTTCGATGCTTTGCTCTAGGGGTGGAGGGGAAAGAGGTCAGTGGGGGGTTTATTAAATCGGTGATCCGTGGAGGATCACCATGAAAAACCGTTTAAAATGGGCATCACCACATGTTAAATTGACTGTTGCTGAAAAATTGAATAAGGTTGAATGGAACGACTTGTTACGGATGGTAATATAGCGATATTTGTATATACATATATCCATCAACCTAAATAAACATGTGCTAAATGAATCATGATTTCTGCGTTGATCTTGACTTTCGAGACCGGCTCTAGATATTGGATATTGGATATTGTAGGATAATGTGGGATATTGTAGTATGTCGCGGCAACAAATCCGTTAGTGCTTGGCAGGAAAAAATAAAAAATAAAAAAATAAAAATAAAAAATAAAAAATAAAAAAAAAAAAATAAAAAAAAAAAAATAAAAAAAAATAATAATAAAGGGTTAAAACCTCACGATAAACCTCGCGATCGCACAGAATTTCAATACCTTTGGCCTTAAAAATAGCGATAAAAGTAACTTCAGAATCGATAAAGTAGTGTCTTGGATTTGCGACGCTGATTTCCAGAAAGAATGTAATCGGAAATGTAAGGGTATTTATCTAGATAAAAAAAAGAAACAAACTTGAATTCCTCTCTTAATGATGTTCTTATCCCATATAAAGGAGTATAGGAGGGGCAGCAAGGGAGAGGTGAGAGGAGGGAAGCTTATAGGTATAAATAGGCCCAGTGATTGTATTGCCTGATGTCGTAAAGAATCCTATTCCGTTCGTAATAGAGTGGCAACCACAGCCATGCATTGCATTTGAGGGCACGCTTCAGCTTTTCAGACTCATTGAAATACGTTATATTCCCCACAATGGAGATCTAGTCTATCCCATTGCCGTAAACCAGATGGGAGCTGAGGCCCGATAAAGATCCGAAACAATCAAGGAGTTACGAGAGTAAGCCGAAGTTGGATAAAAGTGTGCTTGAATAATTCCCTTGGCTTCTATTGTGGGTAGAAAAAGCGAGCTGATGACCTATTATTATTGGTTTTTCACCTCTCTGATCAGCTGTTACTGATATCTAAAGGAAGAGCCTTTTTTTTTTTTTAGAGGATCAGAATGTCTTTAATATGTGTTCAAGTTATTCCATATTGTTTCAGAATTATCCAACGTGTAGTAATGAAAAGAAATACGCAGACATTGTTTACAAGGAACTATGCTAATAGCAATGTAGCGCGTAGCAGATAGAGAAGACACAAGAGGATGAAAAGAATCTGGAAAGGTGCGGTAATAGCAGGTACAAATCTACAAGCGTGCTTGCTAATCTTGTGTCCATTTGGCTTGAGCTGCAATTCATCTTTTTTAGTCTCGATGGCAGTGCGTGCAGAGGATGATGTCTCATTGGCGACGCTCCTTAGAGGACCTACGTTGGATAAAATTATCTTACGAGTTACCAAAAGCGAAGTAGATCTCGATATCAAACGCAATAGGGTCAAAGGCAGATTCAGCATTTACCAGCTGCGACTTAGCGCCCGGGATCGGGAACGGTTGTTAGTTAGTACTTGGGAGCATGGAGACCGCATCGAGTCTGTGGGACTACTCCATGCTCTACTGTGGATGCTATTTAGACATTAAAGTGCATCCATTTAATATTACTGTCATATTTCTATGTCTTGCTCTTTCTGTAGCATATCAGCATATATTTTTCCCTCATACAACTGAGGAGCTGTATACGACATCGATCGATGCCTTGACGGTGTTTGTAGTATACAGCCGGAATGGTCACTCCGCTGATATTGTCTAGGATCAATATTTTCTTTGTCCGAGTTGTAATCAATCTCGTCCTGTTCAACTAACCACCAGCTAGAGGGAGGTGACGAAGGCCTTTTGTTCCCTTTATCGTCTACAGTGCTTTCATCTTGCTTGATATCACAGGCTCCTTCAGTACTTTTCCCTGTAATTACAGCTTGAATGGCGCATTTCTGTCCAAGGTGTTCGTCATAAGCAGGTGCTAATGGGCGTACACCCTCCTCTTTTTCGTTCTCGGAGGTTGTCCCTTCATTTGTATCGTTTATTTCCTCATCGCCATAATCCACGATCTCGGCTTTGTACTCGCTTTGAATAAGGATTTCTGCAGAGGAAAAGGTTGAAAGAAAAGTATTCTTCTGTTTGCCATCTCCAGCGCTTTCTGCTTGATTGGCGCCTTCCTCCTCTCTATTACCTTCTCTCGAAGATGTGAGTTTAGGCTCTTCTGAGCGAATACCGGTGGTGTTCAACTCTGGAGGTGGCTGCGGTGATACCAGCGAACGCGTTGAATGGCTGTCGCCGTACGAGAAGCGAAGCATCGAAGGCCGTGTATGCCTGGAAGCCGCACTAGAATCTCTACTAGGCTCAGAATAACGATTCGGAGCCTTCGAAGCTTGTCCAACAGACGTTGGCGTCCTTAGAAAGCTAATGCCAGGTGAGGTTGTGATACAGGCCAGTGGTGAGTAAGTGCGCGGACCATTGAGGCTTAGTGGCCTTAATGGCGTGACAATAGCAGGCCTTGTTGTGCTGGAAGTAGGTGTCCTAAGCAGTGACCGTGAAGTTGCACTGTTGGTTTGTCCAAGAGTTGATAGAGAAATAGTAGATGTAGAACAAGCATCGTCTGGAGCGCCACTAAGTTTTTCAGATGAAGGGGATGGCGAGATGCTCTCATATTGAAGTGCTTCATCGTAATAGTCATTTTCGGATGATGGTGTGATGTTGAAGATAGGCTCAATCGAGACATGTTCTAATTTACTTTTTTTCGAACTGCTGCACTGCTCGTCCCCACTTTCCCACGCCGTACATAATACGCTTTGATCGTAATCCTCACTCGCAGTCCTTAATGATTTAGGTGCAACACTGGGTTCTTGTTGCTCTCTTCCTGATTTGTACCCGCTGCGATAGCTGAAATACTCGATTGTCTGTTGATCTTCTAGGTCTGATTTAAGTTGCCTGGGCAAGGGAGTTGATGGTCGCAAGGGTGCGCGATGAGCAGGCGAGATGACAGACTTCGCAAATCTCACAGAGCGGTATCCTCGTCCACGAGAAGTAGGAGTTCTCGGTGGCTGATCGCTTAAGGTACTAGGTTGTTGAAAAAGCTTTTGTTTATCATGTTGTCCAGCAGAGGTATTTGAGCTGGTGGAAGGGGATGTTACTGTCGCATCAGACAAGACCTTAATTTGATCGGACTCTGACAAGTCGTGCTGTTTATCCATTGTTAACGATGGACTCGAGGAGATAGAGTGATAGTGAACAGTGAAATACGGAAACAGCCTGTAAAAAAGCCAAAGATAAAAATATGAAAAAAAAAAAAAAAAAAAACTTTAGGCACGTGCCGACCAATTTGAATCATCGATTCATTCAACTATTTCATTTGATCATTGTTGTTCATTTGAATGAATGAATGAATGAATAACATTCAAAAGGCTTCCCCTTGCCTTATTATATACCCTTCCTCCATAGACTGCAAATAGTGATAGATAGATAAATAGTGATAAATGAATTTAGGGCCATGCCTCGCGAACGAAACATGACCCGTATATAAAAATTAAGCTGTTGAGATGTCCCGAAGGACATTCACTGGGTTGGACATCCGCGCTGTGCAATGCAGACATCCTTCCCAGAGCCTCCCCCCTTCTTGATCAGGAGAGGCTCCAACCAGGTAAGTATGAGTTTTCAAAGTCTGGCGGAGGAGGGTCCATTTTATACAAAATTTCAAATATGTGACTGCATCTTTGTATGACTATTTTACAATTTAGGTGACCATAGCTTATGGGTCTCTTTAAGAACAAAAAATTGAGGTATAAAGTATAAATCAGTAGGTCACAACAACATTTTTACCACGTGAAAATGATTGGGGGCAAAACGCGTAGCCAAATTGATGTGGGCATACATACAGCTCCAACACACGTGAGCTCTTATTCGTTTACTTGTGAAGTTTTCCACATTCTTCTTACCCTCTCATCCGTTTTTCACCTAATTGTCCCCAACTCTTGCATCTCTCATTATTGAAAAAGACTAAGGATCCTGCTAGCGCCTATGTTGCCTAACTTTTAGCCTCCCATAGCACGCCAGCTGGCTTACTCACCCTCCCAGTGAAATGCAAGATGTGTCAATAAAGAATGAATATTCAATTATCAAGACATTGAGTTCATACAGAAATGACTTTCTTGCCCAAAATTATCAGAACTTGTTGCTTATTTAGACTATGAAAAGATTGGATGGAGTCTATGGAGTTATGAGTGTCTTCCAGCTTGGATTCGCCGTTATCGTCGCGCTTGCAAAACCACTCTCTTCATAGCTGGTTGGTCTCTTACTCAGAATTATGCTTGCCGTACGAAGGGCCACGCTTGCGAGATGAAGGACCACGTTTGCCAGATGAACGGTTACGCTTGCCAGATGTCGGGGCTATGTGTATACTAGATGAGGGGCCATTCATACACTTATCGGAAGGACCGTGTCTCAGAAGAGAATCTTTTCTCGTGTACTCTTTACCGCAGCCGCACTCAAACATATCCGTCCCGGGTTGATGGATTTTGGAATGACGGTTGAGATCAGTAATTGTCCAGAATCTCCTATAACAGCCATCCCAATTACAGCTGTGGGGTCTTTTCGACAGAGGGAGGTGTGTCCTTTTATGTGCTTTAAGGTTGGAGGGTGTAGTTGCGGTCTTGTCGCAGGAGTTAAAATCGCATTTAAATAGGGTATTTTTTTTCAACGAAGTTCTAGTACTGTGTACTTGTAAGGACGAGGAGGGAAAGGAAGAAGATGAAGAGGAGGACGAAAAAGAAGAGGAAGAAGAGGGCGGAGCGCAGTGTTGTGAGAACTCTGAATCTGTTTGACTTTGGTTCATTTGCTCATTCAGTGACATGCTGATGTGCCTGGGCATCAGATCAGATGGGTTAACATGGGAAATGGGATTCGGTCTGGCAACCTCGGCGATGTCGAGAAGACTTGCGCCACTTGGTTCTTCCTCAGAATGATGATGATGATATTCTTGGTCGAAAGAAAGGTCTTTCCTACACGCTGGGTTTGAGCCGACCTCGAAGTCTCCTTTCAGAGTGGATACATTAGCCTCTTGTGGATCTGGGTTAGTCAAATGATGCTCCACTTCTTCATCACAATAGTCCCAGAGAGATGAAAACATGGATAGTTCGACTGCTTCTGCGCGGTCATCATCTTGAGGCGGGCATGCTTTCCAGGAGCCGTCATCTTCTATTGGAGAGTTTGGACCTTCTGAGAGGCTTGGAGATCTTCGGAAGCGGTGAAAAAAATCCTTTTGGGTTGGCATTGTTCAGATAGAGGGACTTGAGATATTGTTGGATGATTGAGATGTTGTTGGATTTATCGAGCCACTCAACAATGTTGAGAAAGTGTGTGTGTCTGGGAAGGAGGAAGGGGTGGACCAAATAGGACAAGGAATAAAAAAAAAAGAACAGCCTCTTTCATTTATACACGCTACTTACGCCACAACGCAATTAGGCAATAAACACAAACCGTTATGAATCAGGAACAGAATATCAATTTTAAATATTTAAATTAGTTTATTCACTATTCTATACTACACTGCTAAATCTATTGACAAAAGGAATAGAGTAGCAAACAGCTCGGACACTTCATGAGGAGCCAGCACCTACAGGGTTAGTGAGGGTCTTGCAGGGTTTGCGATTGTGTCTTTTAACCGAGTCATTCCTGGAGAATTCCTTCCTGCAGAACTTGCAGATGTGTGGCGTAGCTTGGAAATGCGTCTGACGATGTCTTGTCACATCAGACTTCCTATTGAATTTCAAACTGCAGTCAGGCCAACCACATTCATGTCGTTTTGTAGGTTCATGAGTAGATAAATGAGAACGAAGGTTGGAAGCCGTGGTCGCGGCCTTTTGGCAGATATTGCAGATGAATTTACGTGTTTGCTTTACAGCTTTGGTGATGATATTTCGCCCATGAGATTGTTGCTCTTTTGGTGCCTGACCAACTTCTGCATTGTTGTCATCTTGACTACCGGGTTGGTGCTGGTAGGGATCGGCTTTTGGAGAGGGATGAGGAAGTATTTCGTTTCCTTCCTCGATAGCTGTGCGAGTTGTGAATTGACTTGGTGACCCATTGTCGTCTTGGCTACCGGATTGTAGGACTAGGCTGTTGGGGAGCGGGCAAGAGGGCACTTTCTTTCTTTCCTCGGTAGCCGTACAAGTGCCTGCATCGTTGTCGTCGCCTTGACTATCGGGTAGGTGCTGGTAGAAACAAGCAAATGTTTCCAAGTCCTCGTTAACCATGCAAGGAGCGTATTGACTTGGTGGCTCATTGTCGTCTAGGAAGGCTCGGTCATGCCTTTGTGATCCTTGCAAACTTGCACTAGAACGGGGAGAAGAGTTGATTCCAAAGAATAGAGGACTTCTGCGTTTTAGGGCAACCTGATGGACAGCCCATGATCGTTGCATCTGCATATTTGGAGGATGGCGGTTGGGGGGTAGTGCAACGACAGACAGACGTGCGTGTATCAGTGTTAGTGTGACGGAGAGGGCGAAAGAAATGTTGAAGAAAGAAAAAAAAAGGGTTGCAAAGAAAAAAGAAGCGACAATTTAAATATCTTCTGCGCCATGCCCCACATTGTCCATATTGTAAAAATTTATTCTGGAATTTTTTTTTTTTTTTTACTTCCTTGACATCCTTCCATGATTCCCTCTCTTTTTTCGGATTGCCTCGAACAAGTTGCTCTGGGCAACCACCATGTTCGCGGCTCCTTCCCACCGCAAACGCGCTCGGTCCAGCAACGGTCGCCGTCCTTCTGTTTCATTAACCCCAGGAATAAGTTTTCTTGGTATTAGCCTCAGGAATACCCCCATAGGTAGCGACATGGACCCAATCAGTATTGTTAGCATCCATTGATGAGCTGTCAAAGGTGTTGTTTTGAAAGCCTGGCCTCCAAACTGAACAATTATGACTTGACCTGCCACAACAATGATCTGCACCAAGATGAAGATCGTGTTATTTTTCAGGTTCTTGAATACGTTGAGTGTGTCATCAATTCGGCGACAGTTTAGCTCATTGAACAATTGTAAGAATACAAATATGTTGAATATCATGGTACGAAGCGTCAAACGATGCTCTGGTGATATGGTACCATCCTGTGACTGAAGATGAAAAAGTTGAGCACCATATTTGAGAAGGGTCAAGTTGAGGGCAATCTGAAAAATGGCTTGACCGAGGATCATCTTCCACATACTAAAGGTGATCAAAGGGGCAGATTTGGCTATAGGGAAGCGGTCGAGAATGTCAAGCGTAGGAGGTTCTGTTGCTAGCGCCAGCGCAGCAAGAGTATCCATGATCAAGTTGACCCAGAGCAGCTGAACAGCAGAGAGCACAGACTGGTTGTTGTCAGAGGTTGCTGCAGAAATAAAAGACAATGTGACCGCTGAAATATTAACGCCGAGTTGAAATTGTAAAAATTTTTGGACAGAGTCGTTGATTGATCGGCCCCACATCAATGCTTTTAAGATACTGCTAAAATTATCGTCCATCAATATGATCTCAGATGCCTCCTTCGCGACCTCTGTTCCAGCGATCCCCATCGAAAATCCAACGTCTGCTGTTTTGAGTGCTGGTCCATCATTCGTTCCATCTCCTGTCACAGCCACAATCTCGCCGAGTTCCTGTAGACGACGGACAACAAGAGTTTTATCAGTTGGGCTACTGCGGGCCAACACTTGAAGACGCTTAACAGTTTCAGTTTGGCCTTCCTCAGTCAGCTCCCTGAACTCTGGCCCTGTCATAGCTACCCCCCCCTTGGTCAAAATGCCAGCTTCCGCAGCAATTGCACATGCGGTTTGAATGTTGTCTCCAGTGATCATCCTGACAGTGACTCCAGCCCTCGCGAACTTGCGAACACTCTCTATGACACCAGGCCTCAATGGATCCCGGATCCCAACAATGCCCAGGCATATCAGCTTTTCATGTGGAGCTTCTTCCTCTTCAAATTTTTTGAACTCGGACGAAGAAACGTCGCGATAGCATAGTGCGATGGTTCGGAGAGCTTTGTCGGCATACTGACTGATAATTTGATCAAACTTGATGCGAGAGTCATCATCCAGCGGTTTCAACTCGCCTTCTGAATCCCTATAATGGGTGCAATAATCCATGACAATCTCGGAGGCGCCTTTCACATAAAGACGATAAGGTTCCTTGCCTTGAGGCGATTGCACAACGCAAGACATGGTCTTTTTAGCTGAACTGAAAGGATACATTTTGACAACCTTGACGTCCGAGCGGATGGTCTTATAGGAAACACCCAAGTGCTTGATGAAGCCTAGCAACGCAGACTCAGTTTTAGATCCAATAAATTCGATGTTGCCATTTTGATCCTTGTCTTCGAATGCTGATGAATTGACGGCGATCCCCTCAATAACCAGGTTGACAGCCTCTGGAGGGACTTCATTCTTCCATGTCTTGATACCGTCTATGGAGTTAAACGACAGCGCTGAAAGGGTTCCCTCCACTACAGCCATTTTATTCTGAGTCAATGTTCCTGTCTTATCAGAACAGACAGTGGTGGCATTACCCATGGTCTCACATGCAGAAAGGACGCGGACCAAGTTGTTATCCTTCAACATCTGTGTAGTTGCGTACGCAAGAGCTAGAGTAACTGCCATCGGAAGACCTTCAGGAACGGCAACAACGATGATGGTAATAGCCTGGATGATAATTTTGATCATATCAGAGAAGATGTCCGTGATAGAAGGGAAGGGTTTGTTGGATAGAGCAGCTTTGACAAAGTACTTTACAGCAAGAATGGCTAGCATAGAGATTGAGGATGCCATTCCCAGTTTAGCAATAGATTCTGCTAAAGCACCAAGCTTAGCCTGAAGAGGGGTCTCTTCGGGTGTAGCCTCGCGCATAGCCATCATAGTTTTTCCAAAGAATGAATTCGGCCCCACTGCAGTAACGAGCATAGTGCCGGATCCATCAAGAATCTTTGATCCCGATATAATATAGCATTTCTCTTCTGTATCCTTCTTCACGGCGTCTGATTCGCCCGTTGCAGAAGATTCATCGCATGTAATGTTGTGGCACGTGAGAACGATCCCATCAACCTTTAGTAGGTCGCCGGGCTGCAGAAGCATGATATCCCCAACTTGGATCTCCTTGACATTGACCTCCTGCTCACGACCATCTCGTAGAAGTGTCACACAACGGTCCTCCTTTTTTGCATCCAGTTTACGGAACTGACGTTCCTTTTGATAGTCATTTATGGCATTGGTGAATACAACCGCTGCTACTGCGGCCAAAATGGCAGCACCTTCGACCCAACCAACACGGGGCTCACTAGGATCGTGCTGTGGGCCATAATCCTGATATACACTCACACCCAAAGACACGAAGGCTGCAATGCTTAACAAGACTATTTAATGAAGAGAGGTATCGTAAATAAGTGTTAAAGAAGAGTATGAGCTATCTATTCTCCCTTTCATTTTCTTTTCTTTTCTTTCCTTTATTTTTTTTTGAGTAATCATGGACTTACTGAGTGTGCGGTCATTAAATGTCTTTTTGACGAACTCAAAAAAGGTGGTACTCTTGACGGCTGGCAGGATCTATTACGTAGTATTAGGGTATAGGACGTAGTAAAAGGGAAAAGAAAAAAAAAAAAAAACGAGCGTCATGTAGGTCATGTAAGTGAAAATTGTTTTTCTAGATTGTTGGCCCATGCGCACCGGATGGAATATTTTCGTCCAAGGGTCCAAAGTCACACAAAAATAAAAAAAGTGGAATACTCTTTCCTTACGTTGCGTCCAAAGGCTTTGGATCTTGCAGCGAATTTTAGTTCATTTGATTTGCCTAGCGATGATTCTGGTGCTTCATCTGAGTGCAGACCGACGTTAGGATCGACTTTAAGTGCTTTACAAATCTCTTGAATACCCCCCATTTGACTAGGGAGTGTAGGATTCGTGGGATCTGTGAGAGGTGCCAAATCCTGTACAGTCAGACCAAATTCTGTTGACGTGGGAGTAGATTTAGTCGTATGGTAAGAGCGCTGATGACGATGGTCTTCATTAGAGGGTCCACGACGGCTTCCAAGCAAAGGTTCGTTTACAGAAGAATCTTGAGCCATTTTTTTTCTTCTTTTTTTATCTGGATATGAATGATAAGGTAGAAATTGTTTAAAAAAGTGATGAGAGGAGCAGTGGAGGGTTGAATGCACCGCTTGACAGTGATACAAATACAAAAGAAAAAGAATGAGGAATGAAGAATTACGAAATGAACTTTCTTGCGAAATGGAATGAAGTGTCTCAGGTCGATCTAGTCCAAAGACAGGTTTGTTCCTCAAATGATATCAAATCCTTGTCTCACAGTGATGTTTCCTCGGTAAAAACTTACAATCCTCTTGTTTAATAGACAGGATAGGATGTGCTCTATTTCAATGTCATAATGCAAACATGCTAATTTTTTTTTTTTATCGAGATAAACGTCTATTGCCTCAGCATCATCGCAACTGCAATCAAACCACCAATCAATGCGCCTCCTAAGCTACTGACCAAGAAGTCTCTTCGCGTCGCGCGTACCTCCGCATCGCCATCACTAAGGATTAATGACAACCGATTCTGGCTAGATTTAGTCTGTATCCGAGGCTTGTTCATTTCTTCACGCCAAGCATCACTCATGTCAACACCTACGTCGGCTGCCTCTCCTTCAATCTTATCGTCCTTTGACAAAAAGACTACCTCACCATCCTCACCCAAGATAATGTCACCAGACTCTGATGACCCATCCATCCCCTGTATAGCCGCCTTGGGCGCAGGTCCTCCTTTAACCAGCAATTTTTCCATCCGATCTAGACGCTCTTCCTGACGCTCCGCAATCCCCATCATCTTTTGCAATATGTTTTCGCCTCCCAGGAGTGCTCCACCGACTGTCACAGGAGTGATAGCAGCATTTTCATCGTCTGTGACTGTTACTCCCGCTCCCTCAGCAACAGCAGTAGAAGAAAAAACAGGCGAAGGCGAAGAGCTACTATTATTCCTAGGTGCGAAGTCCGTCATTGCAGCTGTAGGAGCTCCTGGGCTCGCAGAGACAAGGGTGGTTGGAGTAGTTCTTTTTTCAGGAAGGACACCACGCTCTGTCAGATCCTGGACAAGTTCTTCATAGCGCTCCACCTGTTTTCGTCGACGTCGTGGTTCAACGAATGCTTGGACGATTAGAAATGCCATGACGTTCACGCCCACGAGACCCCAAGTTCCATAGGTACTTGCAGCTCGAATCTTGTCACTCCAAACTTGTTCTTCGTGATATCTCTCCATGATGACTCTTGTCAGCATCCTAGATTTTGATTCAACATCAGATTCAGCTTGTTTGTATTCTATTCTGGCCTTTTGTTCCGCTTGCTCATTTGCATGTTCGGAGCGGTAGAGATCTGTGAATCGGACGACATCGTCCGGTGACCAGAGATGTTTGCGTTGCAACAGGTCATTAATGGCCTTTTGGGTATCTGAACGTCGACTGATAGCGTCCTCATATGCCTGCTTTGCTTCAATTAATTTGATACGCGCTTCATCCAAGCTATCGCCTAATATCGTCCCAATCGGTTGAAAAGATAGGAAAAATAAATCAATGAGAAAAAAAAAAAAAAAAAAAAAAAAAAGAGAACTATTTTTCATAGTGCTGTTCACAGGGCGCACATGTCGCAATGAATTTTATCCACGCACCGTGCGTAATAACCTTGACTTTCAGATCATTGATCGCATTGTATCCTGTAAAGTTGTTGAGATGATCTGCCAATTGAGCAATGGTATCTCGGTAGTCTTTCCGTTTAACAGATTCTGAGAGCTGGCGTAAACTGTCTGGTATCGCAGATCGCATGTATTCTGTAGATGACTCCAATGACTTTTTGTAAGGTAATAACTTGGCTTTAAAAGGCGATAGTGGGTCTTCACCCAAAAACAAGTGTTCACGACCCTGTTGTTTGACGCTATCACCTTGTTTTTGTTCATGTTGTTGTTGCTGCTGTGCAGAATTTTGACGATAATCTGGAGTATCAGATATTGTTGACTGATTATTGTCCCCAAAGTCCTTCGATCCATGTTGAGTAGATGTTGTACTGATGGATGCATTTGGGACAGTACGAGGCTTGGTAGAAGCAATTGGCGCTGCTACATCGGAGGCATTAGATATTAATTTTGATTGTCTCAGTCTTTCTGCTGCCTCCTTCACTGCGGTCGCTTTCGCAGCAGCAGCAGCAGCCGCTGCTTGTCGCTCCCTTTCCTGTATAGCCCTAAGTGCCTGCTCTTCAAGTTTCCTTTTCTCTGCAGCGGCGCTGTCAAGAATCTCTTTTAATGCAGCATCTTCAGCAGCAACCCTCTTTTTTTCCATCTCTTCCGTGAGCCTCTTCTGCGCATCATTTTCTGTAGCTCCTGCTTCTGCCTCTTGGGTATCCTTGATCTTTCCAGAAGAATCATTGGATCCGTTGCTATTCTCAGCAGAAGCAGATAGTGATGATGGCGATGATGATGAGGGACGATCATTATCTCTTTTGATAGTAGTAGACGAGAATCTGTGGCGAATCAATGCAGCATTGACAGATCGAGGTGCGCAGGTCCAACTGTTGGGGACCTGAGCATACAGGCTGTAGTTATGCAGGAGTTTTGTCTGGTTGGTGTACCGAAGTAGGTGAAAGTGTGTAGTGGCCATGATCCGCTCTATCGGGACTACTTTAATATCGATTAAACCAACAGTACCAACAGTCTTCTGGTACCTGAAATAGAATGAAGAGTATTTGAATGGGATACTAATGAGTGTTTGGATGGGAGGATTGGGATGGCTATTTTTTTTTTTTATTTCTCTTTCTAGGTCCAGGTTTCCGTTGCTTGACCTGTTTTGCATTTTTTGCTAAATGGCCATCGTCACGTTATTTTTGTTTTTTTATTTTTATTTTGACATTTATACTTCTAGCCCATCACTTTCTTCTTTGCTTCAAAAGATACGCGCCGCCACCTTTTTTCTTTTCTTTTTCTTTTTTTCTTTATAGTCTCAAGATCGCGATAGAAATCACTGCTCGTGGATAACAAAAAAAAAAAAAAAAAAGAAAAAGAAAGAAAGAAAAAACGTTTCATTCCCATTCTTTTGTATTGAAAGAGCATACTGTCTTGCATTCAGATCATGGGTAAACATCACTGATGCAACAATGTTAAGGATAATCGCTACAGGACGCGTCTTGGTCTTGTCATCCTTTCATGACTAACACAAATCATGTTTTCCACACACCCCTATTTCCTTTATTAATAGCTAGCAATCCAGGCTTCACCTGTAAGTTGTCGCTTTAATTCTTTCTCATGTCAGCTATAAAAGAAACACTAATCATACCAACTCAACACTTTGTTGTTAACCCCCAATGTTTTTTTCTATTTTATACATACACCACAGTTGGGGGATTTGGTACAGGCGCAACAGGAGGCTTTGGTAGCTCTACAGATGGGAATGCCTTTGGAAGTAAACCAGCAACATCCACAGCAACAACGCCAGCATTTGGTACAACATCATTTGGCTCCGGTACCACATTTGGATCAACACCAACATCTACCGGTGGGTTTGGGTCTACATCAGCATCCCTGGGAGGATTTGGATCTACGCCAGCATCTACAGGAGGATTTGGATCTACGCCAGCATCTACAGGAGGGTTTGGATCTACGCCAGCACCTACAGGGGGGTTTGGATCTACACCAGCATCTACGGGAGGATTTGGGTCTACATTGACATCTTCAGCTGCCGCACCATCCCTTTTTGGGGCTCCAGCTGCCGCAACCTCGACTGCAAGCCCTTTTGGGGCGATTACTACTACTTCAGCGCCTGCTGCGCCTTCATTTGGAGCGCCAGCTGCAAAACCATCCACCGGTGGATTTGGTACATTTGCAGCATCTACTCCAGGTCCAACATTGGGCGGCATTTCGACAGCTACGTCAGCTCCATCACTATTTGGTAGCACTGCTACTACATCTACACCAGCACTTTCGTTTGGTGCGCCCGCGACATCAGCTCCTGCAACCACATCATCTCTTTTTGGAGGCGCAGCACAAAAGCCTGCTACAACAGCACCTGCAGGAGGTCTCTTTGGAGCAACTCCGACAGCTGCGCCCACTTCGACAGCTGCTTCCACATCACCATTCTCGCTCAGTTTGAATACCTCAGCAGCTAGTGCTGCCCCGGCTACAACTCCGCTTTTTGGTGGTACCAAGCCTGCGACGCCTTCTCCCTTTAATCCAACACCAGGTCTCGCTACCACTACCACAACCAACACTCCAGCCTTTGGTGCAGCGAAGCCAGCCTTTGGTGCACCAGCTGCTTCGACTGCTGCATCATCTACAGCAGCACCTACATTCAGCCTTTCAGCGAACACCGGCACAACAAATGTTGCCTCTACCGCTGCACCATCCACTTGCTCATCTGCTGCAACATCTGCACCTTTATTTTCATTATCCACTACACCAGCAACGGGAGCGTCCACATCGGCTGCAACAAACACAGCTGGACTGACGACAAAACCACAGGAGGATGCAAGCTCCAAGACGGCAGTCCCTCCAACGCCCTCAGCATTGCGTAACAAGAGCATGGATGATATTCTTCATCAGTGGTCGAAGCAATTGGATGAGCATACAAAAGCTTTCCGCGAGCAGGCTAAAAAGATTTCTGAATGGGATCGTAAGCTATTTTCTAACGGACATCAGGTAAAAAGCTTTTTTTTTTTCCCTCCTAAATCATATTTATGGATGAGTGAGGTTATCATAATGTTGGCAAATATCCTTGGCTTGAAAAGTTTTGTAAAAAAAAAAAAAAAAAAAAAAAAAAAAAAAAAAAAGCTTGTGAAGGAAAGCTGACTTGGTGACACTTTAATTTAAATAGATCAGCCAACTGTATCAGATGACTGTGGACACAGAGGCGACACAGAAGACAATCGATCAGAACCTGGATTATATCGACTCACAGCAACAGGAGCTTAGTGGCATTCTAGATTTGTATGAGGATCAGGTGCAAAAGATGTTTGAGAAGGATGCTGCTACTGCAGGAGTGAATGCCAATGGTCTGAGACCTGTAGATGAGCAACGTGAGCAAACATATAGCTTGGCTGAGAACCTCAACAAGCAACTAGATGATATGTCGCTTAACTTGACCAATATGATTGAGGAAATCAATCAGACCTCACCCAAAGCTGATGGCGAAAGCAATGATCCTGTAAGTTTGCAATTTATTAGCAAAAGCTTTTTTTTTTTTTTTTTTTCTGTTTTTTTAGCTCTTTTTTGTTTTTAAACAATCATTTTCTTTTTTTATTGTTTCATATATCCATCTAGGTTGGACAAATTATTCAGATCTTGAACGCCCATTTGACGAGTCTGCAGTGGATTGATGACAGTACAACACAATTGCAATCAAAGGTGCAGGAGGTGGGTAGACTACAGAACCAATTGATCAAGGAGCATGAGAGCTATCGTAGCCGTGGTGTCTTTACAGGTCGATCATAATTGAAAGGCAGAATGATAGAATGCATGGAAAAAGGAAAAAGGAAAAAAAAAAAAAAAAAAAAAAAAAAAGCATTGGATAAGAATGGTGACATTACAATGGAAATGGAAAAGTGTAGCAATGTTATGGCAATTTCAATAGCCTTCATAATAAAAAATAAAAAAAAAGACAATAGTACAAAAGAAATTGTTACAAGCATTCATTATTTTTTTATTTTTTATTTTTTATTTTTTTTAATTTTTCCTTCCATGATTAAAACTAGACTAAGGATTTTGTTTTGATTGAATTAAATTATATGGTACATTTTTCCTTTTTTTCCCCTTCTTTTCTTCTCCTTCCTCCTCTTTCTCTTTCTTTATGCTTTCTACAAAAAAAAAAAAAAGTCAAAAGTCAAAAAAAGCAAGTATAAAAAAACTCAAGGTGATCCCATGCGAGTAGCATAGCCGGTAGTGACTTCTGGTCGACCATTATACCTCTCCTCTCTTTCAACATCATATGGATCATTTGTCTCATAACCTCCTGGACGAGAGTAACCACCATTGGTACCGCCGTTTCCTCCTTCTTGAACAATCTCCATATCGGATGGTCCATGGGACGCATCACGATGGGATCGTGCATGATTATTATAATAATCAGAAGGCTGTCGTGAATGTTGGATTGTGGGTGAATAGGGGAATGCTCCAGTGGAGGATGAGGCTGAAGAAGAAAGTGGTGGTGGTGGTGGTGGTGCTTGTGAATTATTGTTATTAGTGGGTCCCATAGCCGGTGAAGAAGGTGGATATGAATCACGTTCGAACCCCTGTTGTTGTTGTGGAGGAGGAGGCCGTTGTGAAAACTGGGATGGAATCCTTGGTAAGGAAGGCGCGCTGCCTCCGAATCGAGTCTCTGCTGTAGACAACTCTGGGCTCTCAGTCTTGGTTCGCCAGTGCTGACGATGCTCCGAGATGGAGCCCCAACTGGGTTGTTTCTTGATGGCATGGAGCCTACGCTGTTCAGAAAGTGAGCTCCAGCTGGATTGTTTCTTGACTGCATGGTGATAAGGATGTGAATAAGGATCGGCAGCTTGGACATTCCTGTACAGTTCAGACGATGGAGAGCCCGATGACCAGTTGACAGTTCCATCACTAGGACGCTTCTTGTTTAAATCATAATTCATTGCAGAGGAGGAAGGGGTGCCATTGCCACCAAAAGGTCCATCCGCAGGTCCTGTGCTACCTGTAGGTGAAGACATTGATCCAGAGCCGCCATGGCCTGTAGGTCGTGACGCGTCTCTTGAGGTATAGAGCGATGTCCGGTCATGCGTTGGCGAGAGAGGCGAGCTTGGATAATGATGCGCTGGGGAATCATGTGGTCCAGAGGAGGAATAAGGTGCTGAGGAGATTGATAATGGGGATTTGTTACTGGAAGAGGGGGAGGCCATATCACGGGAGTCCATAGATCCTCGGAAGCTATGTGTTCGATGACCATAATCCTCCTCCTTGCTGTCCATTGGGTTGGCAAACGAACCTGGCCGGCTCAAGTTCAAACAGGATTCGGAAGGATGACGATGGAGATGACGATGGGGACGCCCCTGAATCTCCATTTCTTGGTCAGACTCGGGACGCTGATGATGAAATTGTGATGATAATTTGCTGTTCAGAGACAGGTGTTTGGAAGAGCCATTCGACAATGGAGGGGAGGATGCATGATAGGCCTGTCGCAGATGCTGGGCAGAGGAATGACGGCCAAGAGCAGGACGTGAGGAATGGAAATGATCATAGGGAGGACCACCACTCTCGAAGGACCGTTCTCGAGCCCATTCTCGTTCCCGATCCCATTCGCGCTCACCTCGGCCGAGGGATGCTCCAGGGCCCTCTTGCTGAGGAAGTGGTGAGGGAAGAGGAGAAGAAGAAGAGGGTGTCTGCTGCTGTTGCTGCTGATGAGCAGCAACCATGGCCTCCAATTCTCGATTACGGGCTGCTAACGTCATGAGCTGTGTCTCTGCCGCCTGCAGCAGTTCAGCCTTTCGCTCCAACTCTCTAACATAGAGATCTTTACGTTGTCGGAAAGCTCTTTGGGCAGCACGATTTTGAGCAGCACGTTTGCTTGAATTCCGACCTTGTTCTGTTTTCCCAGCACCGTTTTCTTTTGCGCCAGTGCCTGTTCCTGAGGTACCATTACCGTTATTACTATTGTTACTATTATTGTTATTCTTTGGATCAGCATCATTTTGCTGCTGTTGTTGTGATTGCTGTTGTTGCGGTTGTTGACCTTGCAAAGTAGAGGGCTGTGACTGAGTAGAAGAAGCGCCGATGGAGGAGCGATGGCGATTGCTCTGGGCATTGTTTTGAAGATAGTCCATGGTAGAGATAGAATCGACTCTGGAAAGACTTGAACTGGTGGTAGTAGATGGTGGGGCAGAAGGCGAGCTCATGTACAAGTCTATTATTAATTGTTACAGATTTTTTTTTTTTTTTTTTTTTTTTAGGTAATTATATTACGAAAGACAAGTTTAAACATTGATCCGATCAGGAAATGGATTGATGCATAATTCGCATAATTGCGCTGCTGCGCGAAAATAAAAAATAAAAAAATAAAAAAAAACACCAGCCAATTGGAGACTTTTTCTCAATCTTATTCGTTTCCTTATCACACGGCTCCACCCACCAAGTCGGTGTCCATCCAAGACAAGTCAAGTCAAGACAAGACAAGACGCGAAAGGAAAAGGAAAGGAAGAAAGAGAAAAAAAAAAAAAAAAAAAAAAAAAAAGACTTTTTTCACTAATACTAATACGTATCTCTTTTTTTTTTTTTTTTTTTTTTTTCTTATCGACTGAAAATCCAATAATATTTCCCTAGCCTTGTTTTTTGCTGTGCTTCACATTTTTACTTGTTTTTGTGTTTTTTTTTAGATTATTTCATCTTACCTGGTAATGAGGCTGTAGAAGAATAACGACTGAGTTGGTCATGAGGCTGATAACCTTGCGGGGATGAAGAGAATGGTGGTTGTTGCTGTTGTTGTTGGTGGTACTGTTCCTGTTCTCGTTGGGAGTATGAAGATGAGTGGGGGCGTTGTTGATGGAAGTGCTGATGAAGATGAGGATCGGATGATTGCGAACGAGGTTGAGGAGGAGTTGCAGAGTGGTGAATGCTGATGCAGGCCTGATCTGATTCAGGTCCGAGAGCCCTGTCCAACTCCCGAAGAGGAGGGAGTGTCATTGCAGGCGTTGGGGCTTGGCCAGGACTAGGACCGAGCATGCCGGGAGATGTATAGATATCCACTGTTGCTGAAACTATATTGGATTAGAAGGGAGGTTGTTTGTTAGAGTGAGGGACAGAGAAAGAAAGAGAAGGCGAGAACAAAGAAGGTGAAAGAAGTACCTTTTTTTTTAAAAGAAAGAAAGAAACAAAGAAAGAAAGAAACAAGGAAAGAAAGGAAAAAAAAAAAAAAAAAAAGAGCGGCGGTTCTTTTTTTTTTTTTTTTTTTTAATGTGATGAAGGAGAAGGAGAAAGAGAAGGAGAAAGAGAAAGAGAAGAAATGGATATTGCTTGAGTAGTGGTGCAGCAAAGGGGGTGGGGAAGGAAAGGAAAAGGGAAGGGAAGGGAAGGGAAGGGAAGAGAAAGAGAGAGGGGGAAGAAGAGGAAATAGGGGTGGATGGAATAGAATAAGATAAGCGTAAAAGCCGTTGTATACTGCTTGTCTATGCTATTCTCACCACAATTTAAATGGAAGGGGATCACTGGTTCAGAAGCAAGCTATTATGTTATATGCTTATGTATGATTGTGTGACCAACAAGGTTGGAAGAACACAGTCAGCAGATGACTTTATGAGCTAAAAAAGAAAAAGAAAAAGATGAAGTTTAGTCAATGAGTGAACAAGACAAGCAGAGAAAAAGAAGGAGAATGAAAGACAAGACAAGACAAGACAAGAGAAGAGAAGAGAGAGGAGGAGAAAAGAAAAGAAAAAAAAAAAAAAAAAAAAAAAAAAAAAAGATGAACCATTACAGATGATGGTCCATGCACACCACTCTTTTTGTAAAGAAAGAATGTCAACGGGAAAAGAGAATAATAATAAAATAATAAAAAAAAAAGGGGGAAAGTGAGAGGGAAAGAGAGAGAGAAGAGAGAAGAAAGAAAGAGAGTTGAGGGCAACTACAAAAAAACAAAAGACTATAAAAAAAAAAGGGCCATGGCGCACATCCATCCACATTATGCTCTCTTTATTTTATTTTATTTTATTTGAATTGAGATGAATGAATGACAATGATGCACAGGGATTGCTCTTCAGCTTCACTCTTGATCTTTGTATCTTTGTATTAATCATCATCATCATCATCATCACCATCATCATCACCATCATCATCACTATTATTATTATTGTTATTGTTATTGTTATTATTATTGTGATTATAATAATAACAGCAATAATAACAACAACCTTTTTTTTTTTTTGCTTAGCGTGCCGACATGGGTCTGTGTCTCATATAATAACGGTTCCTCTTTCACTTGTCCTATTCATTCTCCCCGCCCCCCAACGACATTCAACACTTTGCTCCCTTTTTTTTTTTTTTTTTTTTTTCTTGTACAAATGTATTTTACTCTTTTGAGCTTGTTGTTGTTGTTATTGTTGTTGTTGTTGTTGTTGTTGCTGTTGTTGTTGTTGTTATTGGCTCAATGAATGGATGGATACATTGGTGATGATGGTAATGAAAGAGCTGGGACTGGGATAAGGAGGATGGTGATCGGTAAAATAGCAGGTGGATAATGGCTCTCCTTTTAATTGAATATTCAGAGTCTGTGTGTTTTTATGGCTTAAAATCCCATTTACCCAAATCCTTTCGGGTTTTATACACATTGCCCCCTTTTCTCTTTTTTAAGCCAGAATAAAATAATAAAGTAAAGCACAATACAATATAGATGTATATATAATATTATATATATACTTCTTCTTCTTCGGGGTGGGAATGATGAGTTTTAGTTTTTTTTAGTCCTTTTAACTTTTTTTCATTTTGTGATTGATTCATATTGAATGTTGATTGTATTAGTTCCGTTTCCCAGAAAACCGGCTCCGCCATGTGTTTTTAGATGGGGATGGGATGAATGGGATCTTCTTTTGCTTTTGCTTTTGCTTTTGCTTTTGCTTTTGTTTTTGTTGTTTTCTTCCCTTTCCTTCCCCTTCTCTTGTAATAGTTGTTATTGTTAACTTTTGCCCAGTGAAAAGACTTTGACGATAAATAGGTAGGAGGTATAATAAGTAAAAAATAAAAAAAGTATAACAAGAATATACATCTGTACCCAGATTCGTTTCTCTTTTACGATCAACGATCAGAAACAAAAAAAAAAAAAAAAAAAAAAAAAAAAACGCTGATCTCTTACACGCGTCTCTGGGAGTGTTTCTTTTTTCTTTGGACAATCCAGTTTGAAAGATGAGGAAGATGAGAAACAATAAATCTTGATTTTAAGTGAGGGAGAGAAACTTGATTGAGTAATTTGAGACCAGACGAGACAAAGATGGCTAGAACAAAATCCTATCCAATGCCACGCCATGCCATGTGTTCACAAACACATCATCACCCAACACTATACACACACACACACACTCAAAATTATACATTACACAGACCGAAGGTATATCATGTCGTATAATGAATAAAATAACAACTGCGAATAAAAATAACAATAACAATAACAATAGCAATAGCAATAATAGGAGAACAAAAAAGAAAAAAAAAAAAAAAATTGGCCCTGATACTTTTTTAAAATTCAGACCCACATGTGTTATGTGGTAAGCAATGGAGGATAAAATAAAACAAACCATAAACCTTGCTAACAATCAATATCATATACATCTACATCTACTTACCGAATAAAATAAAAAAAATAAAAAAAAAAAAAAAGAGTAACGTGGAATAAAATAAAATGAAACAAAAAAGGTGTTTCGTTTGGACAGGATTCGCAAGGAAAATGTTCGGTCCCAGATAGGTATGATGTATGATGATGCTAACTAAGATAAGGTTGATAGCTTCATTCGCTGACAAAGTCTGACCTTTCTTTTTCGTCGTATGTGTGGAGAAGGTGGAGAAGGCGGAGAAGGCGGAGAAGGAACAAAAAAAAAAAAAAAAAAAAAAAAAAAAAAAGAGTCGTGAATATTAATAATAATATTACAAAGAAAAGAAATACGCGTTGTTGAATGGATGTACGAGATGTCGATTTGGATGTGACAAAGGTTGAAGAAAGTGATAAAGAGTGTGCTTTTCAACAAGGGAGCAAAGAACTAAACGTGACGATCGAATATGAAGAGCCAAATAGGAAGGGAGATGGGAGGAAAGGGAGAAGGTTGGGGGGAAAAAAAAATAAAATAAAATAAAACGAAAAGGAAAAGTGTAGGATGAAGAAGAAGAGGAGGTAGAGGGTTTAAAGAGAGAAAGAGAGAAAGAAAGAAGAAGAAAGAAGAAAGGAAAGAGAAGGGGAGGGGAAGTGGGTTGGGGTGGGGGGAAGAATGGAAGTATCGTAAACCAACCTGAAGAAGCTGCAAGGTCTTTTTTGAATGGTGAATGCTCAATGCTGAATGCTCAATGCTGACAGATATTTGAATGTATTTGTCTCCTTCTCCTCTTTTTTTTTTTTTTTTTTTTTTTTTTTTTCTTTTCTTTTCTTTTCCTTTCCCCCCCTGTTCTGTCCCAAAGTTCAAAAAGCTGCAGACAGAGCAAAACGGAGGACAGAGGAGGATGCAGCACAGCAACCCATTAGGCCATCAAGTCAACATTGAATAACCTTGTATTCAATCCGACCGACAGGCATTACTTTAAAAAAAAAATAAAAAAAAAAAAAAAGCATTACATTACAGCGTGCACGCTCCAAAATGGACAAACAAAAATTTCGTCCGCTTGTCTTTTTGTTATTCATTCATCCATGTAATTGTTGATTTTCGTTTGGTCAGCACTTTTCTCCCATTCCTTTTCTTTTTTCTTTTTTTTTATATACTGTATACCGTAGGATAATTTTAAAAGAAGATCGGCTAGTCTGCCTAACATAATATATATGCTTTGTGTTTATCCAACTCTCTTTTGCTGGTATTTTTATTTTTTACTTTTTAGTTTACCTTTTTCACCTTTTACTTTATTTTTATCTTTATGTTTAAAAAAGATCGGCAACCCTGTCAGGACAAGATGCCAATGACAATGATAACGATCCCTCAACTTGTATTGCGGAATGATCAATATTGATTATTTCCTTTCTTTCTCTCTCTCTCTCTCTCTCTCTATATTTTTTTATTTTTTATTTTTTCTCCGCCACCTCCTCCATTTTCTCCTTGAAGCGCGATTATATTAATCCAGAGAAATAAAAGGATAAATAAAAAGAAAAAAAAAAACAAAAAATTGTTGATATTCGGTAGAATCAATAGGAGGAAGAATTTATCTCTCTCTCTCTCTCTATTAAATAACAACCACATCCAGGCATCTTTTTTTGAAGGAGGGGTACCAAGGATGTCCTTGCTAGTTTGTTCATTCCGTGATTGAAACCGCAAAAATCAAAAAAAAAAAAAAATTCAAAACTCGACCAAGGTTATCTACGATCTGATTAAAAAGTGAGGAGTAAACGGAGTTGACACATTGCAGGGAAAAGGTAACGAAAATAAATCTATACATTACTGCAGTAAAAAAAAAAAAAATTTACACGCGTTTCGCCTCCTCTCCATCTCTTTCTCTCTCTCTCTCTCTTCTCTCTCTCTCTCTCTGTCTCTGTCTCTGTCTCTTTATTTCTTATTTTTCCTTTTTACCTCTCCCTATCCTGACCTGTGTTCTCTTTCTTACCATAGTGTTATAGATATGTTTTTTATGAAAGGAATTTTCTAAATAAAAAAATATATATTTATATATATATATAAATCTCAAGGGTTAAAGTATATATAGGGACATGTAATAAGCGGGAATAAAATAAGAGATATAGATAAAGGAAGTAATAGTAATAAATAAAAACAAGCGGGAACAAAGAATAACAAAAAACACGAAATAAAATAAAATAAAATAAAATAAAATAAAACTAATAAACAATTGGCCCTAGAATGTGGTAAGACAACTTATATATACACGTATATTTATATATATACATATATATATACAATATAATATAATGTGTTATAAAACATTATTATATATATTATAAATATATATAAAACATAATATTTAATATACACATACAAATCGCCACGTTGGACTTGTTGACTTGTTGTCAATCATTGTCATCATTATTGTCATTAATTATCCATCCACCTCTTTTTGTTTTTTTGTGTCAAATTCAATTGGACACCAACAATGGGGTTCACTGACCACAAAATAGGCCCATGAAAAAGAACAAAATGACGAAGAAAAAAAAAAAAAATAGGGGGAAGAGAGAGAGAGAGAGAGAGAGAGAGAGAGAGAGAGAGAAAGAAAGAAGAAAAGGA